AGACACACACACATACAAGAACAAGCAAATCACTTCAGGGGAGTAGCTGGTCCACTTGTCAGGGGGAGGGGGGGGGGACTAGGACAAGCTGACAAACATAATAACTTATATAATTCATGCACGTTGCCTGATGATCGTATTAATACGTGAAACTCAGAGTTGCGACACAGCTTCCAATCTCTCTTGCGTATTAACCCTTTACCGGTCTACCATAAGCGTACCGATACTATAGTATCGGTACGTTTGGCCCTCATTTTTTTGGGGTCTTGTTGCTAGGAGACAGTTAAAATGGCGCTCTACGCGTAGCGGAGGTCCAAGGCTTTCTGACGATGTGCAAAACAACCATGCTTACCATACAAATTTTTGCCGTATCGATCGACTGAAGTTTGTTGAAATTGGAAAAGACGACCATCCGCCATGCGCGCATTTCAAGAATGCGAGTGCATCTCTTGGGGCCGTGTTTGACAAGCGTTCTGAGAGCAGTAACATCACCAGTCCAGGCTGGATGTCCCGGGAGGTTTTGCAGTGTAGTGTGTTGAGAAAAAGAGCTCCGTTGAGTCCTGCTAGTTCAAAAATATATCGTCCACGAATGAAGAAACAAAATTCTCCAAACAGAGAGGAAGCCTTCTTGCTGCCGACACCGCGACAGCGACTGTCACAAGGACTCGTCAGGTGCGATCAGCTGATTCGCCTGGCCGTGAGAATCACGGCATGCGTAATCTCGCGCCTGAGTACTCATCTGAGCGAGAGTGAATCTGACGCGAGCAGCGCTGAGATGAACAAACCGAAACTGCTATATCGTGGAATGGGAATTGCTGCTGCTGGCGTATCGCCGATGGCCAGGTGTTGGTGTTCAATGGCGGTATTGTAGAGAGCCTACATTTCTTGTAAAGACGTAGCCCTTACCTGATTGTTTATTGTACGACTTCAGCTCCATCACGAACTTGGTATGCCTTTCGTGCTGTGATATTCGTGTATTTCATTCGCAATTGCATTTTCTCTCAACTTGAAGGGCTACCATGGGCACTATCCTTGCCTGGACCTAGTCATATTTGAATTTTCTGGACGCGTTCAGGCATACAGATTTTGAAAATATATGTTAGCGCTTGCACCCGAATGCATCAGAGCAGTGTATAGGAAATGGGAGAGCCAAGTGACTACATGCAATGGAAAGTCACAGAGCAAAGCTGCATGCATACCCACGTATTCTCACAACACCGCACAAGGATGATTGGGGTACACCAGTGTGCTGGTTTCGATCAACTGGTGAAGCGATTGGCGTTGCAAACAGCCAAAGTGATCGCTCACGACTGAGCTGCAGCAGTACCCGCGACCGGGTGCAAAGTTCCCTGATCGACGTTGCAAACAGCCAACCAGGGTGAAGCAGTTGGCGTTGCAAACGGCCAAAGCAATCGCTCATGCTTGAGCGGCAATAGTACCCGCGACCGGGTGCAATGACTACTGATTGGCGTCGCAAACAGCCGACCAATAGTATGCAATTTTAAGCAGAGATAGTAGCAGCAAAGCAACCAGTTGAAGGAAGCTGTTCCCACCTATATAATGTGGGAATGGGAGGGTGGGTGGCAAACAAATTCCGGTTGCTGCTCAGTGACACTGCAAAGGAAAGCGCAAGCCAAAGTCAGCGCAGCAAGAGCTACCCAAGGCGATTTGGGCGCGCATGCGCAGCAGTTGAGTGCACGTGTAAAGCCAGCTCGATCGCAGCTAGCATGAGATAGAGAGCAGCGCATCGGTCTTATCGCTAACTAGGGTTAGCCCAAAAGCTAACCCAACATTTAGCGCTTGCACCCGAATGCATCAGAGCAGTGTATAGGAAATGGGAGAGCCAAGTGACTACATGCAATGGAAAGTCACAGAGCAAAGCTGCATGCATACCCACGTATTCTCACAACACCGCACAAGGATGATTGGGGTACACCAGTGTGCTGGTTTCGATCAACTGGTGAAGCGATTGGCGTTGCAAACAGCCAAAGTGATCGCTCACGACTGAGCTGCAGCAGTACCCGCGACCGGGTGCAAAGTTCCCTGATCGACGTTGCAAACAGCCAACCAGGGTGAAGCAGTTGGCGTTGCAAACGGCCAAAGCAATCGCTCATGCTTGAGCGGCAATAGTACCCGCGACCGGGTGCAATGACTACTGATTGGCGTCGCAAACAGCCGACCAATAGTATGCAATTTTAAGCAGAGATAGTAGCAGCAAAGCAACCAGTTGAAGGAAGCTGTTCCCAGAAAACCAGCACACGGCACCCCAGCAAGCGTTCACCACCAATGCACGAGAGCTAAGAACAAGTGATTAAGGCACGAGATGGATAAAGGTAGGCATGCAGATGGATGAAATCCAACGCAGGTTCTCAATACGGCAATTTAGCAATGACAATCGGTACCTGTATGTCAAGGCTATATTACATCGACTGGAATGGCAGCACTGCTCGGTCTGGTTGTGCTTGAGCAGCTGGGGCAAGACGTCGGAATTCCTCCATGCGGAAACGAGACAGCGAATCGGCAATGCAGTTAGACTGGCCAGCAATGTGAGCAGCAGTGACGGTGAAATTGAAGCGGGCGCACACAAAGAACAGCTCCCTGATCAGGGTCATCACTGGCGGTGACTTGGATGTGCCGGAGCGGATGCAATCTACCACAGCCTTGTTGTCGCAGTGTATTGTGATACGAAGCTGGCGCCATTCCTTGGCCCACGTGCAGCACGCTGTGACCAACGCGTAGAGCTCCTTCCACTCAATGCTGTGAGTGAGTTGCTCAGGCGACCAGGTCCCTTGAAGCCAGCGGCCGCTGTTGAATGCGCCCCAGCCCAGGGTGCCACTGGCATCGGTGAACAGCTCCAAGTCTGGAGATGGTGTCCAATCTGGGAACAGGAAGAATGATTTTCCGTTCCATTGTTCCAGGAGCCGTAGCCACCATTGGATATCTTCCTGGCACTCGGTAGTCAGACTGATGCGGTAGTGAGGCTGCTGGTAGCGACTGCAAATCGACCACAGGCGCCGCATAAATGTCCGGCCGGGTACGATGACTCTTGCAGCGAAGGAGAGTTTCCCCAGAAGAGATTCGAGTTCGCGCTGAGACATGGTGGGGTTGATGCTCGCTGCAGTCAACAGGCGCTTGATGTCGGCCAATTTGTCGTCAGGGAGCCGGGCTTCCATCTTCTCACAATCCAGGATAATGCCCAGGAATGTCAGGGTACGAGACGGGCCTTCCACCTTTGCAGGCGCGAGTGGGACTCCGAGGTATGAGAATGCACGGAGAAGAATGGCCAGCTGCCGATTCGCCACTGCCTGGCCCACGCTCACGCACAAGTAGTCGTCCAGAAAATGCAGCAAATTAGGGATGGAGAATTCGTGGTGCATTATCCATTCGATGGTGGCTGCCACTGCATCAAATACCGCCGGGCTAGAGCGGAGCCCAAATGGCAAGACACGGTCGTAGTAGTACTTCCCCTGCCACAGGATGCCGAGGAGATGCCAATCCTGTGGGCGGACAGGTATTTGACGAAAAGCACTCTTCACATCGAGTTTAGAGAGATAGACAGGAGACGGGGAGGACATAATGATGTTAATGGCTTCATCAATGCTGATGTACTGCAAAGAGAAAGGCTCGGCAGGGATCCCGTCGTTAACGCTGGAGCCGGCAGGGCTGGACAGGTGGTGTATCAAGCGTAGCTTGCCATTCTTTTTCGGAACAGCGCCAATGCCAGAGCAGTACATAAATGGGAATGGGGGCGAGTCAAATGGGCCAGCCGTGTAGCCGGCGTTGCAGGAAGCGGTGAGCTGTGCAGACACAAATGCAGAGTGCTGGAATGCTGATGAGAGGTTGGACGAGTGCTGGTTAGTTATGCGGTTGCCGGTAAAGCCAATGTCAAAGCCGCAGCGGAGGCCGTTAATAACATACGAAGCCAATGAACTGTCAGGGTGGTTACGGAGCAGTGATTCGAAGCGAGAAACAGAGAGGGGTGTGTGGACAGCAGGACATGCGCTTGTGAAATCAGTAGAACGTGAAGTGCAGGGAGAAGTATGTACAATCGCGGGAGCTGCAGCCAAAGCAGCAGAGTTACTGGCGCCTACCGCACTTAGATCCGTTGTGGTCCTTGGACCCGCAGCGGTTGCAGACATGGGCGTACTTGCACGTGCTGAGACTGCAACGCCCAGCGTTGAAGTTCCGGCAGATCGGTTGGCCATTAGACACCGTACGGACTCCATTGAAGGCTTGCTGGTTGTTACGTTGCGGACGAAAGGGACACTGGCCGCCTCCGGGATGGATGAGGCGGCAGGACTCACATGTGGGCCTTGATCGGCTAGTCACGGACATTTGCCACAGATTTATGTCGATGACGTCAAAGCGCTTGCCTGGCTGAGCAGAAATGGCAGAGCGAAACTGGGTGTCGTACGACAGCCAAGCCTCCGGATAGTATTGCCTGTTGGCTGCAACTATGGTGGCTTGGTAGAATAGCATCTCCTGCAGGCGGGACGGGTTGGCAGAACACACGACGTTCATGAAGAGAGTCCATGCCTCCAGCCATGTCGGCAAGTCGTGGACGCGTCGGCGAACGGGCTGCGCCGCTCCACCTTCCACCACCTCCAGAGACTGGCCGCCACTGCTGAACTGCAGCTGAAGCTGGCGTGGGGCAGAATACGAGGTGGCGATAGTATCGGGCAGCAGCTGGGTGAAATCTACAAAGTCACCCTTCAATATTTTCTCTCGTATAGTCTGGGGAACGGAGAGATTACCAGCGTTGGAAGACTCCGCCGAAGGTTGAGTTCCAGCGGATCCAGGGGCAGTGATGGTGGCCAGCATTGGAGCGATCGCCTCCGACAAGGCAACGGTGACGGCGGAATGTACTTCCTGCCGCACAAACTGGCGCAAATCGTCATTACTGCTCCGGTCCGGGATCTGGGGAGTCGGAGAAGCTGCTGCAGCACTCTCCAGATCCTGCTCTTGCTCCTGCTCGTGCTCCTGCCGCGAGGATGGCGTGGCCGACGGAGATCGAGGTTCCCGTGCCGCCGAGCTCGACGTGTCCTGGATACTGAGCAGCAAACGGGCAAGAAGCTGGGGCTTTGTTCCGCTCGAATTCAGCCCACGGCCTTCCAGCTCGGCCCGCAAGTCCGACACGTTCATACGGCGTGCTTCAGAGGTAGACAACATGTTTGTCGTGCAGTAAGCGGCTGCGAGGAATCTACAAGGAGTCTGAATAATTAATTCTATTCTCAACAAACAAATTCCGGTTGCTGCTCAGTGACACTGCAAAGGAAAGCGCAAGCCAAAGTCAGCGCAGCAAGAGCTACCCAAGGCGATTTGGGCGCGCATGCGCAGCAGTTGAGTGCACGTGTAAAGCCAGCTCGATCGCAGCTAGCATGAGATAGAGAGCAGCGCATCGGTCTTATCGCTAACTAGGGTTAGCCCAAAAGCTAACCCAACATGTTTACCCATACCTACATCACATGGTTCTTGAGTTATTGCTGGTTGTGTGTACATGTATTTGCGTGACCACCCCTCACATACATTGAGTTAGACCGGCAAAGGGTTAATAGTATTATTCATGCATCAATTTTGTTGTGACTTTTGGAAGATTGGTCTTCTTGCTCCAGTTCACCCATTCATTCATTCGTTCGTTCGTTCGTTCGTTCATTCATTCATTTATTCATTCATTCAGACTCTATTGGAAGGATTCTCCATAATTGGAAAGGTGGCGAGGTGACAACAGTTCTTTTAAGGATTGCAATAAACAGAACAAGCTGAAGCGTCATTTCACGAAGGTTTTATTTCTTTGTCCATCACTCAGGGCATAGATTAACGGCCGGACATCGGACATTTTCCGGCCATTTTCGGCCACTGACCGGACGTTTTCAATTTCACCGGACATAGTGTCCGGTCAAAAAGGAAAAAAGAGCAGCGACCTTTCGTGAAGTTTCGGCCTTTTTATGCAGAGTTGGGCTTTCTTCGGAGCTTCGTGCATATCGTACAACTTACACGTCTACACCGTAGCCTCGATCCCTCAGGCGTAGACTTCACCATAATCCGCCTGTAGCAACGCGGTTGCTACAGTCAATTCACACTTTCGACCTTTGGTACATGGTGTCGACTTCGCACCTGAATCGATGGGTTGAACTGCAGTGCAGTTGTTCGCTCTTGAGAGGAAGATGTCATCTTTTATTTTTCACTCTTTCACTGACCAGGAATGCAGATAGTCTTTTAGAATGTCTTCTGGAAAGCGAAAGGGAGATTCAGAGGACTTGCCGCCGGGCAAAAAAGTCCGTGGTGTGAAGGCCGCTACTTGCGATAAGTGGATCTCGGACAATGATGCAGAGCTGACTACTTCCGCCTGGCTGATTTATGACCGGCAGAAGAACGATCGGCTTGTAGCAGAATGTTTGAAGTGTTCCGTGTGCATCAAGTGTTAGTTTGTAGACAGAGTCCGCAGTTGTAAAAACTTCAGCGAGGCTTTCATAACCGGATCCAAGAACCTGAGAACATCAGCGTTCAAGGATCATGCTGGAACGGAGATGCATAAACGAGGAATGAATCTTTTCCGCAGGCAAGAGTGTCCCGCTCGAAATGCCCTCGAATTCGCTCCAATTGCGAAGGCACTGTGCGAGATGGACGATGGTGCTGCCGCTATTGCACGACGCAAATTCGAACTGACTTACCTTCTCTGCAAGGAGCATATCGCATTCGCAAAATTCTTGACTGCAACGCTTTTTTGTACATACATTTGTCGTCAGTAAATAGTTCAGTTTCTAATACAAATAAATTGGCGAATTGTACATAGTAATGTGTGAGCTACGTCCACATAATGAGTCATTGTGAATATACTTCAGTACTACTAAAAAAAAGAAGAAACACCCTGAGAATGTGTTGTGGAAAATGTCCGGGCATGTCCGGACAGATTTCAAAACGGAAGGACATTTGTCCGAGCTAAATGAAATCCTTAAGCTATGCCCTGTCACTACTTTCTCTAGAATGTATCCATGACATCTAAATAAAACCTTCGTGAAATGACGCTTCAGCTGGCTCTGTTTATTGCAATCCTTTTAAAGCGATTCTCCATAAGAAAATGGATAATTATCAGGGGAGTTTCCTGGAAGGGTGGATGGGATGACAGGCACGTGAAAAATGGGGTCAAGGAGTCATTTCCCATGCTCTACTCACGCGGCCAATGTGATAGAAACTTGACAAGCGGCCGACTGCCCAACCAGGGCTGCGGCGTGTTGAAGTGACAGGATAGTGGGCACTGGCTGGTTCTCCATGAACTCCGTTCTAAACGTGTTGTTGAAGCCGTTCAAGTTCAGAGATCCTACAGGAATCAAAAGGAAGAGTTACATGTACAAAAATTTGATCAGTTCAGTCAAATTTGTACTTGCATCCATAAGATGAAAAAGTTAGGCTGAAAGCACTAGCAGCATGACAAGAAGCAGAGAACAATGGAGAAAGGTTTCACGGTTTGTACTCCAATAGATGTTAGGATAATCAGTTTCATGTACTACGAGAAGCTTCGTTCCAACACTCCAACAACGGGTTCTTCACTGCAAATCAAAGCGTATTCATCCTGCAGGGATGACGGGCCAGGCTCAAAAGTTTGGTTGAATACTGAGTATTATTATTGATTTGATTTGCAGTGAAGAGAGCGTTATTGGAGTGTTTGAGTGAATTTTCGTATATGTGTAAGTGGCTGTGTTGGAGTTTTTCGGACACTATTGGTAAGGATATCAGTTTCATGTCCTCTTGGCCCACACAAAAAAAATGTGAGCAGACTACAGCACTTTGTCAACCTGATCACGGGCAGCCCGGCGAAAAGTAGGTGAAATGTTAAAAGATTTTTGCGAGCGAAGAGATCGTTTTTGTAGTAGGAAAAGTGAAGTGTTTATCAGGTGCATGCGGCTCAGGAGACAATAATTTATTTTCACTGCTCTTTTAAGAAAAGTATAAAAGCGTTCAAGTGACTACGTCGTCGTAGTTTTAGGCCAATTTGAAACGCCTACAGGACATCTTGGTGTAATTGATATCCAGCGCTGCCCTAGCTCCCCAGCGTTTCTCTTACTTTTCAGTTCCCCTTTCATTCTTTTTATTTCTCCCCTCCATTATCGTGGCTGCACACTCTTGTATGTGCTCCCACGGAGGAAATTGCTGCCATAAATGTTTTCCCGAATAGCGGATGCACCTGTAGGTGCTCAATCTCCGGACAGCTAACTCAGTTCCCATTTCATTCTTTTTCTTTCTCCTCTCTATTACCGCCATGGCTGGCTATCGCCCACATCACTTTTTCATTGGCTAGTGCCACGTGACTGAACAAAAACAATAAAAAAAATAGAAGGCACAGATCTCACCTTGGCAGTTCATGCCATCCCCGTTGAATCCAGCCAAGCACTGGCATTCGAAAGATCCAAACGAATCCGAACACATTGCAAGCTCACTGCACGTGTGAGTGCCGGTCACGCATTGCTCCTCGTCTGCACATGTACACATACACACACACACACACACACACACACACACACACACACACACACACACACACGTACACACACAAGCATGCACACACATGCATGCACACACGCACGCACGCACACACACAAGTATATAATTAGACAGATGGACAAACAAGCGTGTGAATACACATGCACACACATACAACCGATATTGCTTGTATTGTAGTTGGTCTGTTGGTCTAGGGGTATGATTCTCGCTTAGGGTGCGAGAAGTCCCGGGTTCAAATCCCGGACAGACCCATTTTGTTCTCGATTTTCCCTCGTTTTCTCGCCTGAATGCATGCATGCTTGATTTGTATTCTCTTGGTCTAGGAAGTAACATGCTGATTTACACAATGCCACCATAACTATATTCTGCAGCGGGCATATTTGATGTGCTCCATGGCCAAGTTTATCTTGTGGCGAGATTCGACGGTTGTGGCCTTTTCCAACACGTTGGGAATTCTGAAGTATGTCTGCCGATTGCAATGTGTTCCAGCCAATAACTTTCACTGTGAGTACGCAGCATGGATGCAGTGAATGGGATTTTCGGTCTTTGACCACTTTGCTGGTGAGCTGACCTACTCACCTCACACCGCTTTAGGAGCTGCATCTGCACCTTGATCCTGGAAGGGTGGTGGCGTTCCTACGGATGCGGAAAACTCGGCTAGAGCTGACGTGAACCGTGAATTTGTTGAGTACCCAGCTGCTGATTCGTACAGGTGAAAAACAACTGTTGCCTCCCACCATACGCTCGGCAATGAGCACATCATCTCGTCATACCAAATGGGACAGTTTTTTAAATCCTTCCATATCCATTTCGATGAAGAGGAAACCTGCACGTTCTCCACTGCTTCATTTTCTGGGATCTCTTGAAGAAATAAACTGAAACCCTTGACAGACCTTTTGCCACACTAAATAAAAAACTTATAATTTGTCAAGAAAAAATAAAAAAAATCCTTCGAGCCGGATTCGAACCAGCGACCTAAAGATGACTACACATCCCACTGATGCGCACACTACAGTCTTCCGCTCTACCAACTGAGCTATCGAAGGGGATGGGAACCAAGTACGCTAGAGTGGTGCATGGTCCTGTCCCTAAAACACCATTTAACTGTGTTTCCTGGCAGTGAACTATGCATTTACTTAGTTTCCTGAACAATTGACATACAGTTTGCCTACCTATGGTTGACTCTCATATGGTGGTAAATGCACACCTGGCAATATGGCGGTAAATACATGCCTGCCCACACACGCTCTCTCAGCCCTCTAAGCTGTATTGCCAGGTGTGTATGGACCACTATATGAATCAATCATAAGTACAGCTACAGTAGAGTCTTCAGCTTCATTCCACTTTTTGCCTACCGTATTTCCCCGATTGTTAGTTGCACCCCCACTTTGAGGTTTGAACCACATTGTTTCAATACATGCATATAAGTAGTATTTCACTCTCGATTGTACGTCGCATCCCCTTCTTTGCCCGAGAAGTTCAGTGTAAAAAGGTGCGACTTATATTCGGGGAAATACGGTACCTCCATTTAAACTGAAAGAATGTGTCATGGATGCTGATTTGGTTGTAGTTGGTCTGTTGGTCTAGGGGTATGATTCTCGCTTAGGGTGCGAGAGGTCCCGGGTTCAAATCCCGGACAGACCCTATTTTTTCTCCAATTTTCTTACGCATCCATGTCATAATACTCCTTTACCACTTTCTTACTGTATTTAATCCATTGTTCCTGTTCCTTTTCCCTTGCCTGTATTTCACCTGACGAGAAGGCTTGAAAGTATACTTGTGAAGACAAAAACTTTCAAGATGTTTGTAATGAGCCTGAAGTGTGTCCTTTTTATGAGTATTATCGCATTTTTGTCTCAGAGGAAACTGCATCCATGTCAATTTAGAATATGTTGCGGACGTTTGGCGGGGATACAAAGCTTTTGCAAGAGGCAGAGAGGAATGTTTTCAGCAGAGGTTTTGCACACCGAATTTTGGATACTTTTATTTCCAAGGGAGCGGAAATGTATTCAAAACTTGTGCAAAGTCTGTGGAGATGATATGATCTGTTTCAAAACTGGATTGTGGGCCAGACTGATGCCTGGAGGTTGAGGATGTCTGAGGTCCATTCTAGGTTGTGTCAGGCGTGTCTTTTATTTTTGTTTTTTTCTTATCATTCTCTGACCAGCACAAGTGAATACTGTGGGTAGTGTCTCAACACGGCTGATCCACACTCGAAAGTGTATCTATTATTCTAGGTTGTACAAGTCACTGCCTCGCATGTATGCTGTGGTATTCGAATCTGGATTTGGAAAATCTATTTTCATTGCTATCAGGTTTGGCTTTCATTTTCTCTGTGCTGTGCTGATGAGTCCACAAACGGGACGAAACAGTTCTGTCCGCAGATTGAGTGGTTCGGTATTCATTATTTTACTTCAGCATGCGAACAGGCAATGGTGCCTTCTCACCAGCCAACGTCAGGCTCTCACAGGATGACGAAAAGCTTGTGTCCTGAACGAACTCACACGGTTATAAGCAGGATACTGGTGAGTCAGAGCGTGCAACAATTAGCACAACACTGACTGGTGTAATACTGATACTGATATTCAACGACCTGATGCTGAGCTGCATCACATCTGGAACGCGCAAACCAACAGCCTTCAAATCTGGAAAGCTCTACGTTATGAAATAACGAAAGAAAGGGGAAGGCGAGCGCACTCAGGATGAGAACAAGCTAAACATCACAACAAACTAAAGATATTAGCTTCGACAAGATGATGGCGACGGAATAAGGGCCACAGCACACAAGATGGTCATGGCGCACTTTGAGAACGCAACACATCAGCAGGTGTGTAGCACCCCCATTGGAGGGGGTCCGGCCGGAGGGGGTTCGGGATCTCCCCGTGACAATTTTGAAATTTGGGTGCAAAATCCTGCATTCTGGGCACGTTTGGCATTGTGTTAAAAAAGTTGTCCGGACCGGCTGCTACGCCCCAGATCAGAACTCATACAGCTTTTTATAATGAAAATTCTTGTCCGGCTTACCTGAACAGTCGCCAGCATTTCCATTGCCAACGAATCCGGCCATGCATCCGTCACACATGGATCCTCCGACCGTGTTGAGACAGATGCCAACAGAATCACAGAGATGTCCGCCAACAACACATTCATCAATATCTGCAGGAAATACCACAGAGAAAAAATGATAACAGAGAGCAAGATTGTTCAGTAATCTATGTGGAACGTTTCCTTTACTCTCCCCATCTCCACTGCAGCGTTTTTTTTCCACTAATGTACTCTCCATCTTGGAGGAAGTCATCATGTTACATTGAGCATGTGTTTGTACTGAAATACATATTCACGTCATAGCCTTCAGGGCGGAAATTTATCCTGTTTTTCAGAAGTAGATTTATTTATTTATTTTTACTTTGTTTTACTTCGCAAAATCCAAACGCAAATTGCTTCCCAATAACAACGTAGCGAAGAGGGAAGAAAAAAGAGGGGAAAGTGAGTCTTCAGTCACGGAAAGTTTGTCATCATGTTATATTAATGAAGCGATAGCTTTGCAGCTATGCATTGGCATGGAAGAGGATTGCTGTCCATGACGGCAAACTAATGCAGGACTCAACTACCCCAAGATTGCCGACAATGACGGTGAATCACTAAATTCAGCTCCTTGTCTCCTGCCGCGACGTGTTTGTCCTGGCTGTGTTTGGTTCAGCATGCCTCAGCCTTATGTAGCCTAAACAACATGGTACAGTGCACCTGAAAAGGGTGCTTAGCTGCAATTTACTGGAAAGGAGAAAAAGCACATTTGAAGTTCGAACTTGTGGCTAAAGACGATCCAAAAATTCCACCATTACAGCATCATTCAATTCAGTTGACGGATTTCCATCTGGGTCTTTTTAAAGGAAAGTCTGAGGGGATGGTTACCACAAGGACATTGATTACTCGAGATCATAAAATTGGACCCTGAACACGCTTTTCTTCTGCTCTGCACCATACGTGTACTAATGGGTACATATAGCATGGGAATGACAATACCAGTATCATCGCTAACACACGACATACCATCAAACGGTTTTGCCCTTGTGCACCATTTTCATGTGCTCTGCACCATACATGTATGCAGTGTGATGAATATAATATTTGGCATTTGAATGACAATAATAGTACCATCACACTATCCTCTCAGTGCCTTTCCCAGTCCCCCTCCGTTTCCCGCACCCATCCCGCCAGATCCACTCCAAGATATCTTTGGCGAGCCACGACGCCAAGACCTCCCGAGGTCGGCTCAGCTTCACAGGTCCCACCCACTCCATATATGCCGGATATGTGCTCTTAACGAGAGAGCTTGGAAGCTCAAGGCCCTACCTACGCTATGCTTTTTTGCCTTGATGACCTAGACAAAAAAAGCATAGGGATGTTATAAATTCTTTAAAAAATTCCTTTTTTTAAAGACATAACCTGGGATTCGAACCCGCACTATCGCGCCCTGCATGCATCCCCCGATACACTTCGCATACATACTAATTCTTCCAAGTTGCTTCACATTATGATCTTGCTTTTGAAAGCCCTATTTGAATATGCATTGTGGCCAGCCGTCTTTGATGGTACGGTACGGTAGGGGATAGGTACGGGACAGGTACGATCGAGGGTAAAACGACACCGTCTCCTGTACCGTACCATCAAACACAGCTGGCCACATACAGCTGCCCGCAATATTCAAATAGGGCTTTCAAACGCAAGATCATAACGTGAAGCAACTTGGAAGAATGGGTATGAATGCGAAGTGTATGGGGGAATGCATGTCGGGCGATAGTGTGGGTTCGAATCCCAGGATATGCCTGAAAAATAGGAGAATTGAAAAATTTATAACATCCCTATGAATTTTTTGCCGTCAGATACGGGATAGCGCCAGGCGTGACACAAACAAACAAACAAACACACAAACACACAAATACCAAACGAGAGAGCTTGGAAGCTCAGGGCCCTACGCTATGCTTTTATGCTTTTTTGCCTAGCTCATCGTACATGTTATAAGAACTGAGGCAAAAGTATTTGCAGAATTTAATGCGGATTGTTATTTCTCTAATAATCATCTTCTTTTGGTTTGCTCCTTCTTTTCTTTTTAGCTCCTTATACTGTAAATCAACAAATTTTGGCTGATGAGAAATAGACCTCTCTATTAAAGAGGTTAAGATGCACGCTATTTCCGACGTGACGGGCAATTTCACGTCAAATTTGAAATCGATAGGTATTTTTGCTCTCACATGCATCCATTGCTCAATAATGCATCAATTTCCTACTTGGTCCGACTTATTAAAATGTGCGCTTCGCTTCAAAACTCAAGCCTATGTCCAAAGGAGCACCTGTACTAAAAAATCGACCAAGAGACGATAGATAGATAACTACTGTGTCGTTTCTTGGCCTGACCTTCTAGTTTCCATCTCTGCTGGTGTCTCAGGGCGCTTCTTCAAGTGCGTCAACCTGCAAAACGTCGACATTTTTTTCATCTCCTCCAAGCTACACTGCGCTTCCTTGATTTTTTCACTCCATAGGCACGATTTAGACGGTCGACTTCGCCTCCTCCTCGTGCAGTACGACTGCCAGAATGGTGGCTGTAGGTGTTTTCGCCTGACGCTCCCACGAGACTTTCAAATGAGGCGAACAAGTAAACCACCACGCAGAAAAAATCACTTCTCATCACCGTGTGCCGCGCGCGTAGAACTAGTACTGACTGATCTGTGTCGACATGACTGTCACACAGTCAGCTGCATCAGACCATGCGTGCTCTCCCCTGCCTGTTTCACGAATCCACTGGCCCCGGAGACTGGCGATCTTGTGACGCATCGATCGCGATCGCGGCTCCGAGGAGTCGGCGAGGACTCCGCATCATTCACGCACCGTATTCACCCTTTCTGCGCTTCAGTTTTCCAGCCAGGTCGTCGCCTGAAAGTCGACCTCAAGGGCGGTTGTTTACATCGATCAACTTCTCGACGATCTCTTCTGTGATCTTGATTCGTCGGCCGCCACATCGTGAACGAATGCGAGAGAGATCAGCACAAACTGGACGGAGCGATGCAGGTGCTTTCTGCACGAGTTTCTAGATGACGCGTTTGCTGAACTTACTTGATTCTTCCAAGGAAACAGCGACTGCAGCGATTTCAATCCGCCAGGAAGCACTCGAGAACGATCGCCCAGGAGTTTCTGGTACTCCGTGACAATTCCCCATCGCAGTGGGGTGTTGATTTCAGCACCAGGCCTTCTCTGTGTTGCGCAAGAAGCAACAGGAGTCCTCTGACGACAAAATTTGCACGCAAAATTCTCGAGTCGACTAGGATCCTGAGGCGCTGCCTCCTTTGGGGTTGGAGTCATTTCTTCTTCAACATCACAAATCGACAACTGAAGGATAGTGTTAGGTAGCTGGAAAGTTTGTTCCGTCCTGAGATTATTTGAATTTGTTTGGCTGACGTTCGAAGCGAAACGCACATTTTAATAAGTCGGACCAAGTATATGACAAACTTTGGCCTGTGATTTACTTTGGCCGGTTGGTACCAAGCGGCGAAATCAGCGAAATTAAATCGCCAGCGAAAATTAGTTGATTTTAATACAGTAATCGGATTTTCTGGCCTTTTTGTAGTAATACATGTACATTGACCTGTTGAGCCAATGACGCCGCCGAATGCATGGTTGCCTGTGGAGCACATTACATAACTTAGCAGTCTCCTAAAATACGTATCCTGTCCGACGGCAAAAGAGTCTGCAGATTTAGTTTTTCTTCGCGTCGACGGGATGTCTGCGACGCGAAAGTTCAGCTCGCGTTATTTGGCTCGCACGTCGAAAAATCAACGCGAGTGACCTGCTGCTCACGTGGAAATTTGGACATTACATAACTTTACAGTCTCCTATAATACGTATCCTGTCCGACGGCAAAAGAGGCTGCAGATTTCGTTTTTCTGCGCGTCGACGGGAAGTCTGTCCTGACGTTCACTGGGACCGGCGCTGACTCTGCCGATCACGGGCGTTCTGGACTCGACAGGATGTCTGTCCTGACGTTTCCTGGGACCGGCTTAGACTCTGCCGATCACGGGCGTTCTGGACTCAACGGGATGTCTGTCCTGACGTTGCCTGGGACCGGCGGACTCTGCCGATCACGGACGTTCTGGAGTCGACGGGATCTCTCTTCCGACGTTTCCTGTGACCGGCGCTGAATCGCTCGTTCACGCTTATTTTGGAGACGACGCGATCTCTCTTCCAAAGTACATGTATGTTTATGCTGACGCTGTTTATGCTGACGCATCCTATCACCTATTTGGCGTCTATTCTAATTTAATTTCCTCCTCGTTTCCCTATTTCTTTCCAAATCTCCCTCTACATCAGGGAGTCGTATACATAATACGACGAATATTGGTACGGTACGGGACAGATACAGGAGCTGCCAAATATTGTGGACAGCTGTTATGTACAATCCTGTAGAGCCTTTGTAGTCACAGATACGGGACAGATACGGGACAGATACGGGATAGCGCCAGGCGTGACACAAACAAACAAACAAACAAACACACAAACAAACAAATACCAAATTAAAGCTGTGTGGACCCTGGCTAGCGCCAGACGTTACTGAAGTAACGTCTTCTGCATAGCTACGGGAATTAAAGCTGTGTGGACCCTGGCTAGTACCAAATTAAAGCTGTGTGGACCCTGGCTAGCGCCAGACGTTACTGAAGTAACGTCTTCTGCATAGCTATGGGAATTAAACGCAGTTTCTAATTGTCCATCATGCAAAGAGTGTTCTTTGTAAAAAAATTGAAGAAAAGGTTGATGCAACCTTGGCAATGCTTGGCAAATTGTGTGTGTTGCTCCCTAGGTGGGAGCTCGCGCTTTTCCTGTCGACTTGAATTCTCACTAGAATGACTCACGACTGCCATCCAGAGAACACGATAAGTCCATCAAACCTTTCACTTGGCTAACCTGCAAGAAAGCACCACTCCCTGCTCAATACACAGTGTTTCGGGAAATTCCTCCCTCACCACAAAACAAAAACATAAAGATGACGTACCGTCACAGATTTGTCCAGAACCTTCAAACCCGTCGTTGCAGTTACATGAGAATGAGCCGGCCACATTAGCGCACATAGCCATCGGGGAACATGTGTCTGTGTCGGTAGCGCACTCATCAATATCTGCACACAGCACAGTACAGGATATTGTTACACAGTCACTGCCAATCACAGCCAATCACAGCCAATCACAGCCATTCACAGCCAATCACAGCCATTCACAGCCACCCACAGCCATTCACAGCCATTCACAGCCAATCACGGCCATTCACGGCCATTCACAGCCAATCACCGCCAATCACAGCCATTCACAGCCATTCACAGCCAATCACAGCCAATCACAGCCATTCACAGCCATTCACAGCCAATCACAGCCAATCACAGCCAATCACAGCCATTCACAGCCATTCACAGCCATTCATAGCCATTCACAGCCAATCACAGCCATTCCGTTGCCCGGGACGCAGGAACAAAAAGAACAAGTTTAGTTGCACTCGGATGGAGAGCCAATGATTAACTTCTAGTAAAGAAAAGGACCAAGTCGGAAAGTTTGAAGACTGTTGGAGTGCGCACCAAAGACCCAATGTTGGAACAGTTGGATAGTCACACACACACACGCACGCGCACACGCGCACACACAGACATGCACACATACACACATACACACACGCACGCGCACACGCGCACACACAGACATGCACACATACACACACGCACGCGCACACGCGCACACACAGACATGCACACATACACACACATACATACACACACACAAACACACACACACACACATACCCCACATCACATCACTTACCGGAACAGGACATCCCATTTCCAGTAAACCCAATCAGACATGTGCAGTTAAAGGAGCCGAATGTCTCCGTACATATGGCATTTCCATCACATGGCATTGTCATACATTCCGCAATATCTACAAGAATTAGCAAAACAAAAGTGTAAATTACAGCAGTTGTGAATGGGTGCATCACGGCATGAAATTGAAATGTGTGAATGACAGCAGTGGTGAAAGATACTATTTCAAGTGACAAGCACTGGAGCTGGTTGTCTGCTACTTGATTAGATGATGTCTGTGGATGGCTTGGAGAATGAGCAGAACATAAGACACACACACACACACACACACACACACAAACACACACACACACACACACACACACACACACACACACACACACACACACACACTGCAAGCATGCCAATGTCTCACTTACCCATGCACATGACTCCATCACCAGTGGTACCACCGGGACAGTTCCTGCAGATAGCCCCACTACCCGGGGCCGGCACATCTGTACAGATAACTCCCTGGAAGCAGCCCGCGCCCTGGACACAACCGTCACGGTCATCCTCACACCGATCACCAGTGTATGCTGCACAGAACAATTTGACAGGCAAAGCATACAGTAGAGAGAGAGAGAGAGAGAGAGAGAGAGAGAGAGAGAGAGAGAGAGAGAGAGAGAGAGAGAGAGAGAGAGACATAGAGAAAGAGAGAGATAGAGAGAGAGAAAGAGAAGATAAATAGATTATAATTATAAAGGAGAAATTTGGCAATTCCTGGCAAAGTGCTCAATGCACAAAGTGCAGAGCGTTTCATATGAAAAAAGAGAAATAGGTCCAGTTTGGATTTGTCGTGACTCAAAGTCTCATGCCACTGCAATTATCAGACGATGGTCGTCTGATGATTGCAGTGGCATGAAGCTTTGAGAGAGAGAGAGAGAGAGAGTGAGAGCGAGAGCGAGAGAGAGCGAGAGAGAGAGAGAGAGAGAGAGAGAGAGAGAGAGAGAGAGAGAGAGACACACACACACACACACAGACAGGGAGAGAGAGAGAGAGAGAGAGACAGAGAGAGAGAGACAGAGAGAGAGAGAGACAGAGAGAGAGACAGAGACAGAGACAGAGACAGAGAGACAGAGTGAAGTCATTTCATAACTGCCATAACTCGGGCAAATCTCCATTAGTTGACGCAACTGAAGCATTTCATCGAAGACAAACCTCTCGGTTGTCGTCTCAACAATCTCCGAGAGGAATCGTTGTTCCTCAGTTATGATCATTGTATCTTCAGACTTAGCAAGGTTATGGTTGAACTTAAAGGGGAAGTTAAGGCTAAAATCAAAATTTCACCAGTTGTAGTCTTCGGGGTGCTGAGTCGAATGGTCGTGGTCCGAGGAAGCTGAGACGTTCCCTTCCTACTTTAATCCCAATCGAACTCGCGCCCTTCCACCGAAACTGGGTGACTGCGCCCTACTAGATGGGGATTTTTATGCAAAATGTCACTAAAAGCGCCATTTCGTTCTTATTAAAGCACGGATGACCGCGGTTGGTCCATATGTTGTAGTCTTTTGGACGCTGAGTCGACTGGTTTTGGTCCGAGAAAGCTGCGATGCAGCGTTCCTCCTTTATTCCCAATCGAACATGGTTGAACAAGTGGTCACGTGCTCCTGCGTGCCCAAGTCACCTGGTCACAGCGCCAGCAGGCGACAACTTTCACACCAAGGTTCAACTCGAGTTCAACTCGAGTGACAGGACTACACCCAAAAAAGGTCAAACAGGCTGGAAGTGGTACCCTGCAGGCACGGTGACCAGGTGACTGGTGTACGCAGGAGCACGTGACCGCTTGTTCAACCATGTTCCATTGGGAATAAGGGCCGATCGCTGCATCGCAGCCTTTTAGGACCTAAAACCAGTCGACTCAGCGTCCACAAGACTATAACATATGGGCCAATCGCGGTCATCCGTGCTTTTATAAGAACGAACTGGCGCTTTTAGTGAGATTTTGCATACAAATCCCCATCTAGTAGGGCGCAGTCACCCCAGTTTCGGTGGAAGTGCGCGAGTTCGATTGGGATTAAAGTAGGAAGGGAGCGTCTCAGCTTCCTCGAACCAAGACCATTTGACTCAGCACCCCAAAGACTACAACTGGTGAAATTTTGATTTTAGCCTTAACTTCCCCTTTAATGTCTGTGATGTCACCTTTGCACCGTGACCTTACTTAAAAAGCTCGTAGCTGTACTGATGAGGCCTTTATGGCCGAAACAGCTTGCTGCCTACAGCTGGGCGTTGGGCATTGTGTTAGGTAAATACGTACACTCGTTGCAGTTGCACTCGAGGAGTGTAAACTGAGCCAGTCCACCGTCCTGGCCCGTTTGCTGCGGGAAGCACGGCTGCATGTTCTCACACGGGCACAACACGATCACTGGCTGGAAGGTGCTGTTGACGTTGTTGTCGTCGGTGGCTGTGAACTCCAGGCTAACCATGGTGTCTGCTGTGCTGGGCGTCCAGAACAAGTTGTAGGTGGTGACGTTGCCCTCTGTGTGTAGGTATAGGCACAGAGTATCACACGCAACACAACCAGTAGCATCATGTTCATGAGAACTCCATACTCTCCAGTATACACCCACTATCACCCAGAGTTGTAGGTGGTGACTTTACCCTCTGTGTGTAGGTTTAGGCACAGAGTATCATATACAACACAACCAGTAGCATCATGTTCATGAGAACTCCATACTCTCCAGTATACACCCACTATCACCCAGAGTTGTAGGTGGTGACTTTACCCTCTGTGTGTAGGTTTAGGCACAGAGTATCATATACAACACAACCAGTATCATCATGTTCATGAGAACTCCATACTCTCCAGTATACACCCACTATCACCCAGAGTTGTAGGTGGTGACTTTACCCTCTGTGTGTAGGTATAGGCACAGAGTATCATATACAACACCACCAGTAGCATCATGTTCATGAGAACTCCATACTATCCAGTATCTGACTCATCTAGAGCCACAAAACTGGCATCTAAACGTAAAAGGCCCCAAAACTATTGATTGGCATAACAAATGTTTACTTGCTATCAGTAAGTATGTATGTTCTGAATTACGGGCAATTCCTAATAATGGGCAGTGCTCTGTTCCAACCTGCCCGGATCTTAGAAGCTTTGCTGTATCTCAATTTCTTCTTCTCTTGTTGGCCACAGGCCATCGCGAATATAGACAATTTCAAACAACACCATATCCAGACAAAGCGACTAATTGACTGCATTCTTTCAACCTGAAGATTAACGGCATCCAGCAAACAACAACACTAAATCTTTGCTCATGCTCGATCGAAAGTTGCTACTGTAAATCAATTATATTTCGTAGTCGTTTTTACTTTCGTAAGGCTCTCGTCTTTTACGAAATTAAAACGCTTACTCAGACTATGATATCCCTTGGAGGAAATTCGAAATGTTTGGCGATGGCTGTGCTTGTTGTTCCGGGCATCCTCGAGCGAGAGCGGAGGCAGTAATGAGTACCAGCGCTGAAGCGCTACCATGGTCTCCGCCAAGATGTTGGAGAAGGCATTCAGGTAACAGCGAAGACGATCAGGGACGCGGAGAAGTTTCCCCGTGACATACGACATCACGCGTCGATCGACTTGCCACTTGGAACGGTTTCAGCGGCGATGAGTCGAGCGATGGCGACCCAGACTGAGACTCTACTCCCACTAATCGATCCTGTAGATATTGTTGATATGTCGATTGAATGTGTTGAAGTGTTTCTCTTCCAAAAGAACACTTTTTGTTGAGCACAGCCTTGAAAACTCATGTCAAAAAGTCACGAAGTTTTTGTTTCCGCAGGAAGTAGCTCTGCAGTCTGCACTGCGCGTACTGTACAGTCACATGTACAGCACGCTTCTGCACGCTGCACTGATTCGAACGACACCATACACGCATGTGTCAGGCATACCTAAGTATGCATATTGCCTGTAGTAATATATCGCCTATAGTGATATTTTCACGAAAATCAAACACCCACGCTATAGCCGATCTGTACTGTATTTGCAAGTTACTATTCGCAAGGCCAACTGTAGTATGATCTGTGTTCAACTCACCTCGTCCAACCAATGTTAGATTGAAGTCATCGGGCAGTACGGTGTTGTTTGCTGCCTCCACAACCAGTACAACCTGATCAACATCGGTGATAGTCACTGTGTAAGTCACTAGCTGGCCAAGAACAGCGTCAATCTGATCTGCACCCTCTATCAACGGGGCAATGTTCACTGGGAAAACGGTTCAAAAAAGTCAAGGATATATAATTATGCGCACACAGGCAGACAGACATACAGATGGCCAGACAGACGGACAGACATACAGACAGACAGACAGACAGAAAGACAGACAGACAGACAATCAGATAGACAGACAGACAGACAGGCACACAAGCACACATGCACCCACAAACAGAACACCCATGAATAAGAAAGTGTGTGTGTGTGTATGCGGGGGTGGGGGTGGGGGGGGGGTGGGGTTGGGGGGCAGGGGTTGGGGGCAGGGAGTGGGGGTGGGAGGTGGGGGGGGGGGCATAGTCAATACACTTTCCTTTGCCCCCCTCCCCGAACACACTTTCTTCCGTTCTGTTCATGTTTTGTTTTTGGCTATACAAGAATACAAGTGTACCATTATGAACCAGGGGCGTCACAGGGTGGCTGGGAGTGGTACAACCGGGGGTCCGGGGGTGGCCCCCGGAGAAAAAAATAAGGATTTTTCGGCTAACAGGCCACCTTTTAGCGCTCTACAGCCGCAAAGGAGGGTTCCCCTAGCACTTATTCGACAACCCCACTCCAGCTCCAAAAACATACTTCTCATGGATTTTTGGTATTTTCTGTACATCGTAGGTAGCCAAGCAAGGCAAATGGAACCCATTCGATGATTCAGGGCCATTGCCCTCGAAAAAATCGCAAAATTCGAAGTACAAGCGTGCTGCGCGGTCTAGCGCCAGCGGCTAGCTATGCAAAAACGTATGTCGTGTCCTGCAAAAGTCTGCCGCGTCGCGTACACTATGTACACGTCCGGCCTGGGCAGTCGCGAAGTAATTATTTTAGTTGTTTTCAGAGAGAGAAGAAGATCCTTTGTTGATCGGTGGGATTGAAAGATCTGCCAGTGGACCGGAGAGCTACAACAATGGAAGCAGAAGAAAGCGCTTGCGGAATCTTCTCTGTCTTCGTGGCAACAGGACTTTAGTTTGCGAGAGACTTTCGTCCTGTCGTCGCGGACGAAATTCTTGTTGCTGCTACCAGAAAACTCGGGGAACGAAACGATCGTAAATCGTTATAATATAGGTGAAGCGGGTCGTGTCGGTGAACAGCTGCAGAATATTCTGCCGCCGTGGAGCAGCAGTCCAAACACTTTTCAGCTTCGGAGAATGAAGCGCTTCCCTTTTCCGTTGACAAGCGCTGCGTTCGCGGGTGTAATGCATTTTCGAATCCGCTTGCAGTAGATCGTCAGGAGCCAGAGGTACTAGGTAGGTGTCGTTGTGGAAAGAATATAATTATTATGTTGTAGCTGACAAGTGACATACATGTAGTGTCTCTTGACGTGCTGATCGCCATTGTAACATGGTAGATCTTGGAAAATTTTAGTTCTGGACCCAGTGATCGCCGCCAGCTCAGCTCTGTTTCCGTCAAGTTTGCAGTGAATGCGTCCGTGAGGAATCCATCGTCTGGTTATCTCTAACCGTGACTCCAACCGCCTATCGTAATGGATAGCCGCCTGGAGTCTTGGGCGTAGCTGCTAGTGCTAGGCATCAAGTCTGTATGCTCCTTGCAATGAAAGTAACAGTTGCGATGTTTTGTACAAGTCCGAAGATCCTTGAATTTTTTTATTGCTTTTTCGGATGAATTGGGTGGACCATCCTGGACGAAAAGTGGTACGACCATGGTCGTAGTGGTCGTACCGTGTGTGACGCCCCTGTGAACTTTTACAGGACATCTGATCACTCTGCCCATAGTGCTAGCTCACGCTTGCTGGGCGTCTTCTCATTGTATCACGTATCAAACGAAATAGTGGTTGCGACTTCTGCAATGATTTGTTTGAAAAGGGTTCGCTCCCCACACCGGAGCTCGCGCTATTCTGCCGACTTAACTCTTGACTGACTCGCGTATCAGCGGATTTTGGAAAATAAATCTCAACTCACAGTATCGAGTACTAGGAGAACAGAGGAAGAGTCTTACTGTGCACCTCTTGGACTTCTTTTTACTGAAGACACAACACAACTTACTCGTAAGAAGAGGGAAGAGAAGTAGCAGACCCAACTTACTCGTAAGGAGAGGGGAGAGAAGTAGCAGGATAACACAAAATGGGAAGAGTAGGGATCCAAGAAGGGGAGAGAAGTAGCAGGATAACACAAAATGGGAAGAGTAGGGGCTCCAAGAAGGGGAGAGACTTAGCAGGACCACACCACAATGGGAAGAGTAGGGATCCAAGAAGGGGAGAGAAGAAGCAGGACAACAACACAATGGGACGAGTTGGGGCTCCAAGAAAGGGAGAGAATTAGCAGGACCACACCACAATGGGAAGAGTAGGGATCCAAGAAGGGGAGAGAAGCAGCAGGACAAAAACACAATGGGACGGAATGGGAAGAGTAGGGGATCCAAGAATGAAACTGACTTACATGAAATAGAGAGCTGTGTGTTGAGCATGTCGTCGGTGTCCCTGGACTGCATTCCTACCATGACATTTCCAGTGGCCGCGGCATCAAACAGACACGCCGTGTTGCCACCGCAGGCGGCTCTCGCCTCGTCGCTGATAGTCAGGTTGTCGGAGAACACCGGTACGAAGTTCGGGAAGGCAAAGTCGTCGGGGCCCAACCCTGGTGGGTACGTGAAGAGAGTCTCACTGCCCACAATCTGCCCTGTAGTCCGAGGCATGGTGAACATGTGAGCAAGGTGACAGAGGCACATATAGAAAAAACAAACATTTCATTCGGAAAAAACCGACAGGACACACATTTTATGTCTTGTACTTAGCGAGCACAGCAAACACTGTTGCACATTGAGAGAGAAATAGAGAGAGAGTGTGTGAGAGAAATAGAGAGAGTGTGTTTGAGAGAAATAGAGAGAGAGAGTGTGTTTGAGAGAAATAGAGAGAGTGTGTTTGAGAGAAATAGAGAGAGTGTGTATGAGAGAAATAGAGAGAGTGTATGAGAGAAATAGAGAGAGAGTGTGTGTGTGAAATAGAGAGAGAGGGTGTGTGTAAAATAGAGAGAGAGTGTGTGTTTGAGAAATAGAGAGAGTGTGTGTTTGTGTGAGAAATAGAGAGAGTGTGTGTGTGTGAGAGAAATATAGAGAGAGTGTGTATGAGAGAATTAGAGAGAGAGTGTGTATGAGAGAAATAGAGAGAGAAAGAAAGAAATTGAGCGTGCTGGAAAGGATGAAGAAGAGAGGCAGTTAGGGAGAAGGAGAGATTGATAGAGAATAGAGAGAAGGAGAGACTGAGGAAGAGGAAGGGAGCATGGAAGAGAGAAGGAGAAAGAGAGAGAGGCAGGCATAGAAAGAGAGGCAAACAAACACACAGAGCGAGAAAGGACTACAAACAACATGACGGCGCAAGAACTTACACGTTTGACCAAATGAGGAAAAGATGTCTTGCTCCGAAGCACTGGATGGTAGTGTTTGAGCTTGTCGATTCAGGAAGTCATCCTCAGAGTCACCATTGAAAACACCCATCAATCCTGTTGTCTCTCCCTGGAATTCCTCCGGTACTGAAGAGAATAATTAAAGTAAAGCAATAAAAATAAATATTTATTCAGTTTCAGCAATACCACCACCAGCAGCAGCAGCCGCCGCAACAGCAGCAGCAGCAGAAGCAGCAGCAGAAGCAGCAGCAGCTGCTGCTTATTCTTCTGCAGCAGAAGCAGTAGCAGCAGCAGCAGCTGTAGCACCACCACCAGCAGCAGCACCAGTCTATAAGAGATGATTGCCACTGTACCGTTACTTGCGTACTCACATCTTGGTGACACTGTCATAGTCACCACACCACCTGCCTCCCCCACACTGACTAGGAATGCAGCTTGGTTTGAGAAGGTACACGTGACACTGTTTGTGTCAGTACGCATCAGGGTGACAGTGTCATCCGGCTGTGCAAACCAATAGTACACACACAGATGTACAGGAACCTTAGAAGCACAATGTCATATTGTTAGCAGAGGTCTTCATTGCTGCTCCCAGCCATATGCCATATCCACACTTAGACCGCTGATGAGATGTTCACATTTGAAACATTTGAAAAAAAAGACATTTACATTTGACAATATTGATGAGTGGACGACGGAAACACAGCTGGACATGACCAACCTAAAACGAAGACTGCTGTTCACACCCAAGCAAAACACTCATGCAAAATGCACTTGCTTTCTTGTTGCCATATTCATCAAATCCGTCAATCAATAGTTGTTGTAGATATTTCTAATGATCAGATAAGGCAGCTGTTGTGGAGCGTGGCTGGTGAAATGTTTGTGCTGGTGTCTGCAAGCATCGTGTGGTCTCGTCTGGTCACAAGACAAATCTATAACGCTACTGAAGTGCATTTCACCCAGAGCGCAGCAGTGCAATAGAGTCAGCAACAGTCATCCTCCTGCACCCCCCCCCCCCCTCCCTCCCCACCCCCTTTCACCCCCCCCCCTCCCGTCCCCCTTGCACCTCCTCCCCACCCCTTGCACCCAAACACAGTCATCCTCCTGCACCCCCTCCCCACTCCCTTGCGCCCCTCCCCACTCCCTTGCGCCCCTCCCCACTCCCTTGCGCCCCCTCCCCACCCTTGCACCCCTCCCCACCCCCTGGCACCCAGACACCTTGTGCCTTACTGCAAACATGTCCGGTATTCCCATCCCGTCCGCCACAGCCAGGCCGTACACGTCAATAGTGATATCCTGCTCTCCGTTCAACAATATCGCCATACTAGCTGGGCTGCCTGTGGTGCTGTTGGACGTGAACTGCAGCCGAGTCATCAGATCTGTAGACACGCACGAAAAAGCAGACGGGCATTCACGCACGCACGCATGCACATACACAAACGCAGACACACACACACACACACACACACACATACCCACATACATGTACACACATGCACGCATGCACGCACACACACACACACACACACACATGCACATACATACAAGCATGCGCAAACAAGTACGCGCACACGCACATGAAAAGCGTAGTGCGAATGCAGTGTAAATGTAGGTCATACATCTCAGAGACCTTACCAGCAGTGACTAAAGTAATAAACTCTTCTTGTACCTCCAAGCTGGCGTCACGTCAGGTCTCCTCGAAATCTCCAAACCATAGTATCATAAAGCCATTTTAAAATTACCCCCCCCCCCCCACCCCCTACGCCTAACCCCCCCCACCCCCTAAAACACCCCCCCCCCACCCCCTACCCCCTAAAACACCCCCCCCCACCCCCTACCCCCTAAAACACCCCACCCCCTACCCCCTAACCCCCCCCACCCCCTACCCCCTAAAACACCCCCCCCCCTACCCCCTACCCTCTAAAACACCTACAAACAAGAAGCTCAGTTGTACATGTATGTCTTGCAGTGACGTCGGATATACTACAGTCACTGCGGTTTTGACCGTATCACTCTTTGTCCCACGTACCACGTACCATGTGAATCAAATAAGAAAACGATGCACCGAATTGGGCTCAAAATTTCGAAATTTTGCAGTGGAGCCAATGCAACTTCATATGCAAGTCAGTCATAAAACACCTTCCAACGCCCCTGTCTTCACTCCATGCAACTGCGCGCGTGGGTCATCCCAGGAGAGGAGAAAAAATTCAGAGGAGATCTCGAAAAGATGACTCAATAGGCCATCGAAAATCTAAACACCCCCCGCCCCGCACACACACTACACTTAACTAACGATGTTCTTTATGGTTAAAGCCAAGTGATATGAACTAACCTCCCGAATCACTAAACAAGCCGATAGCACCGGCAGTGACAACCGTGGCGTTTGGACCAGTTGTTAGCGGCGTGGTTCTGATCTGCGCCTCCACCTCCATTGAGCTCATGGAGTCGCGTGCGCGGATCAGTCGATATTCGCCGTACCCGTTGAACGTGAAGTTACGCCCATCCAGAGTCTGAAGATGAGGGTCGCCAAAGAACCACGCTATAGAAGAACAGCGAGAGAGAACAGAACAGAAAAGTATCCAATGAACGAGTTCAGGACAAGGCAATGCACCAGTAGATGTTTGTTTTTGTCCATATAATTAGTTATTTTACCGGTTGGATTTGAAAGAACTGAGATAGTGAGCCGAGGTTAGCGCTATCGAGCAGTGCTCAAGCTGACTTTCATGCCGTGGAATGTCTCAGTACTCCCTGTCAGTTTTGTGCTAGATTGTGCACATCTGACTGTTCAAAAGCTGGTTTAGTTGGTGGACTCGATCACAATTTCCCATGTTACAAGTTGGATTTGTGAATAATATAAAAAAAAGAACTAAAAACACTTGCACATGCTGTGAGGCTGCTCAATTTCTGTGACTGACAGAGAACAGTACGCAATAGCAGGCCCGCCAGAAGGGGTCAAGCTGGTTAGGTTACCAGTATTACTGGACAAACATTTTGACAATCTACACATGTTTCCTATTGTTGAGGCACCCGCCAACTCATACACAAAGTCTGAAAGGCCATGATACTAGCGATCCCGGACCAATCAAAAACTGTTTCCGGCAGGCCTGAATCGGCACACAGTGAGTGATTCATGAGAAAGGTGGCTGTGCGGATTCACACGGCTGCACTCGACGACCAGCACGTTTGTATTTTTGAATGGTTCACCCACCAGTTGCCATGGGTATTTCAAATTTTCAAAACATGCAGACAATAATTATCATGGTGAAAAGAGCCGCGTAAAACTCACGTCTTTCGCGCTTTTTGGTGTACATATACTCGTGCATGTCACGATTATCGTGAAAGTGGGTCAAAGTGGGCCAAAGTGGTCCCCCATCTCACTTTGCACTTTTCAGCCACTTGCAGCCACTTTTCTCGTTCACAGGTAAAATACCATAGCAACGGTCCGGTGCACGTGGATTTTCCTGCCGTGTGAACCGCCTTTAACTCCAAACTCCATAACGGTCTCTTTACTGCGATTCAAAATTAAAAATTGCACCAAAATTTCCAAAGTAAAGAGAGTTGGGAGTTAAAAAAGGGAAGTTCCCTAACTGGTTACCACTACACATACCGAAAAAGAATGGCGGGGTGATTCTCGGCCGGGTCCTCGGCCGAACAGCGAAGAAACGAGCGCAGTTCCCGGCCGCGCAGCATGCATCCCTGGCCGAACGCTCTTGCCGGGCAGCGCTCAAGGACGCGAAACGATTTGTTATCCAGCCGCCGCCAGCACCGCTTGCGATGTGTGGCCGGAAGACACCAGGAAATCGGTAGCAGCACACCTGCATATAAAACACACACATTAAATACACCATAATTATATTCAGTGGTTTAGAGAAAGAAGGAAGCGGGAAAAGGCTGAAGAAAAATTGACTGTCACCACCAGGACTTGAACCAAGAACTTTCGCTTGAGGCCAGCAATGCTGGAAACATCACTATTCCTTTACGTTTTGTGGAAATAGTGATGTCCTATGTCATAATTTACTATGGCCTTTCCCCATCAACATGTATGTGATTCGGTGTCAGGGGGATTTCGAGGTTACGGGGCTGTGCCCGGTCCCGGACCGCCCGGATAAACGAGGTATGAGTGTAATCAACATGTAACATACAGCATCCAGGCTGGGAGAGAAGAAGAAGCTAAGGAATGGGCCAGGGGCGTCGGAAGGTATTTTAGTGTGGTACGGTCAGCCATCTGAAGTACAATTCACTTGTGCGGGAGTGGTGGTTGATCCGAAATTTTTGGAAATTTAGATCCCAGATCAGTGTGTTTTATTGATTCAGGGGGCACCTGGGACAAAAGGTGGTACGGTCAATACCGTAGTGACCGTACCGTGTCCGACGCCCCTGTGGGCGTACTTAACATGTAAACAGTTTCCTCGGAGACAAGAATGCAATACCACTGAGAAGAGGGACACACGTACGCTCTTGAACAACATCTTGCAAGTTTCACTAGTATACTTCCAAGCCTTATGGTCCGGTGAAAGACAGGCAAAGTCAAATGAACAAATACAGTAGATTACGTACAGAAGAGCGGTGATAGAAACAGCGCAAGGCAGAAGAGTCAAAGCAACTTGTAACTTACTGCATTCGGGCTGCGAGGGGAGAAGGAGAACGCTCTCTGAATGAAGCATATGGACTGAAACGGCTCGCTGTTGATGAAGCCTCCAGCGTTCTGGAGTCCAAGGAAGAACCAGAACGAGATTGACGGACAGCGGCGGAAGGATGGGAGGAGGACGCTCTGCAACGGTGGCAGAGCGGCCAGCTCCAACGTGCACTGCAGATCCAGGAGCGGCTCTCCGGTACAGCCGTCCGTCAGTTCAAACACGTTGATCGAGCGATCGAATGGTCGGTCACCTGTGTAGGTGAGTGCATCTCCGTCCCAGATACGACTGAACGTTGGAGCGTTGAACTGGCCCACTGTCCAGGCAATGTTGTTGAACAGGAAGATGGTGAACGTCTGGCACTCGTCCCAGGCGACGATCAACTGGTAGTGGTTGAACTGTTCAAATGAACATACGCAAACATACACAAAAACATACCGTATTTTCCGGGGTATAAGCCGCACCGGGGTATAAGCCGCACCCCCCTTTTTGAGGCAAAATATTGACTAAAAGTTGGTATTCGGAGTATAAGCCGCACCCACAAACCAAGATTTTTCACACTCATTGACAAATGGCCTTTCTACAAATTTATGATGGTTATGGAGCTAAATACCATGTTAGATCAGATTATGAAGTGTTAGTGCACCACAGGTTGCTGCAGAGATGTTGGTGTATATAGTATTGCTGTGTTGACTACAGATCACTCCATGTCATCTGCACTATCTTCAGTCTCGCTGCCACTGATGCACTAAAACTAGTAAAAGAAGTGCCGGGATAGCAACACAGGCGCGAAGCTGAGTCGAATGACATGTCACATGACGTCAGCATGCATACTGATGTATGCTAAGCATTCATTCGCGCAAGCATATTCGGTGTATAAGCCGCAGGGGCGATTTTGGTCCGATTTTTAGCGAAAAAAGTGCGGCTTATACCCCGGAAAATACGGTACATGATTGTATGCTCACACAGATGAAAATACATGCACGCACGCACGCACGCACGCACACACACACACACACACACCATTGGACCATTGGACGCCCATCGCCGGAGGCGATGATAGCGATGCTACAGCAGAAGCCATAGCAACTTGTGCTGGGATTGCACCATTCAACAGCTTGCAAGGCTGAAGAATTGGCCGCCACTATTCAGCCTGGTCTACACCACACAGCTATGAAGTGGCTTTTTCTGGCCAGTGAATCCCTACTTTTTGGTCTTTTTGATATTTTTTTCCCACACACACACACATCACACCACATACTCCGGCATGCACTGGCTGTTGGTAACCACCCAGGAGAATGAAAGAAAAGTCAGGAAGAGTCTGAGAAAGAGAAAAAAGACGTGTGTGACCATAATCGTCGGGAATCGAACCCGCAACCTATCGATTGGAAATCGCTACACATACCACTGCACCATATGGCACACCCACCCACCCACCCACCCACCCACCCACCCACCCACCCACCCACCCACGCACTCACGCACGCACACACTTTTCTACAAATAATCCTAGCCCATCAAGATGTTCCACTGTCCAAAGAGCACTCAATGCTCGTATCGGGCGGAGCCTTCGACACAGGAAAGAGAGAGAGAGATAGAGAGAGAGAGAGAGAAACAGAGAGGGAAAGAGAAACAGACAGAGAGAGAGAGAGAGAGAGAGAGAGAGAGAAACAGAGAGAGAAACAGAAACAGACAGACAGACAGAGAGAGAGAGAGAGAGCGAGAGAGAGCGAGAGCGAGAGAGAGAGCGAGAGAGAGAGAGAGAGAGAGAGAGAGAGAGAGAGAGAGAGAGGGAGGGAGGGAGGGAGAGAGAGAGAGAGACAGAGAGAGAGAGAGAGAGGGAGAGAGACAGAGAGAGACAGAGAGGGAGAGAGAGAGAGATAGATAGATAGATAGATAGGTAGAGAGAGTGAGAGAGAGAGAAAGAGAGAGAAATGTGCTGCGATTTCGAATTTCTCGCTAAGTTGTCTCATCGGGCAAATGCTAATCTGATTGTACACAAACAGTCCTGTATGTTCTACATGTGAAAATGAGATGATCTGAGGACACTACATTTGCTGGACACTGAGGACACTACATTTGCTTGCATGTCAGCAACGAAAGCTCTGAAACTTCATAATCCAGAACTTGAAAACCCGGAGCAGGAGCGATGCAAAAATATATTTTTGTTGTAGGCTGCTCACGGCGAGACTAGAGTTGGAATTTCATTGAATGAACCATGATTTCCTCTCAGAGGGTATCTGAATGTGTACTGGATGTTTCTCGTATGTGTGCTTACCCCAAGGTCCGGCAGCATGGAATTGCGGCCGGCTTGTCCTCCAGGGCTGGCCTGCATGAAGGTCCACGTGACGACCAGCACTTCACGCGGGCGGAAATCACTGGCGGCACCTCCAACTGCTCCAGCTTGTAACAGTGCCACGGTGGCATTGATTGTTGCGCTGTCCGTGCGTACGCCGTAGAGCACCTCACCGACACTGATATCGTTATTTGCCCACAGCGGTGCAATGACCGGGTTGTTCGTCTGGCTCGTCAGGCCGGCGAGAAAGATCGAGATTGGCAGGTTGTTGACGAAGGACACGTACCCGTCACCACCGACCTGTGTGTGGTTTGCACACAAACACATAAACACACCAGCAAAGCAGTGAAACGTCTAGTTGCATTACGTACGCAGTGCACCCACAACAACAACACATACACAACATACACAACATACCCGTCGCCACTGACCTGTGTGGCTTGCACATGAACAGACCAGCAAAGCAGTGGAACGTCTACTTGCATAATTTATCAAGTGCAATCACAACAATTCATGCCATCCTCCACATTCCACAGCTTCATTTAGGAGACCGAATGGGATGACAAAACCGTCAACGTATACATGATGCGTGCCCCTTGGATTATTAAAATCCATATCCAAGCCGGACAATTGCTGCTTGATGTGAACGATCAAAATCTCTAAATATGTGAATGTTTTAACAATGAACAAAATGGCGGAGCATGAGTAGGGAAACTCCCCTGATATGTATCCATTTACATTTGGAGAATCATTAGAAAGTCATTTTGGAGACAAGCAACCTAATATGGAAAGAAATAATTATAGTAAGCGCACTCATACCAAGGTCACCAATTGTGCGCAACTTTGAACTGTTGAGTGGGAGAGCTTGTATAGCCACGCACAAATACGTCTTGGTAACTCAAATATGGAGTGGTTCCGGTTCACGGAACGACATTGCACTTGTTACTTGAAAGGATTAGGTGACTTGAAAAAGAGTGTCACCAGAAAACCTTATTTGAGACAAGGTCTAGTTAGTTGAGACAAGTAGAGACAAGTGAAGCATGCAAAAAGGGAAAAGGCAGCAAAAAAGGAGCCACAGGCTTGCTGCGCATGCTCCAGGCTGAGAGCTGCAAAACGGTGCACGCGATGCGTGCAGCAAGACATCAGCATGACGTCAACATGATGTAACACATAAACAAATAAAGACATAATGAGCGTAACGCGGATTCGTGATGCATATTCACGACACTCCCCGGGCATTGGCCGGAGAACAGAATTAACCATAATTAATAACAAGGAGAAATTTCACACAAAACATGTGGAAAGATATTACTGAAGAGCATAAAGAATGCGAGAGCAATGAGAGTGAGCGAGCGAGAGAGAGAGAGAGAGAGAGAGAGAGAGAGAGAGAGAGAGAGAGAGAGAGAGAGAGAGAGAGAGAGTTAAACACGGCCGTCGGCGATCAAATCCTGCAAGTTGGACTGAAACTTGCTGGCGGCGGCTCGTGTCGGTCTTCGTACGACTGCAACGGGAGTGCTAGTCTTCTGAGCTGGGGTAGCTTCGTGGACTTGAGCCAATGGAGTACAGTCGTTGAGTCGGTGTACAGATGAGTGGCTTGGAACTGGATGTCCAGTTGCTTGCGTAGATACACGATAAGGCGAGATCCTAGGCTTGCCGCCATCAACTCTAACCGTGGGATCGTTTGACCCTTGACGGGAGACACCTTCGTCTTGCTGAAGATGATGTGCCGCTGACTCTTATCACCGACAGTGCTTTCCAAGTACGCAACGGCAGCATAGGCGATCGCTGACGCATCGCAGAAGATGTGCAACTGATACGACAGACTCTTACATGTGGGTACGCCGACGTAGCGTGAGATCGGATAGCTGCTAGACTCGTCAAGGTCGGCGGCTATTGGGTGCCAGCGACTGAGGACGTCGGAGGGCAGTGGGTCATCCCAGGACACAGCAAGCTTCCAGATATCTTGCATAAGAACCTTCGCTCTGATGGACACGGGGGCGAACAAGCCAAGCGGGTCGAAGAAGCGAGACAGTGCCTGTAGAACCTGGCGTTTCGTAGTGACAACAAGGTTAGCTGCATTAGGCGACTGTACGGACAAGACATCCTCTCTGGGGTCCCAATGGAGACCAAGGCATTTCTCGCGAGTGCTTCTTGAGCGATCGTGTTCTGGGATCTTGTCCAAAACTTCGGAAGAGTTCGATGCCCACTCTCTAAGGTTCATGCTGATTGCGGAGAACGTCGCCTTTGCTGATTGATAGTGAGCGACAGCATCGTTGATGGTGTCCTTGCCCAGGATGATGTTGTCTACGTACGTGTTTCGGAGAATGTCGTCTGTCTCCGGTGAACAGGTCTGCGTGAGGTGGTACTTGATCGTTGCAGACAGCAAGAAAGGGCTGGAAACAACACCGAAAGGGACTCTACAGAAACGCAGAGTTTGGAGATTGCTGTAGTTGACTGGTTGGTTGGGGTCATCCAACCACAAGAAACGAGTGACATCACGATCGGCTACGTTCAAATTCATCTGTAAGAACGCTTTCTCGATGTCACTACAGACGGCAATAGGGTGCATGCGGAAACGCAGGAGAATGCCGCAGAGATCAGGGATCATGCACGGCCCAGGGTACAGACAATCATTGAGACTGGGCGAAGTCTTCGATACACGAGCGGATGCGTCGTACACGACACGGATCTTAGTGGTGCTGCTGGACAGCTTGAGCACACAGTGATGTGGCAAGTAGTGTATTGGATGCGAGTTGTCTCTCTGGCTGGGACAAGCAACCCGTTCGATGATACCAAGTGACAGTTGCTCTTCAAGTACCTTGCTGTACTTGACGAAGGTATCAGGCTCGTGACGGAGACGTTTAATGAGTGACTTCAAACGTCCGAAAGCAAGTGGAAAGTTGTTTTCCAAAGGCGGATGTTGTTGTCGCCAAGGCCACCCGACGGTGTACCGTCCGTCCTCAAACACAACTGATTGGAGAAAGTCGTCATACGCATGATCGTTGCTGGGGCGTGTCGCACTGAGAGAGTCGAAATCTTCAACAGCCCAGAAGCGCTCAAGGTCAAACGAGGGATCTTCACGTCGATGACTTGCTACGGCTAAAGTGGTGTTGCTCTCGATTACCGAACAGGCGTGCTCAGTTGCTACTGTGCCGGCGCAAACAAAACCAAGTGACGAGTCCAAAAGCTGCAGGCCATCGGGAAAGGAGATGCGGTCAGTGCCCAGGATCTTGTAGTAGTGATCAAGACCAATGAGGATGTCGATACACAGGCGATCGTTGGATGACGTGAGCGGCTCCGCAAGAGGAAGGGTGTTGAGGCTCGGGTGTCTGTTGGTGTCCAAGGGGACGCGCCATATCGGTGAAGTGATTTGGGGAATCACATTGGCGGACAATGGAAGGATAGAGTCATTCTTCAGTTTGAGATTGACCTCAACGCGTGGGTACTGAGACGTGTTCCTCGATGCACTACCGAAAGTAGAGAGGGCAATGTGATCTTGACCTAGAACACTGAGGTTGGCTTTCGCCTGGAGCGCCTGCGTGACGTACGACCGGCAAGAGCCACTATCGAACAGTATACGTGCAGACAGGAGGGTCGGGGTACCGGAAGAGTTGGACACTACATCTGCAACTGCGGTTTGCATGATGACGGACTGGTTGTCGCCTGCGACTGTGCTAATGGCAGGATGTGGCTGGAAAGGTGCCGCGTTGGCACACATTGCGGAGCTTGGTTGTGCACCGAATTTCACGGGACACAAACTGGAGTGATGGTCAGGCTTACGACAATAGAAGCAAGGCTTCTGCAGACTACACGAAGAAACACTGTGGCCTGGCCGTAGGCACCGTTGACACTTGTCGCCGAGGCGTGGTTTCCTTGTTTCAAGTGTGCTATACTTGGAACACATGTCAGAGTAGTGGCTTTCCCTGCAGAAAGCGCAGACTTTCTTTCTTGGCTGTGACTGGCGACTCGACTCGCCAACAAGAAGTACGGACGACTTATGTACGGAAGACGGCTGTTCATGTTTGCTACTGGCGGCATGACTGGACTGGCGCTCGGCTGTCTCCTGCGCTACTATATACGCACACAACTTGACTCTCAACTCGGCGACAGACCACGGATCGATGCCTTTCTGCAACTCAAGTTGCGCAAGCACGTGACGCGGAAGCTTGCTGGTCATCAGTGAAATGAAGATTGGTTGGTCAGTGTCTTCTTCAAGAGCGTTGAGACTGCGTAGATGTAGTTCTACCGTATCGTACAGCTTACGGAGCGAGGACGGCTTGTTGGTTGCCGGTGGAGTTTCCATCAGGGCGACATGGTGAGCATTAACCTGCACCTGCGTGTTGCCATAACGCTCGTCGAGCAGGCCAAGAGCAACAGCATAATTAGCATCTGACAGAGACAAACCAGAAATGGTGTCGAGTGCATTGTGTGTCACATGCTCCTTTAGGTAGGAAAGCTTCTGTACATCGCTTAATCCAGTGTGTTTGTGTACGGATGCCATGAACATGTCGTGGAAAGACTTCCATTGCAGGATGTCGCCATTGAATTTAGGTAAACCTAACTTTGGTAAATTGACAGTGGACTTGTGAGATGCTTGAGTGGTGAGTGATTCACTATGCTGTTGTAGCAGAGTTTGAGTTTGTTCCTGTGTTTGACGATGAATGGTGAGTAACTCTTTCATCTGGCTTTGCATTAGCTTGACAACTGAGTCGTCGTCCGATTTGTTAGTACTCGACTCTGGAGAGGTCTGACAATCTGCTGTTGATTTCAGTTGAGAAATTCGGAATTTGAGCTTTTTGATCACGCTCATAGCTTCAAACTGGAAGTCCAGATTATCGTCTGCTTCCTGTTTACAAGCAGCTTCGTCAGAGCTCTCCAGGGCGGAGGAATCAACACAATTTGACAAAAGCTCACAGACCTCATCAAATGCTACGACATCGGACTCTAAAGATGCACATGTTTCACTTAGCTTTTCTGCTGTTGCAGATGAGGGAGCTCCAGACAATAATGCATTGCCGTCATCGAGGCATTGCTGGATGCTCTTCCGCAGCCGAAGTATCTTGCCGCGATACCGCTTAGTTGATGCCGGATTAGGAGCATCGGCACTCGAAGCCTTTTTTGGTGGCATTCCCGGGTTTCGGCACCAAGTTTGTGCGCAACTTTGAACTGTTGAGTGGGAGAGCTTGTATAGCCACGCACAAATACGTCTTGGTAACTCAAATATGGAGTGGTTCCGGTTCACGGAACGACATTGCACTTGTTACTTGAAAGGATTAGGTGACTTGAAAAAGAGTGTCACCAGAAAACCTTATTTGAGACAAGGTCTAGTTAGTTGAGACAAGTAGAGACAAGTGAAGCATGCAAAAAGGGAAAAGGCAGCAAAAAAGGAGCCACAGGCTTGCTGCGCATGCTCCAGGCTGAGAGCTGCAAAACGGTGCACGCGATGCGTGCAGCAAGACATCAGCATGACGTCAACATGATGTAACACATAAACAAATAAAGACATAATGAGCGTAACGCGGATTCGTGATGCATATTCACGACACCAATGGAACAATATTGAAGGTAATCAGTAGGGGTGAAACGAGTATCTATTTGGACCAACCGATCACTCGTTCATAATATTCGATCGAGTATCCGATTATTTTGAGTATTTTATCAAAATTCAAAAGCGATAGATTTGCAAGTTCTCGACCAATTCGGAAGAAATTATCTGTGAACATAGAACAAAAGTCGCCAACGTCTTGTACAGAGTGTAAAGTAACGATTTTCATCAGTACTTTCATATGAGCCCCGGCCAGCGAAAACCAGCACTTGTGTACTTGATATCAATCATCAAAATGTGACGTCAAAGTTTGGGACGCGCAGTGAGCTTGCTTTTGAAGATTCTTTTTCGATCGAGTGGGTGTCTTCGTTGTCAAAGGAGTTTCAAGTTTCTTCAAATGAGTTTGGTCAATTGATTTTAGCGCTAGGTGAGAGCTCGTCAAACGGAGATTTAGTTTAGACACAGCGATGGCGACAGGTGTCGCGACAAGGACTTAGGTCCAGAGTTGTCAGCGTGAGACTCCCTGTACGAAGCGGCGCTGAAAGTTAGTTCGCGATCGGAATTATTTCTTTGGTGGCGATCTCGCTGAGTTTGTCCAGCAGTGGCGAGTCTCATATTCATAGCAACGAAGAGCCCTCATAAAATCGACACTGGATACTGGTGGCGACGATAGTCAGTGCTGGAGTAATAGCGACTGCGAGGAGAAGCTGAATGTCGACCCGCTGAGCGATCCGTATTTCTACATCGACAACAATGATGTTGCAGACACTGATGGAGGGCTTCTCACGGCGCAAAACAGAGCGTAGTATTATTAGTACTCTACCTTGCCAGACGATGCCAAGCTGGCTGCTGCCTGTGCTGAGAAAGGGGATTCCTAAAAAGTCAAACCGGCTGAACGCTTTGGGGCAACATCTTCACGTGCTACAAAACGCGAGTATTCGCTCATATCATCGAAATACAATTATGCTGAAATCATGGTCTGAGTGAAAGTGTGCAAGGGAGTGGATGTCATTGGTATTGGTCAGTACATCTATCAGTATGGCAAGCTTTGGGACAATGCTCAAACTGCCAGCACAGAGGTCCCTGAACACAATTTGGAAGGCCAGCCACCAATTATCGTTTTGCACTCTGGTGTTGTAAAGAAGGTAGTGGTGTATACGGAATATCGTCACACTTCTGAACTACTCATGCCTGCAGCACCAAGAGGGCAAGCCTGACTTGCATTCTATTTACTTACATGTACTTGTTCCACATCACAATCAGAAACTGTAGGATCAACTTGCATGGAGTCACTGGGCATGGATGCTGCGCCAACTGTACCGAATCTTGACCTGTGTGACTTCAAACTCTATTTTCCATGCTTTTGTTGTCCCTGCCCTTTTGGCACGTGTGTGCCCCTTTTGGCACGTGCAGGTTGCGCATGCATGCATGCTTATCGTGCGCATCCTGGTTGTTTTTGGGTGCCTTCTTCCTGAGACTCTCCTTGGAACAACAATGATAATCTGTCCTCTGAGTGTGGCGTACACGTGATGTATAATTAAGAGAGTAATCGGAAGGGCTATCGTGCGAGGGATTAAAACCCCCCGACGACAATTGGCGCCCAGCTAGTGGCATCGTTCCCCACGACCCTGAGATCGTTTTCGTTTTCGCCGTGGCTTCAAATCTTGCCTTCTCCACGCGTCCTCGCCATGGCTCCGCTTTGCTCCATCTTCTCAACCCTGTCCTCGGAGCTCCTACTCAGGTGAGCCTGCTTTGTCTGCCCTGCGTAATGTTTTGTACCTTGTACGTAGTTCTCCTGGTACTAGTCTTCGATTTGGGATTTTCAAATAATTGTTTCGCTTCGTGGCATTGAAGTCCCGGGTTGTTCTCTTGTGTACGAGTAGGTCTACCTCGTTCGAGCCTCGCTCTTGTTAGTACATGATTGTGGCCCACGTTGTGTGTGCGGTGTTTTGAACCAGTGTACATTGTCGCCCTCCGGCCTCTGGCTGTTCGAGTGGTCGTGTGCACTGTGTTTCACACCTTCTGACTTGAAACTGTTTGTTGTCCGTGCTGTCGTGCATGCTCATCGTGTTGCTTGGTACGTCATCATGGTAGTCAGCATGGGTAGCTTTGCTCGTGTTTGCTTACTCGCCCTGTGTTGTGCACTGGTGCACGTCGTTTCGGTGTCGTCGGACTGCTCCGATCCTGTGTCGTCCGATTTGTTTCAGTTTGGTAGATGTCCCCATCGATTTACTCGATGTGGTGGCACTCCGTCGTTTCCAGTTTCAAGTACAAGTGCTTTCTTTTTCGTTTTACTAGTAATCATGTTTTGTGTCGAGCGTTTTAGTGCTCCGCCTGGTTGTCCCGCTCATGTGGAATGGCTGACGCCCAGTGGTGTAACATGCTTCTGAGATTCTCGTTGACGGTCCGGGTGGCAATATTTCTGTGAGTGTGTTGTTTGGTATTTGTGTTTTGGCACGTGGGTCTCTTCATTTCACCTAGGGGGGCGTCCGATCATGGTGAGCCACGGTCTGCCTGGTGGGCTGGTGGGATCCAGCGCTTATTTGTATCGGTTCGCCTTGCGGGTGTTCGGTTTCCGTGTTTTGCTGGCTGGCCTTTGTGCGTCCCAGTAGGGTTCAGGACGGTGTTTTTTTTTGTGTTTCGTGAGCGGTTGTGTTTCACGCGTGATATTCAGGTTCAATCCCTGTGGGTTTTTTCAGGTTAGAGACCTGTGGTTTTTTTCAGGTTAGAGGCCTGTGGTTATTCAGGGTAGCGCCCTGTGGTTTTTCTATGTTAATTTTTGTTTGCGTATTGGTGACCGATTTGTTTGTGTGCTATCTGGTGTCCTCATGGATAGACTGCCCCTGTATCCGTAGGCGTGTTCAACGTTGCTGTTCTGCCATTCCTTCTTGTGGTTTTTCTTGTCTGAATTTTGGCTCCTAGTATTGCTGAGATGTTTGCGTCAGTCCTTGTTTCTTTCTTTCTGTGTGTGTATCTGTGAGTTTTCGTAGCCCCATCGGCTGCGTGATGGTTTTCCGGACAACTCCTGGGCTGTCAGATGACTGGTCACCCGGTTCAGCTGCCGCGGTCTTCGCCGTACCGTCGGTTTGCCTTGGCTTCGCACCAGGGCGAGGTGGTTGTTTTCCGGTGGCCCACGCCTGAAAGATGGCGGTTCCCTCTATGGGTGGGCCCAGTCTGTTTTCTTTCCACCCCTTTGCTTTGGCTTTTCCCCCGTTGTCCGGAGTTACTAATGTATCCTACTGTTTTGGCCCTGCGTATCTGCATGTGTATGTTGTTCAAATTTGATTTCCTTTTCTCCTGTCTGTCTTCTCGTTTTGTTTTCTTTTTCTCCCATCCTCAGGAGAGGATGCATTTTTTTCATGTGGAAGTATGTTGTCCCTGCCCTTTTGGCACGTGTGTGCCCCTTTTGGCACGTGCAGGTTGCGCATGCGTGCATGCTTATCGTGCGCATCCTGGTTGTTTTTGGGTGCCTTCTTCCTGAGACTCTCCTTGGAACAACAATGATAATCTGTCCTCTGAGTGTGGCGTACACGTGATGTATAATTAAGAGAGTAATCGGAAGGGCTATCGTGCGAGGGAATAAAACCCCCCGACGACACTTCCGCTTATCAGATTGTCACCAAACTTGATAACTTGAATGATTAATAGTGTAGAATCAATTTCGAGCGAAAAAATAATTTTTGAAAAAATTACACATGTTCAAGTTTCTGCTGGCTGGGGCTCATATCTCAGAACGTTACTTGCCGTGGTGATCGCATTGTCCAAGTCTTAAAATACTGACTCAAAGCCATGCATACTGCATGCATACCAGTGGACCAGCGGTACAACAAAAGTTTAAAAAAATGCAATGCCAATCCTAAAAAAATCGATCGAGTGCAAAATTTCGAATACTCGCTCGTTTGAAATTTTCGAACGAATACTCGAATATTCGAACTAATTGTTTCACCCCTAGTAATCAGGTCTTCAATAGTGCTAGCTTTAGAATATTATTTTTTCTTGTATTAGTTTTAGATCTAATAATGTTCACTTTATGGTATCATACATATCTTTCCTTTGTTGTCCAACTCTCAGTGTCATGATGATTTCTGATAATTATCACATGAACACGACGTCCAAATCCTAAAATATTGTTCCATTGTTCTCGTGGTATGAGTGCACTCACTACATTTTTTTTCCGATTTTGGAGAATCCATCAAATAAAGTCTGAATGAATGAATGACTGAATGAATGAGTGAAAAGGTGCCAGCTTACAATTGCAGATAGGAATGATCTTTGACCAAAGACCAGGGGAACACCAAACTGAACTCTTGCTGTTGCCGACTGCAGCTGTGTATCACCAGCCGCGCCGCCAAACGGTAAGAAATTTGTAGCTTCTACGAACAAGGAGCAGACAATATATCACCGTATTGGCCATAGTACACATGGTGCATGAAAAGAGGTAATCCAAGTGATGCAAGAGGTCATCAATCCATCATAGCAGACAAGATGTCACCCAGTCTTGGTCTATGTATACTGCATTCCATGCTTTCCGTAACAAACGTTGCATTCCCTAAGGAATTTGTTGACCTCGCCCAATTGCATCATAGAAGAAATGGGGAGGTTTGTCAACTGGCGATCGCTCTATTCAGTTGCTATTCCCCCTGCGCTATTTCTTGAAAATTGGCGTTATTGGTATTGTGAAATAGTTGGCGTTTTGGGTAATACCCAGGGGTGCGTCTGAGCAGGGAAAACATTTATTGTGTGTTGTCACTTACACTTAGCTTCTGCATGCTTGTGGCACACGACAGTCACAAGCAACATGAGGAGTAATTTTGGTTGGTAGTTATCATTACGAAGGTAAGCAAGAGAATGACCCGAGCATGCCCAGAGCAACCAGGTAAGGGCCAGCAGCCATGATGAGCAATACCGTAGACATGCGCGAATGGAGATAAGATCGTACGAAGAGCAGCATGCAGCGACGGCATGTGAATGCAGTCTATAACATTGTGCGAGTCTGCGTGGCTTTGCAGTAGTTGGTGAGGACCTCACTCACCTGCACACAGTCCTGTGACAGTCTGGAAGAGCTGCTGTGCTACTGGACATTGGTTGCACTTCACACCAACTACACCGGCGTTACAGGCACACTGTCCAACACTGTTGCACTGTAGACTAGTACTGCCAAGAGGGTTGCAGCCACAATCTGTGTAGCAGCAGCAGAAGTGATGGCAGCAGCAGTAGCAACACGAAGAGCAGCAGCAGCAGCAGCAGTAGCAGCAGCAACAGCAGCAGCACCAATAACGGCAGCAGCAACAGCAACAGCAGCAGCATCAACAGCAGCAACAGCAGCAACAGCAGCAACAGCAGCAATAGCAACAGCAGCAGCAGCAGCAACAGCAGCAGCAATAGCAGCTTCACCAGCAGCACCAGCAACAGCAGCAGCAGCGACACCAGCAGCAGCAGCAGCAGCAGTAACAGCAGCAACAACAGCAGCAATCACGCAGCAGCAGCAGCAGCAAACCCATAGAAATGGAAGAGATTGTGTTGACTTGAACACCATGATGTCAGGGCACCGAGGGACACACATAAGAGAAATGTCATAAATACAGGGCAAGCTCCTGTGCGGGGAGCGAACACTTTTTTAATAAATTGAATACGATTTCATATGGGTGTAAGTAACACACACGTATGCACACAATTTGCACATGCAGGCATATACACAATTTGCACATGCAGGCATGTACAGAATACACGGATACCTACACAATATGCACACTCAGCATCGCACAAAATTATGTACACGCAGGCACAAAGCCTCACAGGTAACAACGGCATGACTGAGTTGACTATACAGTGCATAGCAGCATCCCTAATATCAAGAGTACATGAAAACCAGAGTGTGCAGCTCGGATGGGTTGTGGCACGGCGGACTTCCGTGATTACATCATTTTAGGGATGTAGTGCGTACAAGCAGAATTCAAGCAGGTCTCTTTCTGCACAACTGAAGCTCAGTTGTACGCACTTTGCCACTTCCCGCCTCAGATCTGCACCAAATATGATGTAACCACGGAAGTCCGTTGTGACAGACACCCATAGTGGAAAAAAGCCCCAAGCTGCACACTCTGGTCTTCATGTACTCTTGATAATATATACGCGCAGTACCTTGACATCTTGCTCCTGGTGTAAATGGGCAACCCGCAACGGAACACTGGTCTAGAAAGCTCAGTGTATTCGATGGTGAGTAAAATCCTGGAGCACAGTCGATACATGTTCGACCTGCACAGTAGAATACAGAAAAGAAGATGTTGTTGCATTCACGCGATTACTCCTCCCGCCATCGTATTATCACACCTCTCTCCACTAAGATATACCAGCGCTGCCTCCTATTCCATTATCGTTGTCTGATGATTGATTCAGCCACAACGGAATTTGCCAAGGTTTTCATTGTATGCCTTTGGATATTGTTGTATTTGAAATTTTACTACTTCAAGTATAGCAATTCCCACAGACCATAGGTCGTTTTACTGGGCACTCTAGATAACATGGTTTGAAGAAGGGCTGAGGCTTCTCAGAGCTTCACATCTGAAATAAGGAATTCGGGTGGACACACCCATTCCCCTAGCACTGCACATCAGAACCAGTGCCATTCTTTCATGTTTCAGCACTGGGCCCTAGATAACATGAAGGTAATCAGACGCGGGCACAATCGCTGCAACAGTGCTATGCACACGCAACATACTGAGCTGCTCAACACACACTGGTATTGGGACCATGCGTGAGTGTTTGCACTGATGATGAAGATGACAATGATGATGAGGGTTGTTGTATTTCCTATATCCAAACAGGAGCTTCTTCCCAATATCACGGTAGCGAAGAGATACGGTCGAAGATTGGGAAGACGTGTATGTGAAATGTGTATGAATGTTGAGTGAAGTAATGTAGAAATGATTGCTGTGAGGTCTGAGAATTCTTAGCAATGCTCAGTATGATGGTGCTTACCGAATCTTAAAACCTGTTCGCACTTAGCAGAGTAATACGCAAATGACTTCCATGAAGTTCACTGTTCCTTAGCAAAGCATTTCATGGTGCTTATTATTCTGGTATTATTGACATATCCGTGGCAAGCCGCTTATGTACAACGGCAAGGGAGAGGGCAATAACAAATTGTTTGGGGAAGCCACACTGGCAATGAATGAATGTTCAACAAAGAGGGGTTCATGGTGCTTACCAAAGCTAAACTGGTCGCACTGACACTGGCCGGAGATGCTATCACAGATGTTAGTGCCGCCCACTGTACCGGCCGTGAAGCAGCTACACGGCACGCATCCGGTTACATTGCCGAAGAATCCTGCACTGCATGAGCCGCACGTGGAACCACTGACAGATGGAAAGCAATTGCACGTTCCTGCAGTTCCACAATAGGCAAGGACAAAAGCCAGTGCTTTGTACAGGGGGAGTATGCCAAAAGGTCAGGCTTGAAGGTATTACAGGTACACACCTGGTAACAGAGACCACCTGGTAACAGAGACCACCTGGTAACAGAGACCATGTTTGGAGGGTACCTTGAGCGATCGTCCTACACAGATTTCACAATACCTATCGAGCTCAACACGCACAATCATTAACCTTTATCCTCCCAATGTTCCACTGTGGGAACATGATTTTTAATCATCCATTTTAGCTGCAGTGACTAGTAAGTTTTTGAAGCTAGTCCTGTTGAGCTGACAATACGTGTGTGGACTCTATACAAATGTTCATTGGTCTAGCTCTGCCGCACAATTGTCGTCGATATTCAGAGTAAAATCCGTCCAGTGCATAGAGCAAGAGAGTAACAGTGAGTTAGTCTCGTGAAAGAAAGTAAAAGGAGGGAGAAAGGAAAAGAAAGGTTTTTGTTTGTTACGGACTAGACACGGCGAGAACGATTCTCTTACCATCTGGATTGCAGCCGGAGAATCCCTGGCGATTGCACGGGCAGACGATACAGCGAGCCAGATCGCCAAACAGTGCGAATAAGTCCGGCAGGCACACGTCACATCTACCACCGGTGACACCCTGGCGACACTGACACACACCCGTGGCCGCATCGCATGATCCTACGGTACCGCTGGGGTTGCACGTGCACGGCACGCACGTTGAGAAATCGCCGGGCGTCGCCGTGAAGTGGTCCACGGCGCAGCGATCGCACAGCGGGCCCTCCACGTTCAAACGACACTGGCACACGCCCGTATTCTGATCACAGCCGAAGGAGCCTGTCCGGCTGCACGCACACGGCACACAGACCTCGCTACCCTCTCGCATGAAGAAGAACGGATCGCAGCGCTGTGCGCCCAGTGCGTAGATGTTCACCTCGCGATCAAATGGCCGGCTTCCGTCGTACAGAAACGTGTTGCCATCCCAGACGAGACTGAACGAACTGTCAGTTGTCCACGCTATGTTGTTGTGGAGGAATATGGCAAACGACCGTTGGCTGTTCCACGCGACCACCGCCTGATAGTGGTTGAACTGGGAGTGAAAACAGGGCATGGACAGTAAGAGACAATTTTCAAATATGCCATTGCAACCACAGTCAAGAATAATTCAAGCATGCCATGACAACCACACTCAAGGAGATCTGAAAAAGGCCAGTAAGCATGCTGCTCATCCATCGAAAGTTCCCACAAGAAACCTAGCTGTCTCTCTTGTCCATTCATACCCGCCCTCCCCCCATTTCCCAATCTGTACTCTCTTGTCCATTCATATCCCCTCTCCCCCCCCCCCATTTCCCAATCTGTACTCTCTTGTCCATTCATACCCCCCCCCCTCTCTCCCATTTACCAATCTGTACTTTCTTGTCCATTCATACCCTCCCCCCTCTCCCCTCATTTCCCAATCTGTACTCTCTTGTCCATTCATACCCCCCCCCCCCCCTCTCCCCCCATTTCTCAATCTGTACTCTCCTGTCCATTCATACCCCCCCCCCCCTCTCCCCCCATTTCTCAATCTGTACTCTCTTGTCCATTCATACCCCTCTCTCCCCCCATTTCCCAATCTGTACTCTCTTGTCCATTCATACCCCCCTCTCCCCCCCCCCTCTCCCCTCATTTCCCAATCTGTACTCTCTTGTCCATTCATATCCCCCCCCCCCACCCCCTCTCCCCCCATTTCCCAATCTGTACTCTCTTGTCCATTCATACCCCTCTCTCCCCCCATTTCCCAATCTGTACTCTCTTGTCCATTCATACCCCCCCCCCCTCCCCCCCCCCATTTCCCAATCTGTACTCTCTTATCCATTCATACCCCCCCTCCCCCCATTTCCCAATCTGTTCTCTCTTGTACCATCATCTTTCAATGCGACGGACCCCACGATAGGCGGTCAGCCTTTGGGTCACCTTATAAAGTTAGTCATCGCTACACTACAACGAAGTCATGAAAGTAATATTATGTGAAATGTTTCTAGCCAAGTAGCGTTTGCGCAGAGCATCATTCAGGGTTTCAACCTGACTCCTAGAGTATCTCCGTTTAAAATATGCAAATAATCGACTATTATAAAATTGTTGTCTCCACGTCGATTATTTGCATATATTGCTAGAAACATTTCACATAATATTACTTTCATGACTTCGTTGTAGTGTAGCGATGACTGCAGAATTTGTTCTTTTTATTGCTATTATAAAATTGTTGTCTCCACGTCGATTATTTGTATAAAGTTAGTCTTATTATTATTATAGAGTCGATGACTATCCATCGATGACTCTGATACTGTATAAGCAGAAATATTCGTCTGGAATTTTATTTCGTCTTTTTCGTCCAATAAGCTTTTGGACTAAATTAAATGCCAGACTAAAGTCGGTTTGTCCAGCTTTTCAATGCACTCTTATGATCCATGGACGAAATTTACAACCGGACAAACTCCATTTCTTTGGAGTTGGACGAAATTATTGACCGACGAAATTTTCTGCCTCTACAGTAATCTGCAACCTGCTCATTTTCTTTTTTTCCAAAAATATACCTTGTGGGTCTGAGATAATGGATGAAATGACCAAATTTGGAAGACAATTTGAGCCAGGGACTACAGAAACCACCCTATGGCACTTTTTGGCGAAAATTTTTTTTCTCTCTCAAAATGTTGGTATGGTATGGTAATGTGCTCAAACAAAATTTCGAGTTGATCTGCGGTCGTAAAATGTGCCTAATCACCTATTTAATAATGGCATATCAATAAAGCGATATAGAGCAAATTTATGCACACAGTTTTGTAATGTTCTTTGTATATCTTCATTCTTGCTAGTTAGGCAGTTCAAATGTATAGTGAACTATGCCCTCAGCTTCATCCAGTGACGCCTGCGCGCCGTCCACTAAATCTCGGTAGTACTGCCGCTCCTCTTGTGGTAGTGATGTGTGCGAACGCAGGGCCTGGACACTACATTCACACTACATTCCGTCTCTTCCTCTGTACGGGCGACACGAATTTTGTCCCGCAGATTGTCACACAGTGCGCATACGTCTGTCCTTGGCTTCATCACTTTGATGTGTGCTGCCTGTCTCCTCCAAATGTGGCAAAATGACCTGTAATGAACAGGTGTTAGCTGCTCCCGGCTAATGATGCCCCCTCACACCGGAACACAAGGGTATTATGATTGGATAATTAGAAGTATTCGATAAGAGTGTAAACAGAAGGAGAACAGGACAACGACAACTCAAGACTAGACTAGACTAGAACAGAACAGAACCTGGAGCATGCGCTCTTCTATGTGAGTGGCTCATTGCCAAGGGGAACGAGCGGGAAATACGAATAGTGAGTAGCATACATACACCTATTACACTGTGCCCCCCTAGCTAAAATTCACGTCCACGGGAATGAACGAAATACCTAGGAAACAAACAAAAGAAAACAAACCAAATAATAAACTCAGTCCAGGACATAGTCAGCTAGTCGAGCAGGTGCAGTGCGGACACGGCCAGAACGACGAGAAACAGGAGAAGAAGTACGGACCGGATCAGACGACGGCGGCTGTAGCGGCGGAATGCAGCGCGGCAAATCATCATCAGGCAGCGTAATCGGGTCAGGACGAGAAGCAGTAACGGCAGGCGGTTGACAGTCGGGAGGACGGGAAACGGCTTCAGGCGGTCGAACAAACTTGCCAGTGACAGCATCATATCTGGTGAAACACTCAGACAGAGCAGGATCAGCACACGGAGCAAGAAGACTCTGAGGCTTGAAACAATCAGGCGACGACGGTCCAGCGGCAGAGGAACCAGGAGGACGAACAAAAGCGGCCGGAGGAAGAATCTCGGCAGCCGGAGGAACATCAACAGCAAGTGGCACTTCATCAGCAGCTGACAACGGAACATCACGGGCAAGAGGCGGCGGACTCGGCGGAGGAGACGGGGCAGCATCTTGCGGCGGCGTTGGTGCCAGTGGCGGAGACTCACTGTGCACATGTGCTTCAGGGTCGGCTATCAAGCGCGACAGACCATCAGCATTCAGATGTTGGCGACCTGGACGGTGGACGACTCGGAATTCATATTCGGATAAACAGTCAAGCCAACGTGCTTTCCGTCCGCGGGGTTCCTTCAGGTTCCGGAGTGCAGTCAACGCAGTATTGTCCGTCCTGGCAACAAATGGTCGTGCCAACAAGTAGTGCCTGAAATACTCCGCAAAATAGACCAAAGCAAGGGCCTCACGATCGCTAGCATCGTAGTTGCGCTCAGCTTTCGTCAGTACACGGCTGCCGTACCCGATTGGTCGCTCAGTTCCATCCTGGATCTGGCTGAGGACCGCACCAATCGACACATTGCTCGCATCGGTGTCCAGAATGAATGCACCTGCTGAATCTTCAAACTGGGGGTACGCCATCACCGGCGCACTGGCAAGTGAACGCTTCAGAGCCTGGAACGCCGCTTCGCAAGCTTTCGACCACGCAAAGCGAGCATTCTTGCCTGTCAGAGCAGTCAGCGGAGCAGCACGCTGGGCGAACCCACGGATGAAGCGGCGATAATATCCAGCGAAGCCAAGGAACTCGCGGACAGCTGTGACAGATTTCGGAGTCTTCCAGTTCCTGACCGCGACGAGTTTGGCTTCATCCGGGGAGATGCCCTCCCCTGACACGCGGTGTCCTAAGAAAGTGACCTCCTCCTGGAAGAAGGAGCATTTCTTCAGATTGAACCGCAGTCCAGCGGACCGAACGCGCGCGAACACGGGCAGCAGAATCTGGAGTTGGCCAGACAGCGTTTCGCTGGCATTCAGGACATCATCAAAGAACACACGGCAGAATGGCTGGACCGGTGTGTTACATAAGCCACTCAGGACTGCTTCCATTACGCGCTGAAATGTCGCTGGGCCATTCCTGCAGCCCATCGGCAGAACATTAAACTCAAACAAGCCCAGTGGCGTGGTAAATGCCGTCTTAGCCTTGTCGCTTCCTTCCATTGCTATTTGCCAGTACCCTGACGCTAAGTCAAGGGACGTGAAATACCGACAGCCAGACAGGGAATCAAGCATGTCATCCGCCCGGGGAATCGGGTAGGCGTCAGGTTCGGTGACAGAGTTCAACTTCCTGTAGTCGATACAGAGTCGAAGAGAGCCATCCTTCTTTGGCACCAATACTATGGGTGATGCCCACGGACTAATCGATTCTTGTATTATGCCTTGCTTTAACAGCGTATTCAGTAGATCTTGCAGAGCCTTCCGGCGGTGATATGGAATCCGCCTGGTAGGTTGTTTTATAGGGTTATTTTGTCCTGTGTTAATTTTATGAGGGAATATGTCACAGTAGCCATAGTCATCATCATGCAAGATAAATAAATCGTGGTTATCATGAAGTAGTTCAGTGAGCGTGCGAGACTGTTCTGTGGAGAGATGATTTTGTGCGTTGATATATTCATCGATGACTTTCTTGCGTTGCTCAGTTAGCGGGATCGGGTCGGGTGAAACTGAGGAAACCATAGCTTCAGTGTCGTCAATATGTTCACAATCTGTAGGAATTTGATGAAGTTCGGCAACATTGGTATTTTTATGAATGAGTATAGGATGATTTGCATGATTTTCAACAGCCACAACCACACGTGTTTGGTTAGGGCCAACAGTTACAAGACTAGGAGTCACTGCCACATCTGGATGCTTCGCCATAAAGGACTCCAATGGATCTGCCACGCAATCCATCGCAACCGTGCACACATCAACCGCTGCACAAGGCACCAAGACAACATGTCCTGCAGGTACCGACAACTCCATCTCAAACACCACACGAGATGAGTATACCACAGGGTCAGCCACACTCTCGGGTGCACACGCCGGGACAACGCCAGGTTGAGCCATGGGTTCAACAACCCGTGCAGACAATGAATCGTCAAGGGCAACACGAGAAGAATACGACGAAACAGGTACATCGTCGGAGCATGCATCAGAATGAGGAGTATGAGTATTACATGAGGGGGAAGTATTACGCGGAACAATACGATCATAGGGCGTACGTGACGGAGGACACCCAGAACCAGAAACATGCAACGGAACAGACACATCGCCAAACATCACAACACCACGAGCAATGTCTAATACACCACCATGCTGCAACAAAAAATCGGAACCAAGAATCATGTCACAGTGAATACCAGGAGAGACAACAACCGTGTGCTGGAAAGACAGATTTCCTAGCGACATACACAGATCCATGGATCCAACGACAGGAAGTTGTGCGCCATTGACTGCACACAACCGCGGAGCAGACTCTAGAGGAGGTCGCTCTGTCAAATTAGGCAACAATTTAGAATGCACTAACGACACACTTGAACCAGAATCAACCAGAGCAACAACAGGAGACGAAGACGAAGACGAAAGACAAACATCAACGTGCACAATAATGGGTGAGATCGCACCACATACCTCCTCGAGGGGCTCCACTCGGACGACTGACGGCGGCCCCGTGTCACCAGTCCAACCTAGTTTTTTGCGTGCGGGCAAGATGCAATGAAGTGGCCCTCTTCACCACATCCATGGCACACTCCACGGACAGGCCTCGCAAAACTCTGGCCACGACCACGACTAGGCGCACCAGCACCAGCACCACGAGCAACAAAACGTACATGGTCTTGCTGGGGTCGGGTGGGGCGATACAGACTCACGCTCTCCATTTTCGCCTCCAAAGCAGAGAGACGCGAATCAAATCTCGACAAAAGCGAAGCCAACTGGTCTCGCTCAGATTCCGACTTCAGTGGACCGACTGCTGTGTAGGGGTCACGACCATGAGCAGTGCGACGGGGCTTCACTTCCGGAGCAGCAGCAAATACGGGCTGTGCATACTGGTAAGGTACGGTGCGGGCCTGCTCGCGAGCATAAATAGCACCTACCTCGATGGCCTTTTGGACCGCCGCATCCAAATCAGTGGGCCGAGGTGACGCCAACGCCAAGCGCAAATCCTTCGATGCCTGGCCATCAATAAAAAGTTGCAAAAGCATTGAATCAAGCAGTGCACCTTGTTGTCCTGGGTAGGCTCGACGAGCGAGCCGACGAAGTTCCGTGGCATACCCGTGCTGAGTTTCACTCGCCAGCTTCACTCGCTGGCGAAGACTGGCCTCGTGCATCAATGCTTGCTGGGGCGGCTCAAGACGGACATGCAGAGCCTCGACTGTGTCGGAAAAGTTCATGTCAGGCGTGTGAGTTAGAATTTCGGTGAACATCTCATGAGCGGTACCAACAAGGCGAGCAGGTAGTAGCCGTAGCTTTTGGTCGTCGTCGTACCCACTCAACTCGCATGTGTGGACGAAATGCCTCATGTACGTGGTGAAATCTTGGCCTGGCTGATTTCCGAATGTCTCAGGAAGCAAAACTGGCTTCGGCAGTGGACGTGCATGTGGTGTGTCTGTGTCCGGCAAACGAAAACGATGGGACAACCCTTGTACCGGCGAACTCTCGCGCTCTTCAGCAATGCTCATGTCACAGCCAGCTTCAGCGAAGCTACGCTCTAGCTTTTCTTGTCTCTTGGATTTCGCTGAACGGCCCATTGTGAAAAAAAAAAAATGTTTTTGTATTTTTGAATTTTCGAAAAAAAATAATTATTATCTGCAAAAATTTCCCGTGGACTCGATCGACTATCGCGTATATCGATCTCAATCTATTACGTAACCTATCGTGCGTAGCGGCAAACAACTAAATTTGGCAGAGACAATTCCAAATAGGCAACTACTCTACGGACACAGTGTAGCTAGACTCTACTACCCAGCTAGCAGATATCCTAACAAGACACTAGACAGCAGCCAGTATGCACAAAACACGGACACAGAAAATGTTCCGAAAATGTTTGGCCAGACAGGTTGGCGCCAATGCTTGACCTATGGACTGTAAACCATGGTAAACAATGCATGCAACAAGAAAACGACGAGCAGAAAGAAACACAATGCAGAAAGGAAAATATTGACGAAGAGAGTGGATGAGGATATGGTTTCACTTGCGTGGGCCTTCGTGGTACTTCATAGTCGGCGATCTCCGAAGGCGTACATACTTCGCCAGCGATGTAGTGGTGGACGTTTTCCGCTGCCACCAGTGTTAGCTGCTCCCGGCTAATGATGCCCCCTCACACCGGAACACAAGGGTATTATGATTGGATAATTAGAAGTATTCGATAAGAGTGTAAACAGAAGGAGAACAGGACAACGACAACTCAAGACTAGACTAGACTAGAACAGAACAGAACCTGGAGCATGCGCTCTTCTATGTGAGTGGCTCATTGCCAAGGGGAACGAGCGGGAAATACGAATAGTGAGTAGCATACATACACCTATTACACAGGCGAATACTGTGTGACGGCTTGGTTTAGATGTATGCAGACTTCTTGTTCTCGGATGCTGGTAAGTATACTGGAGGGTCCTCAGCACGACCTCGCTCCGGGTTGAGGTAGACCGTACATGTTAGCATATGACTAAATAAACTGCACTACATCCTGCTCTATGTCTGCTGAAATGGCCAAGTGCTCTGGTGTTCTCCCAGTCAAGCCATGGTGTGCCAGTTGAATGACTCCTTTGTTTGCCTTTTTGAAGGCGCTTCATTACATGACTTCCAACAGCATGAACTGCCATGAACACGTCTTTGCACAGCTCGTAACCACGTACATGTACATGGTAGCGGAAATAGAAAGGTCGATCACCACCACCAGTCATCGACTTTCGCATGCTTCCAGTCAGTGCGCCCGGAACAAACTACTTGAAGCGCTTTTTCGATTCTCGCAGTTTAGAGACTTCAAATATGTAGTCCTCGAGCTGCTGCTCTGGGATGACTTTCCAATGATTCTTCGACTTGCATCCGCAGCCTCTCTTCGCGTATATCTGAAGACAGGAGACCACGCTTCACCTGCTCCGTCGTCGGTGGCTCAGGTGCGGGGGCATCTGGTTCGTCATCCAATTCCGAGTACGAGTAGTCGGTGTCACTCTCCGCGTTTGAAATTTCCGAGCTGTCGGGGCTTGGCGTTTTCGACACAACACTAGCAGCACTCGTCTCGAGCTTGCTGTGACTCCATGCCGCATGCGTCTTCTTCTTAGGTGGCATATCATCGCCGTCGCTGTCAGCATCGGTGTCGGAATCGCTCGCGGACGACTCGCGGGTGCCAGCGCTGAATCCGTAAAAATTCTCGTCGTCCGATTCAAGCGCCTTCGCATCAGAGAATAGTCGACTCCACACAGAATCGAGCTGCGTCGTCTACTAGATGTTGTAGCCATAATCAATCACAGTAAGTAGAGCCTCATGAGTTACTCGACAATCGCTCGAGCTCGGAATCCTTCCCCGAACATCTAACAAGAGGACAGCTCTGGAGTCTTGTCAAAACAAAAGTGACGAGTTCTGCACTTCGCGTAACTAATGTTACTTTGAGTCGCGTGACTTTGAAACGTCATAACTTGATTTTGATATCAAACGTCGTAGGGCGGTTTCTATAGTCCCTGGCTCATTTATTGACACGATGACGAAACACAACTGGACATGACAAACTCAAGACGAAGACGGCTTTTCACACCACAGCAACACGCGCATGCACCAACACCACGTCACACCCGACGTACACAAAATAGCGTACCACAACACACTCACCCCGAGAAACGGCCTTCCAGAATTGACTCCCTCCTGACCGCCAGGACACGACTGGATATACGTCCAAGTGGCAACGAGGACCTGCGACGGTCGAAAGTTTCCCACCACAATGTTCTGCATGCTATTGCCCGGCCTGCCACGTCTCAGCAGGTCCAGTGCACCGTCGATCGACGCCGAGTCATTGCGCAGGCCGTAGAAGGATGTTCCTTCGCTGGCGTCGTTAGCCGACCAAAACGGGGCCAGTACGGGGTTTCCCTGCTGGTTGACGAGATTGGCGAGTGAGACCGAGGTGGAGAGCAGGTTGCGGAATGACACGTACCCATTACTGCTCACCTGTAACATAATGAATTTAGAAGAATGACGATGCACGCAACATGAGACCACTGTGCAGAGACACTCACTGCAGGGCCAGCGACTCCGGTCCATGACCACGTATTGCAATTGCAACTCAAATCGTTCCTTTGTATGGCAGTTACAAATCAAATCCATTCGCATGTATTGGAGTTAAAAGCTCAAATCCATTCCCATGTATGGCAGTTACAGCTCAAATCCATTCCCATGTATGGCAGTTACAGCTCAAATCCATTCCCATGTATGGCAGTTACAGCTCAAATCCATTCCCATGTATGGCAGTTACAGCTCAAATCCATTCCCATGTATGGCAGTTACAGCTCAAATCCATTCCCATGTATGGCAGTTACAACTCAAATTCACCCCAGTGCACACTCGAGGTACTGAGACTGGTACTGCAGTTTAGAACTGCTTAACGCCTTTTCTAACTTCAGGTACTCATCATCAGTGCGATGAGAAACATGTTTACTGCAATGCTGCTGTCTATTTCAATCGTGTCTGCTGCAATCATGTGCAATGTACATTGGTCAGAAGACAATTATTTAAAGGGGAAGTCCGGTGAAAAATTTAAATTTCACAGTCCGTAGAGTTCGGGTCACTGAGTCGAATGGTCTTCGTCCGAGGAGGCTGCGGCCTATAGTTCGTCAGATACGCCCAATCGAACATGTGCGAATTTGAGCGCGCATCACCCAGATCCAGGTGATGACGTCACAGCGTGCAGCCAGGTAGCCACACCATCTAGTCGTGTACAAAATGGCCATATTCGGAGCGCGTTCGATTGGGGAACCGTTTGTCGCAGCTTCTTCGGACCAAGACCATTCGATTCAGTGTTACAAACACTACGTACCCTGTGATTTTCAGCTCGGTAAACCTCGAGGTTATACTGTATTTTAGCCGTTTCCGAGTTGGACTTTTTCGTCAGCATGCAATGGCCCGACTACGGCTCTAGCAATGCGCTGCGTGCATGCTAGCTGTAGTGCAGTCAACAAACTCATCACACACGGAACTAGTACTCCCGCACTGCATGCCGTGCTGGGCTAGCTACAACAAGACTCGAGACACAAGACTCAGAAAACTAGTCAACACACGTAACGACTTATCATGTACTACACTCGTATCACTATCAGTCGTACAGTCATGCAGTCAGAGAACGTGCGTTTCTCCTTGCCGGTGCCGGTGGCTGTGCTTTGAAAAAGAAAATTTTAGTTATCCGCTCCAGTCCGGCCTCATGCTACAGCGATGAGTGCACAACCGTGACAAGTGACAAAACAGCGAACAGCTCCCGGACCTAGAACTTTCAGATTCCATAGCGTTGCGAGCGAAGAGTCGTGCCCGTGGTTCAAAGAGCCTGCACTGTTCTCCAATTGAGTAGTCCGAAATATGCCAAGTTCGCACCAAAACATCACCATGTGGCAGGCTACTGGAGTCTAAGCGAATCGGTATGGAACAACATTTAGAGCACTCGCATCACTCTTCTCCATTTTGGCGACCCTGCTCTCCAGCAATCTGATAATTATATCAGCCTCGTCTGCAATAGCTGCTGCTTCTTCATCAGTCGGAAACTCAGTAGCGCTCACTCTTGACCGGCCCGCGCGGCCATTTCTTCAGCGGAACACCGAGGTTCTCAGCCCCGGACCAAACTCATGAAGGTCAGCCATGGCTGCATCCTCACTCTCACAAGGAGTTAGGTCGTCGGGGTCGCTTGCACCACCTAATATCAGTCGCCAAATCATTTGAAATAGCACTGACACTATTGCTTTCACGCACTCCTTTTGACCTAGCTGCACGCTATGACGTTGCGGAGGGTGTGGCGCGGCCGCATGACGTCATGGCGCAGCCCCCGAAACTCAGTTTTTCAAACGGAAATATCTCGAGAACGCTTTGTCGGAGACACGTGGGACCAACACCATTCGACTCAGCGCCCGAAACTCTACCGACCCTGAAATTTAAATTTTTCACCGGACTTCCCCTTTAAACACTATGGCTGATTGTCATCCAGACCAACATGGGAGCAGGACAGAACTCGTCACTTCCAGAACTGAAGAGTTGGCCAGGTGCTACTATGGCAGCGAGCATTACTCATTGAGCCCACCCCCCCCCCCCCATCGCCAAGTTATGCTCTTCTCAGTACTAAACTCGGCACATTTTTTCTTGCCACCAGAACGCGCTCTACTTACGAAAGCAGATCCAAACGAGAGGTCTCCAAGCGCGTTGGAAAATATCAGGTTCACTCCAAAGCGTATTTCAGCGTTGCTAACGTTGCTATCATTACGTAGCTGAATATCACCAGCTGCCGGGCCGAATGGCAAGAAGTCGTCCGACTCTGAAGCAAAACATAAACGTTGAGCAGCGACATATCAGAGGGTAAAGTTTTCTAATCACTCGCACACTCCAGTGCAGCAACTTACACATTTAGGGCGCGTTCAAATTGTCACTCTCCTTTTAGAGGAGTTTCGTTTTTCCGAAGAGGTGGCATTATTGGCCTCTACAGCAAAACGAAACTCCTCGAAACTCCACAACCTCATCCGATGGGAGAGGTGGATTAATTCTGAAGAGTTTGGAATAGCTACGCCGAGATGGTAGATCGGACGTCATTATCGCCATGACAATTCCACTGAAAAACTCTGGCGGAATCACATGAATCACGAGAATCAGTCCTGTTAGGTGGGGCGGGCTCCACGCCATGCCTGTCGGTCCGCTGCCATTGTGCGGACTGCGTCAGCATCTAGCGGCTGGTGGAGGGTATGTCCATGCCATGATGACAATTCCGTCTGCAAGACGGTAGCGGACTATAACACTATCATGAAGAGTGGATAAACAAGACTTTGTGCAACTCCCGGATGGGTAGGCCCACGGCGGAAATTTTTGTTGAAGCAATCTTTTCCGGAAACCATGAGTCATACATACCGTACAATGCATGCGCTGCTAGTCTTTTGGGAAGGTTTGCCTCGTGTACTTGGCCGAGCTTTGCATTACAAGGTCAGTGTCCAACACGTGCTCTCACACTGCTCTGCGGCAAAATGTGCGTGCTCTGTACGACACACGCCATGTGTTTCGGAGAAAGGTGACGTCAACAAAAACATTCTGCCGTGGGCCGGGGTATCTGCACTTTCTGCAGAGGAGATACAGAGTTGCACACTCTTTTTTATCCACTCTTGCTATCATCTACTTCGAGTATGTGCATGTAGGTTTTCAGAATCCTGGTGGAACTGGCAACGAGACACTAGAGAGGTTGTGCACAACGAAAATTCGTAAGATTCGGATCGTCCGGGTTCGAGTAACGAAAGTTGCTGCGAAGATCCGTCCAAACGCGACCGAAACAGAGCAGATCTACGAAAATATTTTTCGTTACCTGGAGTACTAAAATACTGATATTTTACAACTCCCTGTCTTGACTCTTCGCACCCGCGCGGCCGCTGCGTCGACCCACTACGGAAAAGCTCACGCATAGTGCGCAACCTCACGGTTCACGAATATTCGTTTCTCTTCTTTCTTCTTCTCTTTTTTTTCGTTAAATTTTTTCGTTACGATGCAACGAATTTCCTTGTGCGCAACCTCTCTACTGGTGACTGTGATAGAGCACGCCCTTACCTTCGCAAACTCCGGTAGGGCTCTGGAATAGCTCGGACGTCGTAGGGCATTCGTTGCATTTGGGCCCAACCACGCCAGGATTACAGCTACACTCTCCGTCGTCATTGCACGAGGCACCCTGGCTACCGGCAATGTCACATGTGCAATCTGTAGCAGAAATATCAAGCGTTGAGCAAGCGTTAAGAATTCCCAACTAGGTCAAAAGTGATTGGGTGTTCTTTTTCAGAACGGGTCAAAGTACTCCAACAGTAGACCACAGTTAAAATGTAATAACAGTGGGACTGCAGTAGACCAGTGCGGACCACATAGTGTGGACCACATTGTGCGGACCACATAGTGTGGACCACATTGTGCGGACCACATAGTGTGGACCACATTGTGTGGACCACATTGTGTGGACCACATTGTGCGGACCACATTGTGTGGACCACATTGTGTGGACCACATAGTGTAGACCACATTGTGTGGACCACATTGTGTGGACCACATTGTGCGGACCACATAGTGTAGACCACATTGTGTGGACCACATAGTGTGGACCACATTGTGTGGACCACATTGTGTGGACCACATTGTGTAGACCACATTGTGTAGACCACATAGTGTGGACCACATTGTGCGGACCACATAGTGTGGACCACATTGTGTGGACCACATAGTGTAGACCACATTGTGTGGACCACATAGTGTGGACCACATAGTGTGGACCACATAGTGTGGACCACATTGTGTGGACCACATTGTGTGGACCACATTGTGTGGACCACATTGTGTGGACCACATTGTGTGGACCACATTGTGTGGACCACATTGTGTGGACCACATTGTGTGGACCACATTGTGTGGACCACATTGTGTGGACCACATTGTGCGGACCACATAGTGTGGACCACATTGTGTGGACCACATTGTGCGGACCACATAGTGTGGACCACATTGTGTGGACCACATTGTGTGGACCACATTGTGTGGACCACATTGTGTGGACCACATTGTGTGGACCACATTGTGCGGACCACATTGTGTGGACCGCAGCGGGATACCAGTCTACCAGAGTGGAACAGAGAGGCACAAAAAGGTACCAAAGAGTGGGACCAGAGTGGGCAAGAGCGGACCGGAGGGGGTGGGTTACAGGGGACCAGAGTGAAATACCAGGGACTACAGGACACAGGAACCAAAGAGTGGGATCACATTGGGACTACAGTGGACCACAGGAACCAAAGAGTGGGATTACATTGGAACCACAGTGGAGTAGGAGTAGATTAACAGTGGGACCAAAGTGCAAATGAACATTTCCGTAAAACAACATAGCCACTAGTCAAAGCCTTACTTTGGCAGCGATCACCGAGGATGAAGAGACAGCCAGCAACGGTGCATTGTGCCAGATAGCTTTCTCGACTGGTAGGTGCATAGAGTCCAGCGGAGCAATTCTCACACCTTGCACCTGTCAAAGAAGAGTTACGCCAGAACAGTAATCATACCCATTGCAGTCAGAGCAATATACACTCCCGCCTCACCCATGACACGTCACACCTGTGAAAGAAGAGTATCGCCATACCAGTAACAGGGTTCTCGCCAAAGTGATATAGCGGGGCGCTGCGCCCTCCTTCAGTTCTTGGCCGCCACCTTTCAAAAAGAATGCACCACACTTCAGAGTGCGATCGCCACCTTTTTATATGCATGATAAGTAGGGCCGAAACAATTGTACAGATAACTCACATATCGATCGTCGAGAGTGCAATCGATAATCGTTAGTGTTCAAAATGGGTGATAATGAATTTTTTATGCATGCATATCAGTGACCGTATTCTAGCCCTTGCACTCCATCTGATAGTGAATATGAGCACAATCATGTACTTTCAAGCGCTGAAAAATTGATGTGCGGCCTTGAAAGAGATCGGCGGAGAAGACGTTGCCTTTTTCATTTGAGGGAGAAGTCGGAGATTCGAGCAGCTTCCAGAGGGTGATGACAAGATTCTTCGCTCTAGAAACAACATGAATGTTGATGAAACCAGCCAGATATCTACAGATGTCAACAGTGCGGTACCACAAATTTCTAACATAGCAAAGGTATCATAGATTTTCTTCATAAACTGGTGTTCGATAGAGCCGACAAGAATCGATAAAACCAATATATCGATCGTTAGTGATATTGGTTGATCGTTAGGAGTTATTGAATGATCGTTTCAGCCCTAATGCTAAGCACACATCATGTTATAGCACAGCAGAATGGCGGCACAAATGGCAGTAAAAATCACAAAATTTTGCTTCTCTAATGATCCCCCCTTCAATATTGTTCTGGTTATAACCCTGAGTAATCATACCCATTGCATTCAGAGCCATGTGCAGTCATGCCTCATTTATCCTGGCAGTCCGGGACTGGGCTCCGCCAAAAACTTTGAAATGCCAGTAACTACTGGTTACATACATTTTGATGCGGAAAGGCCATAGATATGTTATACTACGTCACCATTTCCATAGATATGTTATACTACGTCACCATTTCCAAATCAAGTGACAAAAGAGTAATAATACATACACTGAAGCTCGTCCAAACGGTGCCTGGTAGATCGAAGTTCTCTCTCTCCCTCTCCCTCCCTCCCTCCCTCCCTCCCTCCCTCCCTCCCTCCCTCCCTTGTCTCTGTATCCATTTGTGTGTGTGTGTCTCTGTCTCCCTCTCCCTCCCTCCCTCCCTCCCTCCCTCCCTCCCTCCCTCCCTCCCTCCCCCTCCCTCCCTCCCTCCCTCCCTCCCTCCCTCCCTCCCTCCCTCCCTCCCTCCCTCCCTCCCTCCCTCCCTCCCTCCCTCCCTCCCTCCCTCCCTCCCTCCCTCCCTCCCTCCCTCCCTCCCTCTCTCTCTCTCTCTCTCTCTCTCTCTCTCTCTCTCTCTCTCTCTCTCTCTCTCTCTCTCTCTCTCTCTCTCTCTCTCTCTCTCTCTCTCTCTCTCTCTCTTTCTCTCTCTCTCTCTTTGTCTCTCTCTCTCGATCTGTCTCTCTCGATCTGTCTCGATCTGTCTCTCTCTGTCTCTGTCTCTCTGTCTGTCTCTGTCTCTGTCTCTGTCTCTCTCTCTCTCTCCTCCCCCCCCCCACCCCCAACGCCCACATTCCAAGCCCCATTGATTAGTGTTGAAACGATCTCACCGGGTACTCGTTAGCTCGCTCGCCAGAAATTCGACTTGTTTGTGCGGCCAGCTCATTTGCACTAACGAACACCGTACACCGTACTCCGTACACATGGCAGTACATGTCGACAGGGGAGTCGTAACATATTTTACGACTCCCTGGTCGATCGAGAGTCCAGTCCCGCGCAAAGTGAAAAGCACTCGCAGTTACAGTGACTGTATGCCTGCACGACGCTTGAGTTGTTTCAGTTGTCGTTGCAGCTTTGGTGAACTCTGCTGATGTCTTGTTCCGCATCTGCTGACCTGTCGCAGGATATGCTTTGGTCACCTCTCCATTCGAGTGACAGTTACGCTCAGTTGTTTGGAAGTTGTCTCCCGCAATGCAGCGAAGACCAGGGCTACTTGCAATCTTTGCAAAACGGTCTATTCTTACAAAGGCTACTACTCAACGACGGCGCTGAAAAGACATCTCGACACCAAACAGCAATCCGAAGTGAAGCAGCAGCAACCCCAAATGCCGGCGGTGATAATTTGAACCAGCTGAAAAAATTGAACTTAGAAAAGGTATATTCAAAAATCATGTTTGCGACATCAATGAGACTCGTTAGCTCGCTCGATAGCTTGCTCGTTAGTGGAACTGATCGCTCGTTCGTTATAGATACGCTCGTTTCAACACTACCATTGATCTTCACTCACCTGAAATACCTGGCTGGCATACACACTCTCCAGTGGTGTTGATGCACTGTACTGTCAACTGTGGGTTACACAGACATGGCAGACACTCCTGGCCGCTTGGTGCCAGAAAGAAGAAATTGTCGCAGGTCCCATTAAATGCCACGCCGCTACCGCTGCCACTGATGCTATTGTCTCCACTGTCACTGCCACTGTCTTCGATCTCTGAAATCATGCAACGGAGCAAGAGCCAGATTCAGACAAAGATATATCAAGGTTATAGCCAAAGTGGGTAGGAGGCACAGCAACCCCTACTCTTATTGAGCCCTCTACTCTTATTGAGCCCTCTACTCTTATTGAGCCCTCTACTCTTATTGAGCCCTCTACTCTTATTGAGCCCTCTACTCTTATTGAGGCCTCTACTCTTATTGAGGCCTCTACTCTTATTGAGGCCTCTACTCTTATTGAGGCCTCTACTCTTATTGAGGCCTCTACTCTTATTGAGCCCTCTACTCTTATTGAGGCCTCTACTCTTATTGAGGCCTCTACTCTTATTGAGCCCTCTACTCTTATTGAGCCCTCTACTCTTATTGAGGCCTCTACTCTTATTGAGGCCTCTACTCTTATTGAGCCCTCTACTCTTATTGAGGCCTCTACTCTTATTGAGGCCTCTACTCTTATTGAGGCCTCTACTCTTATTGAGCCCTCTACTCTTATTGAGGCCTCTACTCTTATTGAGGCCTCTACTCTTATTGAGGCCTCTACTCTTATTGAGCCCTCTACTCTTATTGAGCCCTCTACTCTTATTGAGCCCTCTACTCTTATTGAGCCCTCTACTCTTATTGAGCCCTCTACTCTTATTGAGGCCTCTACTCTTATTGAGGCCTCTACTCTTATTGAAGCCTCTACTCTTATTGAGGCCTCTACTCTTATTGAGGCCTCTACTCTTATTGAGGCCTCTACTCTTATTGAGGCCTCTACTCTTATTGAGGCCTCTACTCTTGTTGAGCCCTCTACTCTTATTGAGCCCTCTACTCTTATTGAGCCCTCTACTCTTATTGAGCCCTCTACTCTTATTGAGGCCTCTACTCTTATTGAGGCCTCTACTCTTATTGAGGCCTCTACTCTTATTGAGGCCTCTACTCTTATTGAGGCCTCTACTCTTATTGAGGCCTCTACTCTTATTGAGGCCTCTACTCTTATTGAGGCCTCTACTCTTATTGAGCCCTCTACTCTTATTGAGGCCTCTACTCTTATTGAGGCCTCTACTCTTATTGAGGCCTCTACTCTTATTGAGGCCTCTACTCTTATTGAGGCCTCTACTCTTATTGAGGCCTCTACTCTTATTGAGGCCTCTACTCTTATTGAGCCCTCTACTCTTATTGAGGCCTCTACTCTTATTGAGGCCTCTACTCTTATTGAGGGCCTCTACTCTTATTGAGCCCTCTACTCTTATTGAGCCCTCTACTCTTATTGAGCCCTCTACTCTTATTGAGCCCTCTACTCTTATTGAGGCCTCTACTCTTATTGAGGCCTCTACTCTTATTGAGGCCCTCCCCCTGTGCAAAAGTGGCACCCCCTACTCACTTGCCTTTTTTTTGCTTTTCATGCCATTCAACAAAAACGCAGTCGGTAGGCAGAAACGGAGGGTTCATAAAGACACACTTGTCTGGGGTGAAGTTGAGGATTGGCCGGCCCCCGTACGTTGCATTTTGCGTGGCAAGACAATTTTGGAAATGTGTGTTGCTCCCTACATGGGAGCTTGCGTTATTCCTGCCGACTTGAATTCTCACTTGACTGACTCACGACTGCTATCCAGAGCACACGAGAAGTCCATCGAACCTTCGACTCGGCAAAATTGCAAGAAAGCACCACTCCCTGCTCAATGCACAGTGTTTCAGGGAATTCACCCCTCATCAGTTGAGCTTGAGTAGGCTGAGGAAGATTGTGCCTAAGGAGTACCACTTATATAGAGCTCTCTAGGCACAAACCATCACCAGGGATATAAACTTACAGAGACGCTCCGTTTCCAGCGCGACAAACACCTTGTGAACAACAGATAGCAGCGTGGGTCAGTGCCGCTCATGGAGGTGCTGAACAGTGGACATTATCATTATAACTTAGAACCTTCCAAGTTGGAAGGCTGTTGGAGTGTGCATCCAAGATGCGCTAGATCTGTTAGCCAGTTAGTTGTAGAACATCAGTACCGTCGGCGTCAGTATGCTTGGTGCCCCCCCCCCCCCACCCCAAAGCTCATGGTAAAGGTCTTGTATTGGCTAACCCCCTTCCGAAAACTCAAATATTAATAAAACCCTGGGCAAGATGCTTGGACAACTCAATTGCAGCCAAATATAGTTAATCACCCTGATCACGAACAAACCCAGTCACTGTGACACGAGACATCGATATTTACATTTCTTGGATGCAAGTAGGGCTGAAACGATCATTCAATAACTCCTAACGATCAACCAATATCATTAACGATCGATATATTGGTTTTATAGATTCTTGTCGGCCCTACTCGTATACCTCGAACACCAGATAATGAAGAAATTCCACAATGCCTTTGCTACGTTAGAAACTTGCCGCATGGCACTGTTGACATCTGGCTGGTTTTATCAACATGAACTAGAGTACTTCATGTTGTTTCCAGAGTGAAGAATCTTGTCATCACCCTCTGGCAACTGCTTTCATCTCCGACCTCTCCCACAAATGAACCGAAAAGACAAAGCCTTCTCTCCTGATCTCTTTCAAAGCCACAAATCAATTTTACTGCGCTTGAAAGTACATGATTGCACCCGTATTCACTACCGGATGGAGTGCAAGGGCTAGAATACTGTTGCTGATATGCATGCGTAAAAAATCATTAGCACTCGTTTCGAACACCAACAATTATCGATTGCACCCTTAAACGATCCATATGCGAGTTATCGGTGTAATTGTTTCAGCCCTAGATGCAAGCCACATGGAAAGCACTACTGTTCTTGTTTTGCTAAAGCATCCACTTGAGGATAACTGGTACTACCAGCAAGTGCATTCTGTCAAATTTAAATTCAAAGTTGGTGGCTAGCACACACGTACATGCACGTACACACACAAATACACAAACACACACACACACACACACACACACACACACACGCACTAATAAATTCAGGTGAAGTTGGGAAAGTGGTTTCTTCAAGTCTTGCCAGTTTTATGATTGTCTAAAGAGACCTGAAACCTGAAACGCCTTACGCCAGCAGCACAAGGTTTCAGTTGTCAAGCTGGATGACCTCAGGTTCTAACCTTCTTCTGCGCGCGATCTGCCCCCCCCCCCCCCCCCCCCAACCCGCAACCAACAAAAATATCGACAATAACAATGTCTGGGGACATCATGACTGTACTGATGGTATAGTATTCCAAGTAGTTATTTCAATTCCCGTTTCCGCCACCAATGCAGGTGCCGACAGCATTACTGTATGTTCGGATATCCCACAGCTGGAGCGAAACATGTCTTCCGGAACAGTTTTTCATCACCCACACATCATAACGAACACAACCTGACTTTACTCGTACTTCAAGATTGTTTTTCTCGCCCGAAGTCGACGAGGTACTTTCTCTCCTAGATGGACACGAAGGCATCACAACAGCACTATATCTCACGATGCTACCATCAACTCAGTCTTTACTGTCCTCAAGAACTCGACACGCTCACTCGCATGCCCTCAAATTCCAGCGACAATAATCCATCATTAATTTTCTTGTACCGAACACTTTCTCACTCACCCTTTCCTATATGGCCGCTCAGCCGGTCTTCCAACACAGCATCGGTGGACGCTACCTGCTCAGCGTTCGTCACCACCAGTCCCTCGTAGTCCTGCGGGCGAAGATGCCGTATTTCGGCAGCGGCGAAACTCCACAGATACAGGAATAAAACAAATGCTTGGAACATTTGACTAGCGGAGTGTTCTGGCCCAAACGCTCTGGACATGGTGATGTCGACCGCCGTTCACCTGGCAGACTCAGTGCGATTCGACTTCACACCACACACCCGGGTACCCTCGCCCTGCACGAAGCTAATCTCGATCTTTGTGGTTCAAATCATTTGCCTGTTTACACCAAAAAGTATCGATTATTTACAACTTGCCCAGGCGCTAGGCAGGGAAATTCGAAAGACGTGGAAGTGCCTGATGATACATGTACACTGACAAAGCTTATTATTATAATTATAATTATTATTCTCTAGCCTAGGGCAGCCCCCACAGACCTATGCAGGCTATGGTCTCCTTACGGGGTACCCCAGCCAATCTAGGATTGCGATACGAAATAATGACTTGGTGAAGTAGCAAGACAGACCGATGCCGGAACTGAGTTCCAGCGGTCAGCGGCTAGATACGAAAGAGAGGAATAACCAAATCGAGAGTAGACTCGGGGCAGTACAAGTCCAAGCGAGACTTGAGACCTTGTGCCGAGGTGCGGCTACGTGCCTCAGAATTAGAGGCATAGATGTGCATTGGCAGAAGAATGAAGGCATCTGAATACAAGAATATACAGAAACGGATTGTGATAGGTGTTAGGTTATTTCGGGACAAAGTACACAGAACAACTGCGGCGGGCCGGTAGCCAAATGCAGTACGCAACGAAGGGCGAGAGATGCGGGTGCGAGAATCATAATAATATTATTCATGTTGTCGCAGACTGTACACATAAGCATTCCTAGCATATTCCAGTGTAGACTGGACAAAAGAGAGATAAAATATGCGCCTGGCTGCATTGGTCAACATGGCCTATGGTGCGGCGGGGGGGGGGGGGGGGGAGATGCGGAGATCTACACCTTTGCACTGACCTTCTTCCGGAGTGCATCGATCGACTTGCTGGGGTGGGGGATGTCAAGTTTAAGAAAACGTAAAGTTCCCACGTCCGCGTTACAACCGGCTATACAATTGTATTGAGAAACACAACCAGCTTAGAAAGTTTCGCTCGTGCCAGGCCACCACCAATCCATGCCTGTAATACCAGGGTGGCAGATGCAGCGCCTAACGGCGTGGGTGAGGTGGTAACTCTCACAACCAATGCCCGACAGGGGGGGGGGGGGGGGGGGGGCGAACCTCGTTAGCTGCACTCGTTACCTGCATCCATGTTACCCTCACTCGGAATGTCAAGTGCTCATCAATAATGATGCCAAGATACTTAGCACAAGATGAGTGTTGAACAGCACAGAGTCACAGAATCGCGGCTGACGGGATGCTGCACTGTGGGCTTCCTCCGCGATTCGCAGCACAAGAAACTGAGTCTTTCCCGGGTTTTATGGTTAATTGAAGTTTTCTGGAATGCAGAAACTCGCTGACTGAGTGTAAGTCTGTCTCAAGCTTTTCAGTTGCTGCATCGGCAGTCTTTCTTGTCTGCAACATAGACATTTGTATCATCGGCATAGAGTTGGCTGGTGGAGAAAGCCAAGCATGTTGGAAGAGAGCGTGTGTACAGGGTGAACAGAAGTGGACCAAGTACATATTATCCCTGAGGGACACCACGGTTAGCAGGACACTGTTCTCCTGGGGGGTTGCGGCGACATACAACTATTACTTGCTGTTGACGGCTGGACAGGTAGCTGCAGAGCCAGGCTAGGACTTTACCACCTATACCACAAGCATGGAGCTCGAGAAGAAGTTTGCCATGCTGAACACAGTCAAAAGCTTTACTGAAGTCCAACATCGCCACCGCTACAACATTGTCATCGTCTAGAGAATGTTGCCAACTGTCAATGCAAACATCCAGTGTGTCTTCACACGAGTGGGATTGACGATGCGCAAAGTGTTCATTGGGAATGAGTGGAGTAGCACGAGGGGTAGCCCTTTCCCAAAGATGCTCGCCACTCTTTTCGCAACTTTTTGTTGTTTTGGAAGAAATCGCAACTTTCTTCATTTTTGCAAACTACTTCGCAACTTTGCGGCAACTGTTAGCATAGAAACGCCTTGGAGGAGACCATTGAAGTATCCGTGATGCTCCGCTTCAACAAGAAGTGCGGGAACATTGCATCATAATAATATTATCATCATGATGGGTGTACTTCTCATGTCACAGCACAGATCAGAGCATGCCGCTATGTCATGAATGCTATGCAAAGGTTCAACAAAAAAGGGCAATGACTCATTCCAAGTCTGTTAATTTCCCTAAACATGTTTCACGCTGTAAACATAATGCATTCATATGTACTTCAAAGTACGCACGACTTTACTCAGGTAGTTGTGCTGCGCCAGGGTTTTCCATTTCCGCTTCATTATTGGTTGTTTTTGGCATCATCATGCACAAGAACTGGCTCAATATGAGTTGCGATATTTGTAACTTTTGAGCTTTTTCTGAAAATATTGATGCGATTTCAGCAACTTTCACTTGTTTTGGCATGGTTGCCAAAAGCATAAGTTGCGAAATATTTTGGCATCTTTGGGAAAAGGCTAACGAGGGGTCCTAATATATTGGCCGAGGTGGTCATATACAATTCGCTCCAGTACTCGTAGCTTGGAGGCACTCGGCAGGCGTGAGATGGGTCGATACTTGGTTGGATCACTTCGGTCTCCTGCCTATTAAAGGGGAAGTTAAGGCAAAAATTAAAATTTCACCAGTTGTAGTCTTCGGGGTGCTGAGTCGAATGGTCGTGGTCCGAGGAAGCTGAGACGCTCCCTTCCTACTTGAATCCCAATCGAACTCGTGCACTTCCACCGAAACTGGGTGACTGCGCCCTACTAGATGGGGGTTTGTATGTAAAATGTCACTAGAAGCGCCATTTCGTTCTTATAAAAGCACGGATGACCGCGATTGGCCCATATGTTGTAGTCTTTTGGACGCTGAGTCGACTGGTTTTGGTCCGAGAGAGTTGCGATGCAGCGTTCCTCCTTTATTCCCAATCGAACATGGTTGAAAAAGCGGTCACGTGCTCCTGCGTGTCCAAGTCACCTGGTCACAGCGCCAGCAGGCGACAACTTTCACACCAAGGTTCAACTCGAGTGACAGGACTGCACCCAACAAAGGTCAAACAAGCTAGTACCGTATTATCTCTAATATAAGCACAGTCTCCAATAATAGCACGTCTCCAATAATAGAACACCTTGGGGCGACATTCAAAAAATAAAGTGCTCAGTCTCCATTATAAGAACACTGTGAAAATTCATTATCTGTACCGGCGAAAAAAACCCTGAAATGCGTGTGTCATACATGAATTTGGCATGGCAACATGCCTCTGAAATGAGGTTGAAATAATAATGGAACAGTCTCCAATAAAGGAACGTCTCCATTAATAGCACGGGGCGGAGGTACATTGAAAAAATAAAGGACCGTGCTTATATTAGAGATAATACGGTATTAGTAAGTTGTACCCTGCAGGCACGGTGACCAGGTGACTGGTGTACGCAGGAGCACGTGACCACTTGTTCAAGCATGTTCGATTGGGAATAAGGGCCGAACGCTGCATCGCAGCGTTTTCAGACCAAAACCAGTCGACTCAGCGTCCAAAAGAATACAACATATGGGCCAATCGCGGTCATCCGTGCTTTTATAAGAACGAAATGGCGCTTTTAGTGACATTTTACATACAAATCCCCATCTAGTAGGGCGCAGTCACCCAGTTTCGGTGGAAGTGCGCGAGTTCGATTGGGATTCAAGTAGGAAGGGAGCGTCTCAGCTTCCTCGGACCACGACCATTCGACTCAGCACCCCGAAGACTACAAACGACTGCAAACCACGCAAAACAGAGCCATCCGCTGTATCGATGGCAACCCGCCCCGGACAGCCATGCAGCCGCTGCTCACTGCTCACTCCCTGTACCGTGTCAGCGAGCTCTACAGGCAGAAAATATTGATCACCATCTGGCGGTGTATCAACGCCCGCACCAGCCCTGTGCTCGCCCAGCTTCTGACCCCGGCACAAGGCACCCCTACCCGCCATCAGCAGTCAAATGGCCTACTAAGCCAGGCAAACCGTAGCCGCCGCGGTCAGCGGAGATTTTCTGTTGCTGGTGCTCTGCTGTGGAACGCTCTCCCTGGTGAGGTCCGCACAATTACCCGGCTACCTGAGTTTAAGCATGCATGTGTACCATACGCCTGTAGGGAGTAGTTCGAGTTGCTGCTGATTGCTCTGCTCTCCCTCCCCGTGCAGTTCAGTAACCCGCACGTAGTATCACAGATACATCGTATTCTCTCTCTCCCCCCGTTTACCCGCAGTTATTAGTATCCTATTCTCTTACTATGTGCTTCCATAGCTTTTACTATGTTCTTCCATAGCCACTTCTAGGCTAAGCCTTCGCCGTCATTTTATTGGGTCGTCATCCCGTTTGAATGTGCGAAGTGAAATAAAAACCAACCAACCAACCAACTGGTGAAATTTTGATTTTTGCCTTAACTTCCCCTTTAAAGAGGGGGAGTGCATCGATTTTTCGAATAGGGTCCAGAAGAAAGACACTTTGATATCGGTTCGAATGGAATATCTCTCGCTTCCATACGATAAAGCCAAACTAATAATTACTTCCCAAATCGCCGCTCACGTTGCCATAGCGACTAGCGCAGTGATGACGTATGAAAGGCTTAGCTCCACCACATGCACAGAGAAGGTCGATCACTGCAGAATTAATTATGGTCATTTCGGTTTATTGTGTTCGTGAAATAAAAGAAGGGCTGTGTTCAATGCCGTTAGTGCAGTTAAAGGGGAAGTATACCCTAAAATCAAATTTTCACCAGTTGTAGTCTTCGGGGTGCTGAGTCGAATGGTCTTGGTCCGAGGAAGCTGAGACGCTCCCTTCCTACTTGAATCCCAATCGAACTCGCGCACTTCCACCGAAACTGGGTGACTGCGCCCTACTAGATGGGGATTTGTATGCAAAATGTCACTAAAAGCGCCATTTTCGTTCTTATAAAAGCACGGATGACCGCGATTGGCCCATATGTTGTAGTCTTTTGGACGCTGAGTCGACTGGTTTTGGTCCGAAAAGGCTGCGATGCAGCGTTCCTCCTTTATTCCCAATCGAACATGGTTGAGCAAGCGGTCACGTGCTCCTGCGTACACCAGTCACCTGGTCACCGTGCCTGCAGGGTACAACTTACTAGCCTGTTTGACCTTTTTTGGGTGCAGTCCTGTCACTCGAGTTGAACCTTGGTGTGAAAGTTGTCGCCTGCTGGCGCGGTGACCAGGTGATTTGGGCAACCAGGACCACGTGACCGCTTCTTCAACCATGTTCGATTGGGAATAAAGGAGGAACGCTGCATCGCAGCCTTTTCGGACCAAAACCAGTCGACTCAGCGTCCAAAAGACTACAACATATGGGCCACTCGCGGTCATCCGTGCTTTTATAAGAACGAAATGGCGCTTTTAGTGAGATTTTGCATACAAATCCCCATCTCGTAGGGCGCAGTCACCCAGTTTCGGTGGAAGTGCGCGAGTTCGATTGGGATTCAAGTAGGAAGGGAGCGTCGCAGCTTCCTCGGACCAAGACCATTCGACTCAGCACCCCGAAGACTACAACTGGTGAAAATTTGATTTTAGGGTATACTTCCCCTTTAACTGTTTGTAAGTAGTCCTCTCGGTTGTGTACTGGAACGTGACACCGGCAGGAGAAAGCTGGAGTGCGGGGACATCAGCAGACAAGCGAAAATAGTGACGAACAAAATGCTGATATCTTGGTTGGGAAAATCAGACGTTCAGCATTTCCCCCAACCAAGGATCATGCCGCTTGCTCATTTCACTTCCTGAAGATGGATGTGATGCTTCCTGGTGACTCTCCTATCTCTCGTAACATCTTCTGAAGCCAGGTGAGACGACGGGTGGTGGAGACCAGGGAGTAGTACAATTGTACTACTCCCTGGTGGAGATTGACAAATGAAATAGTGTCGTAGGTTTGAAAGTTTGCTGAAAATGTCTCAGGAGACGGATGGCGAATACCAAGCATCTTCTCCTATAGAGGAACCATTTCCTAGGCACAGTCAGCCTAGGGAAATGCAGGAGAAAGCCGATAAAGAGTTCACGGCACTAACAGCATTGAACAGAGCACCTCTTTCGCATCGTGAATACAATAAGACAATTGAAAATGACCAAATTCTGCAGTGATCGACCTTCCCCGTGGTGGAGCTAAGCCTTTCATACGTCATTACTGCGCTGGTGGCTATGGCAACGTGTGTATACAATTGGCGATTTAGCAAGTTTGGTTTATCATATGGAAGCGAGAGATATGCCATTCGACATGATATCAAATCGTTTCATATGGACCCTACTCGAAAAATCGATGCACTTCCCCTTTAGAACCTTTTGGAGCTGCCTTTTTTCAATGAATGGATTTCTGCAATGCAATAATGTCCCGACGGGCTCCGTAATTTTGCCTGCGCTTTGTCAGCATGTGTATAATATTGAGCTGCTGCCCGGTAGTGTCGACACTCTTGTCGCCATGGTTTCCAATTGGCTTCAGCTGCAGCGTCACTGTCAAGGCCTTATACCCATAGGTGTCTGCAGCATGCACAGGAGCATGTACACAATCATTACATGGAAGTCACTCGAGTCATGTGATTTACTGACCGCAGCGCACACCGACTCACACACATCCAGGCATGGAGCTGGACAGGAGAGCTTGAGAAAAATGTGCATTTCACTCACTCCCAAATAAGGCTGTACTGATCTATACATGTATGCCTAAGGTACAGTACAACCATGAGTCGCTTGCCAAAGAAGATGAGTCTATCATCGTGAACATTTGGCCAAAGAAAAGAAGTCAATGAGTCGTCTATTGTCGTGAACATTTTGCCACTGACAAGGAGTCATTCCGAGTGAACGGGTATGCCAATGGAGATTAGTCATTTGTTGTGAAAAGTGAGCCAATGAAAAAGAAAGTAGTCGTTTGTCATGAAGAGTTACCCAATGAAAAGTAGTTATTCGTCGTGACAAGTTTACCAGTGTAAAAGGGACAGAAATAGGACAAAGGAAATTGGTAAATGAAGCGGATTCTCGGCGAAACGCGCACTAAGGCAGTGGAAGTGAAATGCCAAACTGTGAATAGAATAGTATTGTGCGGGTGCAGGTGTGGGTGCGGATGAGAGTGGTCATGGTTATAAGTCAACCTTACGGGGATTTGCGCTCAGACAATGCCGCCTGTGATGTCAAACTGAATGACTGGTGGATTGTCGTTGATACGAACAATGTCGATGAAAGTTGTCGCTGTGGCAATGACATCAAGCGTTCCGCACTCTCGCAGCTCCCACATAACCTGGACGAGAACAACAATACACACCATGCACATGCACACACATGCATACGCACGCACACACAGACACACAGACACACACAGACACACACACACACACACACACACACACACACACACACACACACACACACACACACACACACACACACACATACACACAAAGCCAGCCAGACAGACAGACAGATAGACAGACAGACAGACACATATGCAGTTGTTCAAACTTCAGTCGCAGCTGACATGCATGATCACTTGGGCCACTTACATGTCAAATGCCAATTTATTTCATCACAAAGTTTCAGTCCGGGTTTTTCAGCCAACTCTGACATGTAACCACAGGGGCGCCCGCGTTGGACACGCTGCGGTTACTACGGTATTGATCGTACCACTCCCCCCCCCCCCCCCCCCAGGAACCACATGAATCAATCAAAAGCACTGATTTGGACTCTAAATTTCGAACATTTTCAGTGGAGCCACCCCTCCTAACAAGTAAATTGTACCTCAGATGGCTGATCGTACCACCTTAATCCCACGCCCCTGATATTCCATAACATCCTTAGAACACTCTGAAAGTGGTCTCTGCGCTACACCGATCACTGAAAAAGAATACAATTATACCGTATGTCCACACCTTTAAAGCCATGAAGGTATATTCGATTGTATAGCCAGTCTCAGTTATAAAGCCATGAGCTTCGTGAATGAAATGACATTTGAAGCATGTTTTGTAACAATCAAGGAATAAGTACTATACTAACAAACTTACAGCCCAGCAGGAAGGGTGAACCAGTGGATTTAGATTGAAATTTCTGCGTGGACTTTGACTTTTGTGGCATGGCGTAGTGGGTGAGTCATTTGGCATCTCAGAAAATAGCTAGGAAAGCAACGGTGTGTTGAATAGAAGGCCATGGCTTTAAAGGCGATGACATACGGTATGAATGTTTGGGCACAGCAGTTGAGTCTGCGCATGATATTGAGAACTCTGACTGATTGAACACTAACGAGTATTGTATCTGACAGGTGCAACACGGGCATCGTGTAATCATACTCACTTGCCGCACTGCAATAGCCGGTTCCATCGCGGTGTCTATGTACTCAGAGTTCTGCACAATGGTCAGCAAGTCCTCGGTGGATATTGCACCACCATCCGTCGAATTATATATCAGCTGTCGAGCGGAGAAGATTTTCTGTCAGCAAAAAAAGTGGGAGGAAAATGAAGAAAATCTTGCAGCATCCGTTGTTGAAAGAATGGAGAGAGCGAGAGAGAGAGAGAGAGAGAGAGAGAGAGAGAAAGAATGGAGAGAGCGAGAGAGAGAGAGAGAGAGAGAGAGAGAGAGAGAGAGAGAGAGAGAGAGAGAGAGAGAGAGAGAGAGAGAGAGAGAGAGAGAGAGAGAGACAGAGAGAGAGAGAGAGAGAGAGAGAGAGAGAGAGAGAGAGAGACAGAGAGAGAGAGAGAGAGAGAGAGAGAGAGAGAGAGAGAGAGAGAGAGAGAGAGAGAGAGAGAGAGAGAGAGACAAAGAGCCAGAGAGACAGAGAGAGCCAGAGAGAGACAGAGAGAGACGGAGACAGAGAGAGAGAGATAGACAGAGAGAGAGTGACAGACAGACACAGAGAGAGAGAGAGAGAGAGTGAGAGAGAGAGAGAGTGAGAGAGAGAGAGAGAGAGAAAGAGAGACAGAGAGAGAGAGAGAGACAGAGAGAGAGACAGAGAGAGACACAGAGAGAGACACACACACACACAGAGAGAGAGAGACGGAGAGAGAGAGAGAGAGAGACAGAGATAGAGATAGAAAGACGAAGAGAGAAGGAGATACAGAGGGATAGATAGATAGATAGAGAGATAGAGAAAAATGGTCGATTTCGGTTCATACGTGCCCAAATTAACAGATCAGAAATATTCATCGAGTACTTATTTTTGACCCCATTAGACAAAGTGACTGGCACGCATACCCGACTTTACGGGGCTGAAACGTGCTGTAAGTATGAGAGAAAATTGAGTATTAGAAATTGGGAATTTCCACTTCAGTGCATTTCCATTGCGCACGTTGCTGGAGAAGGCAGTGAAGATACACGCAAGCGCATGGTTTCATGCGTGCAAGATGCTCCAGTTACGCACTGTTTTTAAGTTACATGTTAAAGAGAGTTACAGCATGTATTTTGAGTCATTTTTTCTGCTGATATATTGGGGGCAGGACACTGGAAACACGAAAAATCCGGTAGATCGTGTGAAATTCTGTCTTACATCAATGTTGGTCGCTGAGATTGCCTTGGTTGGGAATATCTTCTCCTGTGTGGGATCATCCAGGTCACCTGACAAACTACGGTTGAGAGAAAGAAGAGAGATATAAAAGGGGTGATTTTAGGAATTCAGAATTTTTGAAACCTGCTCCCAGCTTAAGATGAGCGTTTGCACACCAATCGGCAGTAAGAGGTTGGTCCCCAGTATCTCCTAACTCCTACTCCTACTCATGCGCATGACGAACCATCGCCGAAGCGATGACAGCGAACACAAGCTATATTAGACATAGTAACTTGTGCTGGGATTGCACCATTCAACAGCTTGCAAGGCTGACGAATTGCCCGCCATTAATTTTTAGCCTGGTCTACACCACGCAGTTGATTGATGTGGATGACACACACACACACACAAAAACGAGCAAGTCGCTTCAGGGGTATAGCTGGTCCATTTGTTAGGGAGAGGGGGAGGAGACCAGGAGAAGCTGACAAACATAATTATTCATGCCACAATTTTGTTGTGACTTTTGGAAGATTGGTCTTCTTGCTCCAGTTCACCCATTCATTCATTCATTCATTCATTCATTCATTCATTCATTCATACATTCAGACTCTATTTGAAGGATTCTCTATAGTTGAAAAAGCGGCGAGGTGACAACAGTTTCTAAGGATTGCAATAAACAGAACCAGCTGAAGCGTGATTTCGTGAAGGTTTTATTTCTTTGTCCATCACCATTTTCTCTAGAATTTGTTCGTGACATCTCAATAAAAACTTCGTGAAATGATGTTTCAGCTGGTTCTGTTTATTGCAATCCTTTTAAAACGATTCTCCATAAGAACATGGATACCTATCAGGGGAGTTTCCTGGAAGGGTGGATGGGGGAGTCATTTCCCATGCTCTACTCACGCGGCCAATGTGATAGAAACTTGACAAGCGGCCGACTGTCCAACCAGGGCTGCGGCGTGTTGAAGTGACAGGATTGTGGGCACAGGCTGGTTCTCCATGAACTCCGTTCTAAACGTGTTGTTGAAGCCGTTCAAGTTTAGAGATCCTACAGGAATCAAAAGGAAGAGTTAGAGTACATAATGTTTAATCACCAGGCAAATTTGTACTTGCATCAACAAGATACAAATTTGACCTGAAAGCACAAGCAGCATGACAAGAAGCAGAGAACAATGGAGAAAGGTCTCACCGTTTGTACTCCCCTCTATTACCGCCATGGCTGGCTATCGCCCACATCACTTTTTCATTGGCTAGTGCCACGTGATTGTGAACCAAAAAATAAGTAAATAGAAGGCACTGCTCTTACCTTGGCAGTTCATGCCATCCCCGTTGAATCCAGCCAAGCACTGGCATTCGAAAGATCCAAACGAATCCGAACACATCGCAAGCTCACTGCACGTGTGAGTACCGGTCACGCATTGCTCCTCGTCTGCACATGTGCACATACACACACGTACACAAACAAGCATGCACACACACGCACGCATACACACACACACACATACGCGCACACACGCTCACACACACACACACACACACACACACACACACACACACACACACACACACACACACACTTGTACTACTTGTACTTGTTGCTCACTGCCAAAACTGGTCACGCGAGTCCCCCCGGGAGAGGGGAGAGAGACTCAAAAGGAATCTTGGAAAGATGACTCAATTGGTTATTGAACCGCCCAACGGCCGACACCCCTGAAATCCCCAAAACGCTGGGTGGACTTGAAAATGATCTCACTTATGGGCTCACCACACCTCAGTAAGTGGGTGAGGACAAGGTGCACACACACACACACACACACACACAAGTACATAGACAAACAAGCGTGTGAATACACATGCACACACATACAACCGATATCGCCTGTATTGTATTTGGTCTGTTGGTCTAGGGGTATGATTCTCGCTTAGGGTGCGAGAGGTCCCGGGTTCAAATCCCGGACAGACCCATTTTTTCTTGATTTTCCCTCTTTTTGTCGCCTGAATGCATGCATACTTGATTTGTATTCTCTTGATCAGAGAATGCTGATTTACACAATGCGACCATACCTATATTCTGCAGCGGGCATATTTGATGTGCTCCATGGCCAAGTTTTTCTTGTGACGAGATTCGACGGTTGTGACCTTTTCCAACACGTTGGGAATTCTGAAGTATGTCTGCCGATTGCAATGTGTTCCAGCCAATAAATTTCACTGTGAGTACGCAGCATGGATGCAGTGAATGGGATTTTCGGTCTTTGCCCACTTTGCTGGTGAGCTGATCTACTCACCTCCCACCGCTTTAGGAGCTGCATCTGCGCCTTGATCCTTGAAGGGTGGTGGCGTTCCTACGGATGCGGAAAACTTGGCTAGAGCTGACACGAATCGTGAATATTTTGAAGTACGCAGCTGCTGATTCGTACATGTAAAACACAACTGTTGTCTCTCGCCATACGCTCGGCAATGAGCACATCATCTCGTCATGCCAAATGTGACAGTTTTTTACTTCCATATCCATTTCGGTGAAGAGGAAACCTGAACGTTCCCCACTGCTTCATTTTCTGGGATCTCTTGAAAAAAAACTGAAACACTTGACAGACTTTTTTGCCACACTAAATTAAAGTTGTCAAGAAAAAATAAAAAAATCCTTCGAGCCGGATTCGAACCAGCGACCTAAAGATGACTACACATCCCAGTGATGCGCACACTACAGTCTTCCGCTCTACCAACTGAGCTATCGAAGGGGATGGGAACCAAATAGGCTAGAGTGGTCCATGGTCCTGTCCCTAAAACACCATTAAACTGTGTTTCCTGGCAGTGAACTATGCTTTTTTTCATGGCCAGCAATCGAGGACATCTGAGAGTTGTAATTTTTGTACTCCTCCGAGGTGTGATTTTTGGCGTGCTGGGCCCTGCACAAGGAAGCCATCTGCAAAAAAACTGCAGAAAATGGTTGTTGTTTGATCCTTTGGTGTAATCTTTGTTTCTAGTCGAAGCTAGTTGCTGTTTGGAGCAGAAACGCTGAAATTGACTATTTTCTGCATGTACTCATATATGTACTCATGTACTCAGGCATGCAGTCTCACTCGTATTTTAGCTCTTTTTCTGGAATGGATGCTGCTCTGCGCCCCTTGGTGAACATTTCCTGCGCTCGTGGAGCAGCTGAAAAGGACCACTGGTATGTCTGGTTCCTGGTTTGAAAGTGGAGAGTCGACTTTTGTGCCTTGAAAAAGGAGTAGAGAGCGATAGAGGTACGTCTGTTGCTTATTTTTGAGTGCTCCTCGTACATTTTTGATCGTGATAGAAATTCTCAGACCAAAGTCAGACCTAAGTCAGCGCGATGATGGCCGTACAGTTTTCTTGTGGATTTTTTAGTTGTTTCATCTCGTATCTATGTCAGTATCGTGATGGTGAAGTGGAGAGGGTGATTTTCTTCCTCTAGGCTTCGTTCGGCCGACTTTGCTTCGTCCTCGTTGAAAAGTGATCCTGAAAAAAGGTCGATTCGAAAAATTATGTTGATTTTGAATGTACGTGATGACATGCGATTGCTGGCTATGTCTTAGTTTCCTGAACAATTGACCTATACTTTGCCTACCTATGGTTGACTCATATGGTGGTAAATGCACACCTGGCAATATGGCGGTAAATACACTCCTGCCCACACATACTCCCTCAACTCTCTAAGCCATATTGCCAGGTGTGTGTATGTACCACCATATCGCCAGGTGTGTATGTACCACCATGTGAATCAACCATCAGTACAGCTGCAGTAGAGTCTTCAACTTCATTCTACTTTGCCTACCTCTCTCTTAAACTGAAAGAATGTGTCATGGATGCTGATTCCACTGAATTGGTTGTAGTCGGTCTGTTGGTCTAGGGGTATGATTCTCGCTTAGGATGCGAGAGGTCCCGGGTTCAAATCCCGGACAGACCCTATTTTTTCTTTCGATTTTCTCACATACCCATGTCAATTTATTTAGAAAGGAGATCCTCCTGTCAGCTTTTCTATTATTGTGGTCATATAACGTTATGCCGATGTTTTTGGCGGAGACACACATCTTTTGCACAAAGCAGAAAGGAATTTTGAAGATATTTTGCTTTTACGAAATTTGGATATTTTTCCAATTCAGGGAGCGGAACTGTACGAAAATAACGAAAGAAAGGGGAAGGCGACCGCACTTAGGATGAGAACAAACTAAGGATGTTAGGTTTGACAAGATGATGGTGACGGAGGAAGGACCGCAGCACACAAGATGGCCACGGCGCACTTTGAGAACGCAACACATCAGCAGGTGTGTAGCACCCCCGTTGGAGGTGGTCCGGCGGGGGGAGGGGTTCCGGGGGTCTCCCCGTGACAATTTTGAAATTTGGGTGCAAAATCCTGCATTCTCGGCACTTTTGGAATTGTGTGAAAAAATGTGGTCCAGACCGGCTGCTCAGAACTTACACATTTTTTTTAAATGAAAATTCTTGTCCGGCTTACCTGAACAGTTGCCGGCGTTTCCATTGCCAACAAATCCGGGAATGCATCCGTCACACATGGATCCTCCGACCGTGTTTAGACAGATTCCAGCAGCATCACAGAGATGTCCGCCAACAACGCACTCATCAATATCTGCAGGAAATAACACAGAGAAAAAATGATGACGGAGAGCAAGATTAAAGTTGGTTGTTCCAACAAGGAACACACGCTTTTTGCCGAACTTGACACTTGACTGCCAAATTCATGACTAATACCACCGAAGTCGCAACCGTTCTAAGAGAGCAAAATTGTTCAGTAATCTATGTGAAATGTTTCCTTTACTCCCCCCATCTCCACTGCAGCGTTTTCCTTCCACTAATGTGCTCTCCATCTTGGAGGAAATTATCATGTTACATTGAGCATGTGTTTGTACTGAAATACATATTCACGTCATAACCTTCAGGGCGGAATTTTCAGAAATAAAAGGTTTTTTTACTTCGTTTACTTCGCAAAATCCAAACGGGAATTTCTTCCCAATAACGAGGTAGCGAAGGGGGAGGAAAAAAGTGGGGAAAGTAAGTCTTCAATCGCGGATGATTTGTCAACATGTTCTACTATTAAATGAAGTCATATCCATGCAGCTATGCCTTGGGATGGAGGAGGATTGCCGTCTATGACGGCAATTTGACGCAGGACTGAACCACCCCAAGATTGCTGACTATGACGGTAATTCACTTGTCTTCTGTCTTGACGTGTTTGCCCTTGCTATGTTTGGCTAGACTTGCCTCAGCATTATGCAGTCTGGGGAAGCAATATGATGCAGTGCACATGAAAAGGGGGTTTAGCTGCACCTGAGTGAAACGGACAAAAGCGCATATGAAGTTTGAACTTGCCATTACTTGTGGCTAAAGACATTGCAAAACCCAAAACCCAACCATCACAGCATCATTAAATTTTGTTGACGGATTTCCATGTTTAAAAAAAATTAAACGAAAGTCTGAGGCTATGATTACTTGAGATCATAAAATGTGACCCTAAACACGCTTTTCTTCTGCTCTGCAATATACGTGTAATAAATGCACAGCATGGGATGACAATAAAAGTATCATCGTTAACACACGACGTACCATCAAACGGTTTTGTCCTTGAAATTTGACCCTTGGCACACTTTTCATGTGCTCTGCACCATACATGCACACGTGATGAAAACACGAGTCACAGAGTACCACGCATCTGCTTTAACCCTTTAAGAGCCACAGGAAAATTTCAAAATTCTGCATTTTTTCATGTTCCTTGGATCATAGCTGCAGTTCTACTCACTCAATCCTCACAATCTAGGGCTTCCTGGAAAGGTCTCCGCGAGAGGAAGAGAATGAGGTCAATCATGATAGCCAGCACACCGTCTATCCAGCGCTAGATCGCAGCGACAGTACGAAAAATGCCCCAAATGCGTTCAATTGCGTCCCGCTCCAGACATTTCATTTTACTCGATCGTGGAGTTCCAATTTTTTCGCTGTGTACTCTTGACAATGTCAACAGTGAAACCCGTGCAAATTCGAGTAAACCAGCGTGACGAAAAGTCTCAAAATTCTCAATACGAAAGTCGCACTGCGTGCTTTTGAAATTGCCGCGATCGCGGCTCAACTTACGAGTGATTTATCTCGGGAACCGTTGCTCGCAGTGCTTCGCGGACTCCCGACAGGTGAGAGTTTTCTCTTTGCCCTGGATATTTCGATCACTGGATTTGAGCGAGATTGGACTGAGTTACGATCTTTTGAAGTTTTGCATTTGAATGCGTCGTTTACGACGCATTCAAGTATGGGGCGGCTCTTAAAGTGTTAATAGTTTCTTGCCAGATGGCAATCTTCAGACAACTGATCACCAGACGTGTGGTACTCTGTGACTCGTGTGTTACTGCTCTGCTTCTGCATTGAGCACTCTATTAAAACAGAGGACTCCGCTCTCTGTGTGATGAATATAATTAGTTTTGGCATGGGAGTGACAATAACACTACCATTGTACTCTCCTCTCATTACCTTTCCCAGTCTCCTCTGTTTCCCGCACCCCATCCCGGCACATCCACCCCAAGATGCATCTGGCGAGCTACGACACCAGACCTTCGAGGTCGGCTGAGCTTCTCAGATCCCTGCACTCGATATCTGCTTGATATGGGCTCTTAGACGGAGCTTCTAGTCGTCCATCATGGAAAGAGTGTTCTTTGGAAAAACAAAACAAAAGAAAGTGAAGAAGAGGTTGATGCAACCTTGGCGATACGTGGGGAATTGTGTGTTGCTGCTCCCTACATGTGAGCTCGCGCTTTTCCTGCCAACTTGAATTCTCACTTGAATGACTCACGACTGCCATCCAGAGCGCACGAGAAGTCCATCGAACCTTCCACTCGGCAAACCTGCAAGAAAGCAACACTCCCTGCTCAATACACAGTGTTTCGGGGAATTCACCCCTCGCCACAAAACAAAAACAAACACGTGACGTACCATCACAGATTTGTCCAGAACCTTCAAACCCGTCGTTGCAGTTACATGAGAAAGAGCCGGCCACATTAGCGCACATAGCCATGGGTGAACAGTCGTCTGTGTCGGTAGTGCACTCGTCAATATCTGCACACAGTCCAGTACAGAATAGTGTTTAACAGTCACAGCCAATCACAGCCATTCACAGCCATTCACAGCCATTCACAGCCATTCAAAGCCATTCACAGCCATTCACAGCCATTCCGTTGCCCGGGACGCAGGAGCAAAAAGAACAAGTTTAGTTGCACTCGGATGGTGAGCCAAGGATTAACTTCTAGTAAAGAAAAGGACCAAGTCGGAAAAGTTGGAATGCTGTTGGAGTGTGCACCCCAAGACTCAAGGTCGGGACAGTTGGATAGTCACACACACATGCATGCGCACACACAAACATGCACACACCCACCCACCCACCCACACATACGTGCACACACAGACTTGCACACATACACACACCCACACCCACACACACACCCACACATACACCCCCCCCACACACACGCGCGCACACACACACACACACACACACACACACACACGCACACACACACACATGCACACATACACACACAGACATGCACACAGACACACACAGACACACATATACACACACACACACACGCACATGCGCACACACAGACATGCACACATCCACACGCACACACACATGCACGCACACACACACACAAACACAAACACACACACACACACACACCACATCACATCACTTACCGGAACAGGACATCCCATTTCCAGTATACCCAATCAGACATGTGCAGTTAAAGGATCCGAAAGTCTCCGTACACATGGCGTTTCCATCACATGGCATTGTCATACATTCCGCAATATCTACAAGAATGAGCAGAGCAAAAGTGTAGATGACAGCAGTTGTGAAAGATTGCATCACGGCATGAATTTGAAATGTGTGAATGACAGCAGTGGTGAATGATGCTACTTCAAGTGACAAGCACTGGAGCTGCTTGTCTGCTACTTGATTAGCCCTTAGGTGCCGGTAGGTCGATTTCGACCTATGCTGACAGTGCATACTAAAATCGAGCACAGAGCCAGTCTCGTACATCGCAGGTGCCTGATTTTTGTACAGAGACCCTTCAGTAGCTGTCCTGCAGATAGCAATAGAGAAAGTAGGGGGGTTGCATTTGAAAAAGTCGAGTCGTGATCAATGACGATCGCGCAGATTAGCGGAAGTCAATCGAGCGTGGCAGCCTACGCACGCGTCCCGCAACATGAACAAAACGTTGCTGTTTCGCTTCGTTTTCGACTAGTACAGTTCATGGCTACTACAGCTGACCTCTGTCATGGATGCTGCAGGAGCGCTTGAGTTGTTTGAAGAGCTGGAGGCCGATGATGCCCCTGTAGAAGAAGAATCAGAAGACGACGATGGTGAATAATATGACGCTCTTTTCTCTGACGGAAACCTGCCGTCATCAGTTGAGGAAGACCGACTCAACGATGATTTGGTTTTCGGTGAAATTCTTGAGAACGGCAGCTCTTCAGATGAGGACAAAATTTCCGACGATGAGCTTCAAGAAGCTGTAGGGCGAGGGCAAGCGCAGCCAGTTCGTGGACGTGCTCCGCTCGCGCTGCGCGGAGGAATTGCTCGCGGCGCTGGTCGAGCTCAGCCAGCTGATCGAACAGCTGATTGTGGCGTGCGTGGCGCGTGTGGCGGAGGCTGTGGCGGAGGCCGTGGACGAGGTAGTGGATTCGGCGTGCTGAGTTGTGTTGGCGACCAAGATGTCCTTGGACCAGCGCAGTACCCTGACCCTATTGTAGATTTTTCAGACTTGAAAATTCAAAAATCGGATCTTGCTGTGTCTTGCCATTCAGAATACATACTTTTGTCGCTACATCATCTAAACGGTTGCGGAGATCTAGGCTTTCCAAAAAATTGAGCCAAAACTACGAAAAATCTAAAATTAAGTCAGGCACCAAAGGGTTAGATGATGTCTGTGGATGGCTTGGAGAATGAGCAGAACATAAGACACACACGCACACACACACACACACACACACGCACGCACGCACGCACGCACACACACACACACGCACGCACGCACGCACGCACGCACACACACACACACACACACACACTGCAAGCATGCCAATGCCTCACTTACCCATGCACATGACTCCATCACCAGTGGTACCGCTGGGACAGTCCCTGCAGATAGCCCCACTGCCCGGGGCAGGCACATCTGTACAGATGACTCCCTGGAAGCAGCCCGCGCCCTGTACACAACCGTCACGGTCCTCCTCACATCGATCACCAGTGTATGCTGCACAGAACAACATGACAGGCGTATCATACAGTAGAGAGGGGAGAGAGAGAGAGAGAGAGAGAGAGAGAGAGAGAGAGAGAGAGAGAGAGAGAGAGAGAGAGAGAGAGAGGGGGGGGGGGGAGAGAGAGAGAGGGGGGGGGGAGAGAGAGAGCAAGAGAGAGAGAGAGATAGAGAGAGAGATAGATAGATAGAGAGAGAGAGAAAGAGAGAGAGAGAGAGAGAGAGAGAGAGAGAGCGAGAGTGACAGAGACAGAAAGACAGAGTGAAGTCATTTCATAACTGCCATAACTCGGACAAATGTCCATTAGTTGACGAAACTGTAGCATGCCATCGAAAACAAACCTCCCAGCTGTCGTCTCAACAATCTCCGAGAGGAAGCGTTGTTCCTCAGTTATGATCATTGTATCTTTTGACCTAGCAAGTTTATGGTTTAACTTAATGTCCGTGATGTAACCTTTGCACCATGACCTTACTTAAAAAGCTCGCCTCTGTACTGATGAGTCCTTTATGGCCGAAACAGCTCACTGCCTACAGCATTGGGTATTGTGTTAGGTGAATACGTACACTCGTTGCAGTTGCACTCGAGGAGTGTGAACTGAGCCAGTCCTCCGTCCTGGCCCGTTTGCTGCGGGAAGCACGGCTGCATGTTCTCGCACGGGCACAGCACGATAGCCGGCTGAAAAGTGCTGTTGACGTTGTTGTCGTCAGTGGCTGTAAACTCCAGGCTAACCATGGTGTCTGCCGCGCTGGGCGTCCAGAACAAGTTGTAGGTGGTGATGTTGCCCTCTGTGTGTAGGTATAGGCACAGAGTATCACACGCAACACAACCAGTAGCATCATGCTCATGAGAACTCCATACTGTCCAGTACACACCCATTATCACCCAGAGCAGTAGGTGATCATGTTACCCTCTGTGTGTAGGTATAGGCACACACACATAGAGTACTAGTATCACATGCAACACAACTTGATATCAAACAAACCCGGGTACAGGTTCAGGCCTAACAACCCAAGCTACAACCACAGTCCAGTTAAACTACCCAGGTCCGGACATCCCTAATCCGGGCATGTCCGTCTTACAGGCACCTTTCGTACTCATCTAGAGTCACAAAAACTGGCATCTAAACGAAAAGGCCTATTGATTGGCATAAAAAATGTTTACTTGTATTCGGTAAGTATGTATGTTTCGAGTTACGGGTAAAACCTAGTCATGGGCAATGCTCGGTTCCAACCTGCCCGGATCTCAGTGGGGAGCTTTACTGTATCTCAATTTTTCTTCTCTTGTTGGCCACGGATTACTGCGAATATAGGCGATTTCAAACAGCACCATATCCAGACCAAGTGACTAATTGATTGCATTCATTCAACCTGAAGATTAACGGCATCCAGCAAACAACAACAACACTAAATCTTTGCTCATACTCGATCGAAAGTTGCTGCTGTAAATCGATTATATTTCTTAGTCGTTTTTACTGTCGTAAGGCTCCGGCCTCTTACGAAAATAAAATGCTTATTGAAATTTGTCACAGTACTGTATGCATGTACGTACATGACTACGGAGTGCTCTTTTTCTCAGTTTACGAATATTATATGCTCACGAATTATAATAGATTTACAGTATTAGCAAGGCCGACTGTGTAATGATCTGTGTTCAGCTCACCTCGTCCAACAAGTGTTAGATTGAAGTCGTTTGGCAGTACGGTGTTGTTTGCTGCCTCCACAACCAGTACAACCTGATCAACATCGGTGATAGTCACTGTGTACATCACTAGCTGGCCAAGAACAGCGTCAATCTGTTCTGCACCCTCTATCAACGGGGCAATGTTCACTGGGAAAACGGATATATAATAATTATTATGCATACACATGCAGACAGAGAGACAGACAGACAGACAGACAGACAGGCAGACAGGCAGACATACACACAAACAGACACACATGCACAAACAAACACAACACCCATGAATAAGAAATTGTGTGTGTGTGTGGGGGGGGGGAGTGTAGTCAATACACCACACTCGCACAATACGATAATTATTGCATGAACTGTATGAGGGTGATATCACTTTCCGTTGCTCCCCCCCTTCCCCCCGCCAAAACCTTCTTCCCTTCCTTTCTGTTGTTTTGTTTTTGGCTATACAAAAATACAAGTGCACCATTATGAACCTTTACAGGACATCTGGTCACTGTGTCCTCAGTACTAGCTCTCCCTTGCTGGGCATCTTCTCAATGTATCATTGTATCATTGTATCATTGTATCATTGTATCAATGTATCATTGTATCATTGTATCATTGTATCATTGTATCAATGTATCATTGTATCATTGTATCAATGTATCATTGTATCATTGTATCATTGTATCATTGTATCATTGTATCATTGTATCATTGCATCATTGTATCATTGTATCATTGTATCATTGTATCGTTGTATCGTTGTATCATTATATCAGCTGAATTTGGAAAATATAGTAAAATCTTTCAAGGCGACCACTCGGATAAGGCGACCACCTGTCCTAAGGGACCACTGAAACCTGGACCCAAGGCATGCTATTTACAGTCAAATGACCCTGGATAAGGAGACCACCTGGTAACAGAGACATGTTTTGACGGTCCCTTGAGCGGTCGTCTTGGACAGGTATCACTGTATTCCTGAACTCAGAGTATCAAGCACTATGAGGACAGAGGAATAGTCCAACTGTGAAACTTTCGGACATATTTTTACTGAAGACCCAACCCACTTGTAAGAAGAGCGGAGAGAAGTAGCAGGACAACACAATAATGGCAAGAGTAGGGGCTCCAAGAAGGAGAGAGAAGCAGGAGCAGAACACAACAGTTGGAAGAGTTGGGGCTTCAAGAATGAACCTGACTTACGTGAAATAGAGAGCTGTGTGTTGAGCATGTCGTCGGTGTCCCTTGACTGCATTCCTACCATGACGTTCCCAGTGGCCGCGGCATCAAACAGACACGCCGTGTTGCCACCGCAGGCGGCTCTCGCCTCGTCGCTGATAGTCAGGTTGTCGGAGAACACCGGTACGAAGTTCGGGAAGGCAAAGTCATCGGGGCCCAACCCTGGTGGGTACGTGAAGAGAGTCTCACTGCCCAGAATCTGCCCTGTAGTGTGGTGAACACGTGACCAAGGTTACACAGGTACATATAGAAATAGAAAAAACAGTGCATTCAGAAAAAGCGGGCAGGACACACATTATATTTCTTGTCAATATGCTACTTAGCGAGCACTGCAAAACACTGTTGCACATTGAGAGAGAGTGTGTGATACAAAATGTGTGAAATGTATATATAGAGAGAAATAGAGAGAGCTGGAAAGGGTGAAGAAGAGAGGCCGTGAGAGAGAAGGAAAGATTGATAGAGAGATAGAGAGAAGGAGAGACTGAGGAAGAGGAAGCGAGCGTGGGAGAGAGAGGAAGAGAGAGAGAGGCAAACGCACACGCACAGAGCGAAAAAGGGCTACATGACCAAGGTTGAGAAACCTTGACCAAGCAAGAGCAGTTGCCAAACAAGATGACGGTGTAAGAACTTACACGTTTGACCAAATGAGGAGAAGATGTCTTGCTCGGAAGCACTGGATGGCAGCGTTTCACCTTGTCGATTGAGGAAGTCATCCTCAGAGTCACCATTGAAAACACCCATCAATCCTGTAGTCTCTCCCTGGAATTCCTCCGGTACTGAAGAGAAGAATTAAAGTAAAGCCATAACATTTTTTTATTCAGTTTCAGCAATACCACCAGCAGCAGCACCACCACCAGCAGCAGCACCAGTCTATAAAAGACGACTTCCACTGTACCGTTACTCGGGTACTCACATCTGGGTGATACAGTCATAGTCACCACACCACCTGCTTCCCCCACGCTGACTAGGAATGCAGCTTGATTTGAGAATGTACACGTGACACTGTTTGTGTCAGTACGCATCAGGGTGACAGTGTCATCCGGCTGTGCAAACCAACAGTACACACAGATGTACAAGAATGTTAGAAGCACAATGTCATATTGTTAGCGGAGGTCTTCATTGTTGCTCCCAGCCCCATGCCATATCCACACTTAGACCGTTGATGAGGTATTCACATTCGAAACATTTCAACTAAAAAAAGTTTACATTTCGACAATATTGACAAGTGGACGACGGAAACACAGTCGGACATGACCAACGGAAAGCGAAGACCGCTTTTCACACCACAGCAACATGCGCTTGCAAAATGCACTTAATTTCTTGTTGCCATCTTCATCAAATCCGTCAATCAATAGTTGTTGCAGATATTTCTAATGATCAGATAAGGCAGCTGTTGTGGAGTGTGGCTGGTGAAATGTTTGTGCTGGTGTCTGCAAGCATCGAGTGGTCTCATCTGGTCACAAGACAAATCTATAACGCTTTTAAAGTGTATTTGACCCTGCACTAGTACAACGTGATACTAGTACAACCCAGAACGCAGCAGTGCAATAGAGTCAGCAACAGTCATCCTTCTGCACCATCCCCCCCTCCCTCCCCACCCCTTGCACCCCCTCCCGTCCCCTCCCCCCATGCACCCGCCCCTCCCCAACCCCTTGCACCCAAACACAGTCATCCTCCTGCACCCCCTCCCCACTCCCTTGCGTCCCCTCCCCACCCTTGCACCCCTGCCCATCCCCTGCCACCCAGACACCCTGTGCCTTACTGCAAACATGTCCGGTATTCCCATCCCGTCCGCTACAGCCAGGCCGTACACGTCACTAGTGATGTCCTGCTCTCCGTTCAACAGTATCACCATACTGGCTGTGCTGCTGTTGGACGTGAACTGTAGCCGAGTCATCAGATCTGTACACACACATGGAAAAAGCACACGGGCAATATTACACACATACACACACACACACACACACACACACACACGCAAACACGCACACAAACACGCACACACACACACACACACACACACACACGCAAACACGCACACAAACACGCACACAAACACACACACACGCACACGCGCAAACACGCACACACACATGCACACGCACACGCACACACACACACACACACATTCAAGCATGCGCAGTTGCGCACACAAGCACATTCACACAAGCACACGCACACACACATGAAAAGCGTAGTGTTAGTGCAGTGTAAATGTAGGTCGTACACCTCGGAGACTTTCTGCAGTGGTGGCTACAATACCTACTTCTCCAGGTGCCTCTCCTCCAAGCTGGTCAGGGTCATGTCGGGTTTCCTCGAAATACCCAAACTTTAGTTTCATCAAGACAATTCCCATTGACTGTCACATGCTCACCCCCCCCCCCCCCCTCCCAACTCTCCCACCCCCTAAAACACCTACCAACAAGACACTTGTATGTCTTCCAGCAGCGTTGGATAGGCTACGGTCACTATGGTATTGACCGTACCACTCCTTGTCTCTGATACACCGTGAATCAAATAGGAACAAGATGCACCGAATTGGGCTCAAAATTTCGAAATTTTGCAGTGGAGCCACCGCAACCCCATATGCAAGTCAGTCCTACTTCATAGGTGAATGCGCCACCCTAAAACACCACCTTCCAATGCCCCTGTCTTCACTCCTTGCACCTGGGCGAGTGGGTCATTCCAGGAGACGAGAAGAAATTCAGAGGATATTTCGAAAACATGGCTCAATAGGCTATCGAACATCTAAACACCCACGTCCTCCCCCCCCCCCTGCACACACGCTGCACTTAACTACCGTTAAAGTCTGTAAATAAGTACCTATGGTTGATAAATATGGTGGTAAAGACACACCTGGCAATATGGCGGTAAACACACGCCCGCCCACACACGCTCTCTAGGCTGCAAAGTTCTGGCACAGAGCTCTCCTTCTCACCACCACCACCATCAGTTCGCGCCTGGCGCCTGGTCGATGCATGGCTGGCGGTAGCCGGCATAGCAGGCTGGTACATCAAGTAGCGCATGGCACATAGATGATGACACAGCAACGACATAGCTCAATTGCGACGTACGTTTCGTCCCCGCTGGATTCATCAGGCAATCTTCTTCTTGGATGTCTTCATACGGAGCTAGACTCGGGAGAATGAAGCTGAAGACACCACTGCAGCTGTACTTATGGTTGATAAATATGGTGGTAAAGACACACCTGGCAATATGGCGGTAAACACACGCCTGCCCACACACGCTCTCTAGGCTGCAAAGTTCTGGCACAGAGCTCTCCTTCTCACCACCACCACCATCAGTTCGCCCCTGGCGCCTGGTCGATGCATGGCTGGCGGTATCCGGCATAGCAGGCTGGTACATCAAGTAGCGCATGGCACATAGATGATGACACAGCAACGACATAGCTCGATTGCGACGTACGTTTGGTTCCTGCTGGACTCATCAGGCAATCTTCTTCTTGGATGAGCTTGACTCGGGTGAATGAAGCTGAAGACACCACTGCAGCTGTACTTATGGTTGATAAATATGGTGGTAAAGACACACCTGGCAATATGGCGGTAAAGACACGCCTGCCCACACACGCTCTCTAGCCCTTTCAGCACGGCCAGGGTGTGTAACTGACCCGCGGAGCCAAAACCAGTGATTTTCGTGATTTTCCAAAAGTAGTCCTATTCACTCACAATTTTTTCTGCGGAATGCATAGGTTTCAGTGAGAACAATTCCCAACACAAAATTCCATATTTGGTCAATAGAAGCCAGTAAAACGAGTACAAAATATACGTATTTTTGATGAATTTTCGCATAAACACGGGTTGAACGTACCAGAGCATGCAGCTCATTTATACTAGAATGGCCAGGTGGATATGATGGTAAGAACTAGGTTTGACATAATTACGGTTTTGTTCTTGAGTAGATGATGACCAAATATGGTCATGTTTGCTGAAACCAGCTGAGGGGCGTCAGGAACTATTCAATGTGCATACGAATAGCTAGGCAACAGGTTCTTGCCGAACAGACACCGGCAGAGACATGCACATATTCACAACCATACAGATCTATCCAGCCATGCAATTCTCGCATTCACATTCACCCGTACACTCATGTACTCTATTGGACACATGTATGAAAGCGCACCCGTGCGCACGCGCGTGCGCCCCCCCCCCCCCTCCACACACACACACACAAATTATAGAATGTAGCTCACATAAATTATTGAATGCAGCTCACACAAAGTAGCTGAGCGCTGCAATACCACTACAGTGAACTAGCAGGTAGCTAGCAACTACATAAAGCCTGCCACGATCCTCAAGCGGTGACCAGACCTGAACACCCCTGACACGAGCGAGTACAGCTCTATTTCCCTCGGTAAGACTCCTCGAAACACTGAATGCAATACGAATGGCTAGGCAACAGGTTCTTGCCGAACAGACACCGGCAGAGGCATGCACATATTCACACCTATACAGACCTATCCAGCCATGCAATTCTCGCACTCACATTCACCCGTACACTCATGTACACTATTGGACACATGCATGAAAGCGCACCCGAGGGCGCGCGCGAGTGCGCGCCCACACACACACACACAAATTATAGAATGTAGCTCATACAAATTATTGAATGCAGCTCACACAAAGTAGCTGAGCGCTGCAATACCACTACAGTGAACTAGCAGGTAGCTAGCAACTACATAAAGCCTGCCACGATCCTCAAGCGGTGCCCAGACCTGAACACCCCTGACACAAGCGAGTACAGCTCTATTTCCCTCGGTGAGACTCCTCGAAACACGGAATGCAGTACCCAGGATTCCCGAGGCAATCAGCGCACATGGTGCGGACATCCTTCCGGTTACCCTTGCCGTAGCAGACAACACACTGTTTCTGCGGATTAGCCTTTTTCTCGGTTGCCGGGATGTAGCGGAGGAAGTGGCTGTCCATGCGCTTCGTGCCTGTGGCTCCACCAGTTGCTGCAGCAGCTGCTTCCGCGTGAGCTACCATCTCCGCCTTGCCTTCGGCGATGAGGGCTTTCAGGGCGCGCTTCACAAAGTCGAAGTGCGTCATGCGGTTTGACTTCCTGTGCAGGATATACGCGTTCAGGAGTGCTTGCTCAATCAGATGCACGGCGAGCTTCTTGTACCACTTCCGGGACTTGCGTGCAGCGGTGTAGAACGACAGCATCTCATCGTTTTTGTCAACTCCACCCATCTTCTTGTTGTAGTCCTGTACAAGACGAAGCTTGCGGACTGGGCGGCGCTGCCGATCTCGCTTGCCAGTTGGCTCTACGTTTGCCTTGTGCATCGTGGACAGAAAATGCACCTCCTTCGTGTCCTGCAACTTTATAAACATCATGCCACCACCGCTCCGGTACAGAAAGTGGCCTTTCTTTAGCCCCTTGAAATTTGCTATACGCTTCGGTAGTCCGATCCGGTTCTTGCGAATGGTACCGCACACTCCCGTTGCGTTGCCCTTGAGGTAGGTGGCTATCGGGATACTCGTGTACCAGTTGTCCACGTACAGCTTATACCCCTTCCCGAGAAGCGGCTCAACGAGCTTGTGCACTACCGCACCGGACACGCCGAGCTCCTTGACCTTCTCAGGGCAGAAGGTTTCGTTGTCCTTCCCGACGTAGACAATCAGATTGAAGAGGTAACCGCTGTCTTCGCAGAGCGCATAGATTTTCATCCCGAAGCGTGCTCGCTTCGACGGAATATACTGGCGGAATGATATCCTTCCCTTGAACGCCACCAGTTCCTCGTCAATTGAAATGTACTCGTTGGGAGTGTAAACGCTCATGAATCGCTCCTGAAGCAACGTCAGAAGAGGCCGTATCTTGGAGAGCTTATCGTTGGGATCTTCTTCAGCGTTGTCCATGAAGTGCAGAAAGTTCATGATAGAGGTGAAGCGCTCGCGCGGCATCGTGCGGCTGTAGAACGGTGTGGCGATGATGGGATCTGTGCTCCAATAGTGGTCAAGCTCGGGCTTAGGAACAAGGCCCATGTTCAAGAACAAGCCCAGGAACACTTTCATTTCGGCTACGGTAACGGGTGTCCACGAGCGGGCGAGGCTGCGCCGGGCCAGTGTTTCAGCGTTAGCGTCGATGTATGCTCTTGCAAACCGGTTTGTCTCCGTCACTAGCATCACCCAGAATTGTGCAGTGAAGAACAGCTTGACATAGTCCAGTGGAGTTGGATCGTCCGGGAGAGGCATCTTGATCCCTGGCTGGCCAGTAAATGGCGGCACATTAGGTTCCACATTCTGTTTCACCCAGATACCTGCAGTAACAAAATATCCATGACAAATCCTATGATGTTCCCAGTGTCACACACAAATGCTAATAATTATAATAATTTGCATTGTACAATTCTGTCCGCTGATTGAGTTGTACATGTGTATGAATACTAAAAATATAATTCAAATTTGGAACTCACAACGATAAGCATTTGCAACACAATACACATTTACATGCATTGTGAATGAGGAAAAATGTCCGTGCATGATCATTGAGCGATCAGCTGAGTGACAAGATTTTTAGTACAATTATTTGAAAATTTGAAATTATGAGTACTATTTTCAGATCCATACGCACACTGACCTTCACTTCCATCGTCGCCCTCAGCCAGTGCTTCGACTGCTTCCACGTGCGTTTTAGCAGATATCCCCTCGTTCTCACCGTCACTGTCGCTGCTGGCGCTACCTACATCGTCATCCGCGGCGTCTCCTACGACATCGTCGTCGTCCAATTCATTTTCACTATCGCCTGGCGACGCTGCGCGATTTTCAGGCAGATCTCCATCTTCCTCCGACAGAACGATGTCGTCTTCAGACAATGTCGGCTCGACATCACTGTCAGGGTCGAGTACGACAAGGTCGAGGACATGATCGAGATCGTCTGCACCATATCGACGCCGCGCCATGACAGCAAATTGTCAAAATTTCTATTGTTCAAATAATTTCGCACGCGACATCTATGTAGGCGTACATAGCCGCACATGCGCGTGCGCCCGTCAGTACTATCGTAGAACTGTCGACGTTCATCCAGCACGTCACTGGTCCACGTAGGGATAAGATCCGTCGACCACGGATGTCTCGAGAGTACGTTCATTTTCACTGTACGCATCACGTATATATACGTGATCCGTGGGCCAGTTACATGTACCATCACGTACATATACGTGATGCGTGCTGAAAGGGCTAGGCTGCAAAGCTCTGGCACAGAGCTCTCCTTCTCACCACCACCACCATCAGTTCGCCCCTGGCGCCTGGTCGATGCATGGCTGGCGGTATCCGGCATAGCAGGCTGGTACATCAAGTAGCGCATGGCACATAGATGATGACACAGCAACGACATAGCTCGATTGCGACGTACGTTTCGTCCCTGCTGGACTCATCAGGCAATCTTCTTCTTGGATGAGCTTGACTCGGGAGAATGAAGCTGAAGACACCACTGCAGCTGTACTTATGGTTGATAAATATGGTGGTAAAGACACACCTGGCAATATGGCGGTAAACACACGCCTGCCCACACACGCTCGTGTGTCTTTACCACCATATTTATCAACCATAAGTACAGCTGCAGTGGTGTCTTCAGCTTCATTCTCCCGAGTCAAGCTCCGTATGAAGACATCCAAGAAGAAGATAGCCTGATGAGTCCAGCGGGGACGAAATGTACGTCGCAATCGAGCGATGTCGTTGCTGTGTCATCATCTATGTGCCATGCGCTACTTGATGTACCAGCCTGCTATGCCGGATACCGCCAGCCATGCATCGACCAGGCGCCAGGCGCGAACTGATGGTGGTGGTGGTGAGAAGGAGAGCTCTGTGCCAAAACTTTGCAGCCTAGAGAGCGTGTGTGGGCAGGCGTGTGTTTACCGCCATATTGTCAGGTGTGTCTTTACCACCATATTTATCAACCATAAGTACAGCTGCAGTGGTGTCTTCAGCTTCATTCTCCCGAAATATGTACCTACCCGAAAGAAATACCCCCTTCATTCTTTTGGCTCTGTCTGTTGAAGTCAAGTCAAGCCCGATAAACATACTGCCCGAAATATGTACCGGTGCAATGAGCCCATGCAGCACGTAGCATGTACATCGACATGAATATGACTTCTCCACTACACACAAGTCAGGTCCGAAAGTTAGTTCGTGCCCGAAAGTCAGTACCCACCTGAAAGTTAGTACGGGTGTGGTCACTAAATTCGAAAGTAAATACATAGTTATTTACGGACTTTTACGGTACCAAGGTTTTTTATGGTTAAAGCCAAGTGATATGAACTAACCTCCCGAATCACTAAACAAGCCGATAGCACCGGCAGTGACAACCGTGGCGTTTGGACCGGTTGTTAGCGGCGTGGTTCTGATCTGTGCCTCCACTTCCATTGAGCTCATGGAGTCGCGTGCGCGGATCAGTCGATATTCGCCGTACCCATTGAAGGTGAAGTTACGCCCATCCAGAGTCTGAAGATGAGGATCGCCAAAGAACCACGCTATAGAAAAACAGAGAGAGAGAGAGAACAGAACAAAAAATTATCCAATGAAGGAGTTCAGTACAAGGCAATGCACCAGTAGCTGTTTGTTTTTGTCCATATCATTATGTATTTTACTAGTTGATAAAAAGCTGACTGCATAAGATCTGGTTACGTTGGTGGACAGTTAGTCATAACCTGTAACATTTTGTCCTTCACCGTTTTTATCATAATAAAATTGGCTCACCATCCGAGTTCAACGTTACGAGTTGAGTTTGTGAATAATTGTAAATAAGTAAAATTTAAAAACCTGCACCGGCTGCTACAGTGCTGCTCAATGCCTGTGACTGACAGAGAATGGTACAGAATAGCATGCCCGCCAGAATCGGTCCAGTTGCTAGTATTACTGGACCAACTATTTCTTGGCAATCGTCACATGTTTCCTATTGTTGAGGCACCCGTCAACTCATACACAAAGTCTGAAAGGCCATGATACTAAGTGTCCCACTCTGCTTGGTCATAATCTCTCCTCACAAACAGTCTCCTCTTGAATTAAAAGTCTAACAGTGATCACGTCAATACTCAACTTATTCTTTTGCTCACTGTGCAATACAATCTTTTTTATTTTCTTTCTTCTGTTTTCTTTTTCAACTTAATCCTCCCTACCCGGTCTCCCTTTGATGCGTCCATGGAGCTATGAAGCCGAGACCTCTGACCGGCTGAGCCCCACCAGCACACTCCATTCTTGACCCCAGTGTATTTCCGGTCCCGGACCTGATCCTGAATAGGTACATAGCGAGTGATTCACGAGAAAAGTGGCTGAGTGGATTCAAACGGCTGCACTCGACGACAAGCACATTTGCATATTTGAATTATTCACCCACCAGATGCCATGGGTATTTCAAATTTTCAAAACGCGCATACAATATTTATCATCGTGAAAAGAGCCGCGTAAAGCCTCAAGTCTTGTTTCGAGCTTTTCGGTGTAAATGTACTCGTGCACACCATGATTATCGTGAATGCGGCCCCCCAGCTCACATGCACTTTTCAGCCACTTTTCTCGTTCACAGGTGAAATACCAAAGCAACAGTCTGGTGCACGTGGATTTGCCTGTCGTATGAATTGCCTTTAACTCCAAACTCCATAGTGGTCTCTTTACTGCGATTCAAATTAAAATTACGCAAAATTTCCAAAGTAAAGAGAGTTGGGAGTTAAGAAGTGAAGTCTCCTAACTGGGTACCACTATACATACCGAAAAAGAACGGTGGGGTGATTCTCGGCCGGGTCCTCGGCCGAACAGCGAAGAAACGAGCGCAGTTCCCGGCCGCGCAGCACGCATCCCTGGCCGAACGCTCTTGCCGGGCAGCGGCCACAGACGCGAAACGATTGGTTATCCAGCCGCCGCCAGCACCGCTTGCGATGTGTGGCCGGAAGAAACCAGGAAATCGGTAGCAACACACCTGCACATAAAACACACATTGAATACACATTATATTCAGTGGTTTAGGGAAAGAAGCAAGCAGGAAAAGTGTGAAGAATTGACTGTCACCACCAGGACTCGAACCAGGGACTTTCGCTTGAGGCCAGCAATGCTGGAAATATCACTATTCCTTTGTTACGTAGAGAGCAGTTGGGTGGACACACCCATTCCCAGAGCACTGCAAACCGAACCGATTCCTTTTACGCACTCCTTTGTTATGTTTTGTGGAAATTGTGATGTCCTATGCCAAAATTATCTCTGGCCTTTCCCCACCGACATGTATTTGATTCGGTGTTACGGATATTTTGAAGTTAGGGGTAGTGCCCGGTCCCGGATCGCTCGGATAAACAAGGTATAAGTGTACTTAACATGCAGCATACAGCATCCAGACTGGGAGAGAAGAAGAAGCTAAGGAATGGGTGCACTTAAAAACATTTAAACGGTTTCCATACAGACAAGAATGCAAAAGCACTTCGAAGAAGGACACACGTCAGGCTGCTGAACAACATCTTGCAAGTTTCACTGGTATACTTCCAAGCCTTATCGTCAGGTGAAAGACAGGCAAAGTCAAATGAACAAAGACAGTAAATTACGTACAGAAGAGCGGTGATAGAAACAGCGCAAGGCAGAAGAGTCAAAGCAACTTGTAACTTACTGCATTCGGGCTGGGAGGGAAGAAGAAGAATGCTCTCTGAATGAAGCATATGGACTGAAACGGCTCGCTGTTAATGAAGCCTCCAGCGGTCGGGAGTCCAAGGAAGAACCAGAGCGAGATTGACGGACAGCGGCGGAAGAATGGGAAGAGGCCGCTCTGCAACGGTGGCAGAGCGGCCAGCTCCAACGTGCACTGCAGATCCAGGAGCGCCTCCCCGGTGCAGCCGTTAGTCAGTTCAAACACGTTGATCGAGCGATCGAATGGTCGGTCGCCCGTGTAGGTGAGTGCATCTCCGTCCCAGATACGACTGAACGTTGGAGCGTTGAACTGGCCCACTGTCCAGGCAATGTCGTTAAACAGGAAGATGGTGAACGTCTGGCACTCGTCCCAGGCGACGATCAACTGGTAGTGATTGAACTGTTCAAATGAACATACGCAAACATATACACAAAATACATGTATGCTCACACAGACGAAAATACATACACACACACACACACACGCACGCACGCACACACACACACACACACACACACACACACACACACTTTTCTCTAAAAATTCATAATCCTAGTCCATCAAGATGTTCCACTGTCCAAAGAGTACTCGATGCTCATATAGGGCGAAGCCTTCGATACAGGAAAGAGAGAGAGAGATAGATAGATAGATATATAAATAGAGAGAGAGAGAGAGAAATGTGCTGCGACTTTGAGTTTCTCGCTAAGTTGCGATCATCGGGCAAATGCTGATCTGATTAATCACAAAGAGTCCTGTATGTTCTACAAGTGACAATGAGATGCTCTGACGACACTGCTACTTGATATAATTATTTGCTTGCGTGTCAGCAACGAAAGCTATTCAACTTCATAATCCAGAACAGGAGCAATGGTAAATATTGAAATTTCTTTTGCATGAAGTTTTTCTGTTGCAGGCTACTTATGGTTGGATTGGAGTTGGATTATCATTGACTAAGCTACGGTTAACCCTGCTCTCAGAGGGTATCTGAACGCGTATAGTATACATCACTGGATGATCCTCATATGTGTTACTTACCCCAAGGTCCGGCAGCATGGAATTGCGACCGGCCTGTCCTCCAGGACTGGCCTGCATGAAGGTCCACGTGACGACCAGCACTTCACGCGGGCGAAAGTCACTGGCGGCACCTCCAACTGCTCCCGCTTGTAACAGTGCTACGGTGGCGCTGATTGTTGCGCTGTCCGTGCGTACACCGTACAACACCTCGCCGAGACCGATATCGTTATTTGCCCAGAGAGGGGCAATGACCGGGTTGTTCGTCTGGCTTGTCAGGCCGGCGAGGAAGATTGAGACTGGCAGGTTGTTGACGAAGGACACGTACCCGTCACCACCGACCTGTGTGTGGTTTGCACACAAACACATAAACACACCAGCAAAGCAGTGAAGCGTCTAGTTGCGTGATGTACCGAGTGCACCCACAACACACACACACACACACACACACACACACACACACACACACACACACACACACACACACACACACACACACACACACACACACACACACACACACACACACACACACACACACACACACACACACACACACACACACACACACACACACACACACACACACACACACACACACACACACACACACACACACACACACACACACACACACACACACACACACACACACACACACACACACACACACACACACACACACACACACACACACACACACACACACACACACACACACACACACACACACACACACACACACACACACACACACACACACACACACACACACACACACACACACACACACACACACACACACACACACACACACACACACACAACATACCCATCGCCACTGACCGGTGTGGCTTGCACATAAACAGACCAGCAAAGCAGTGGAACGTTTACTTGCATAATGATGGTACCAAGTGCATTCAGAACAAATCATGCAATCCTCCACATTCCACAGCTTAATTTAGGAGACCGACGGGCATGACAAACTGTCAACATAAACATGATGCGTGCCCCTTGGATTATTAACCCTTTACCAGCCGTACATAGGGCGAATGCGTCTTATAGCTCGGACGAGCAAGACGAACTTGAATCTGAAGACCTCAATTTTGAAATTTTTGAACCAGAGAGCGATGGCAATCGAGGCGAGTCTGGAAGTACTTTGGAGGAAAGCAGCGGAATGGATGATGGTGATGAAGACTATGGTATGGCCCGTGGACAATTTGCAGCGGCAGCAAGAGGACGAGGACGAGGATATGCTGCCAGATTCCACCCATACACACGTGGTGCTTCACGTGGAACACAAAGAAATAGAGGAGCCACATGAGCTCCGCGTGGTCGTGGACGTGGACGAGGTGCAGGCGCTGCTGTGAACATGACTGAGTGGGATAGAATTGATCCAGCTCGTCAACCTGCTGAGTTCTTGGCATCCCGAACCAAGGGACTATATCTACCTGACAGTTTTGAACCTGAGAACGAGTGGCCTGTGGGCAAGTGAAATGCTCACCTGTCTGCGATTTCGCTCCATCCGTGTGTTCTTTCAATGTTCCAACTCGGCCGACCCGGATGATCGACTGCAAAAAGTCTGTTACCTTCACGATGTCTTCCGTGCTAAATCCATGCAGTTTTGGCAGCCCGGCCAACAGGTGTTGCTCGATGAGACAACGATACGCTTCATGGGTCGCCAGCGCATGAAGGTGTATGTGAAAAATAAACCGGTCAAATGGGGATTCAAATCTTACACACTCTGCGACTCCAACACAGTCTACAACTGTAATTTCGAGATGTACACCGGTGGTGCAATGGATGTCAGTCAACATGGCCTTACGTACAACCTCGTCATGCGACTCATGACTCCGTACCTGAAGCAAGGCTACAAACTTTTGACAGACAACTACTATACGTCCCACAGCCTTGCTCAAGCACTGGAGGCCAATGACTCTGAGCTAGTCGGAACAGTGCGCAGTAACCGACTTGGATTTCCTGATCGCCAGAAGAGCACGAAACAGTTTGAGGAAAAAGGATCGTCGGGAGACATGCACTATGAGCATGACAGCAACATCGTTTATGTGCAGTGGTTGGACAAAAGAGCTGTAACTGTGCTGTCCACCATGAACTCTGCCATTGAGTACACAGATAAACAAGAAAAAGAAGAGTCAACGGAGAGCTACATGACGAGACATGTCGCAAGCCGGTTGCCATCGAACATTACAACACAAACATGGGAGGAGTTGATATATTTCATCAACTGGCTAGTAGCTACCGTATTCTCCGCAGATCAAAGAAGTTCAACAAGGTGATCTTCTATGATCTCCTCAAGATAGCCACCATCAATGCCTATAACCTGTTTGCTGCTTGGAGAGAATCCAATCCAGGTCCAATCAAGAGGCCCGTGCGCTATTCGCAATATGAGTTTCGAGAGCAGCTGGTTCGTCAACTCGTCAATCTGCCAATGCATTCAGCACCACCAGCCCTGGAGCGTGCTATACCAGCACCAGCAGCTGACTACAGACAAGTGCACTCTGTACACATTCCAGACTGTGCTGGTGAGTCTGGAAGAGTCAACTGTGTTGTCTGCTGGAAGCACGATCGCAAGAGAAGTAAGACTGCTTTCTTCTGCTCTAACTGCACCAACAGAGAAGGTCATCCGGTGCACCTGTGTATTGGAAAAGGCAAGAGGTGCTCCAGGGTGTTTCATTCACCATAGTATGATGCTCACAGATGAACTGGTGCATGAGCTGAAGCTGAACAGAGTACACATTCTCATGTTCCTCGAACTTGCTAGTTCGGCCGCATTGCTTGAATTATGATTCGCCATGAATGGCAACGATGCTTCATGTTATCAGCTTAGTTTTAGTCTCATATGAAAGGTAATTCTGCCAGCTTCCCAGAATTATAAAGGTGTCGATACAAATTATTTACCGTTTAGTCTCTAATCTCAATCTAGTTGACACCGCTATTTTACATATAAATCCTGCGACTGGTAAAGGGTTAAAATCCATATCCAAGCCGGACAATTGCTGCCTTCATGTGAACGATCAAAATCTCTAAAGATGTGAATGTTTTAAAAATGAACAAATGGCGGAGCATGAGTAGGGAAACTCCCCTGATCTGTATCCATTTACTTTTGGAGAATTATTAGAAAGTCGGCGCGTAGACAAGAAACCTGATATCGAAAGAAATATACCGGCAGTGAGCGCATTCATACCACAACACCAATGGAGCAATATTGAAGGTAATCAGGTCTTCAGTAGTGCTAGCTTTAGAATATTAGTGTTTCTTGTTCTAGTTTTAAATCTAATAATGTTCACTTTATGGTGTCATACATATCTTTCCTTTGTTGTCCAACTCTCATTGTCATGACGATTTCTGTTAATAATCACGTGAAAACGACGTTCAAACCCTAAACTTTAAGGATGGCAATAAACAAAATCGGCTGAAGCGTCATGTCACGAAGGTTTTATTGAGATGTCACGAACAAGTTCTGACATTCCGACAGTAGAAACGTTTCTTCAGGACGACATTCACCTTCATAACATAACGCTTCAGCTGATTCTGTTTATAGCCATCCTTAAAATTGTGTCACCTTGTCGCCTGTCCCAATCCTGAAATACTGTTTCATTGGCGTCGTGGCATGAGTGCGTTGAGTGCGCTCACAACATTTTTCGATTTTGGGGAATCCATCAAATAAAGTCTGAATGAATGAATGACTGAGTGAATGAGTGCAAAGGTGCCAGCTTACGATTGCAGATAGGAATGATCTTTGACCAAAGATCAGGGGAACACCCTCTTGCTGTTGCCGACTGCAGCTGTGTATCACCAGCCGCGCCACCAAACGGTAAGAAATTTGTAGCTTCTAAGAGCGAGGAGCAGACAACAAGATATCATGGTATTGGCCATAGTACACATGGTGCATGAAAAGAGGTAATCCAAGTGATGCAAGAGGTCAAAAAATCCATCATAACAGACAAGATATCACAGAGTCTTGGTCTCCGTATACTGCATTCCATGCTTTCCGGGACAAACGTTGCATTCCCTAAGAAATTTATTGCCCTTACCCAACTGCATCATAGGAGAAATGGGGAGCTTTGTCAACTAGCGATCGCTCTATTCAGTTGCTATTCCCTCTGCGCTGATTTTTTGAAAATTGGTTTATTTGTACTGTCAAATAATTGACGTTTTGTGTACTATCCAGGTGTACGTCTGAGCATGGAAAACAGTTACTATGTTAGTGTGCGTGGCTTTGCAGTAGTTTGCAAGGTGCTCCGGCTTCCCGCTCTATTGTCATGTCATTCCCTTGGTTCTGTCTTCCCATTACATTCAAATCATTCCTATATATGGCAGTTACAGCTCAAATCCATTCCCACGCATTATCTACTGGGCTGTGCAGTTCAGTCCAAACCAAACATGTACATAAAAGGACCTGACTCACCTGCGCACAGTCCTGTTGCAGTCTGGAAGAGCTGCTGTGCTACCGGACATTGGTTGCACTTCACACCATCTACACCGGCGTTACAGATACACTCTCCAGCACTGTTGCACTGGAGACTAGTACTACCAAGGGGGTTACAGCCACAATCTGTAGAGCAGCAATAGCACCAGGAGCGAAGGCAGCAACAGCAGCAGCAGCAGCAGCAGTAGCAACAGCAACAGCAACAGCAGCAACAACAGCAACAGCAACAGCAACAGCAACAGCAACAGCACCAGCAACAGCAACAGCAGCAGCAACAGCAACAGCAGCAGCAACGACGGCAGCAGCAGCAGCAGCAGCAGCAGTAGCATCAGCAACAACAGCAGCAATCATGCAGTAGCAGCAAGCAGATACAAACGGAAGAGGTTGTGTTGACTTGAACACCATGATGTCAAGGCACCGAGGTACTTCCATATGAAAAATGTCATAAAAAATGTTGGGTATATACTCTCAACATCTTTTTCCTCTTATATAATCACGCTGATTTTGTCATCCCTTTTCCTCGCGCTATTGAAATGTACCTCCATCACCTTTGCCCCCTTCTCCGTATATATTCTAGTGATCGTTAGTCTTGGTCATATGCTGTCTGATGAAGTGTTTTGACACGAAACTCGGAGTTACAGCGGAATGAGACTTGTTTGATTCATTGCTGTGTAATATTTGTATTACTTGCTCTGTCCAGTGGGCATTGCGCACTGTAAGCAGCCCAGGGACTTTAGACAACTAAAAAATGTCATAAATACAGCCAATCTCCGGTGTGGAGAGCGAACACTTAAAAAAATTGATTAAGATTTTATATGGGTATAACTAACACATACACACACACACACACACCACACACACACACACACACACACACACACACACACACACACACACACACACACACACACACACACACACACACACACATGCACACACACATGCACATACACAATTTGCACATGCAGGCATATACAGAATACCCGGACATCTACACAATGTGCACACTCAGCATCGCACACAATATGTACACGCAGGCACAAAACCTGACAGGTAACTACAGCATGGGTTGACTATACTGCGCATTGCAGCATCCCTAACGTATACGTGCAGTACCTTGACATCTTGCTCCTGGTGTAAATGGGCAACCCGCAACGGAACACTGGTCTAGAAAGCTCAGTGTATTCGCTGGTGCATAAAATCCTGGAGCACAGTCGATACATGTTCGACCTGCACAGTAGAATACAGAAAAGAAGATGTTGCTGTAGTTGTATATTTACTAGGGCAATTGAGAATTCTTAGCAAAACTCAGTATGATGGCGTTTACTGAATCTAAAAATATGTTTGCACTGAGCAGAGTAATACGCAAATAACTTCCATGAAGTTCACTGTTCACTTAGCCTGCTGTTCCTTTCATGCTACTGATTATTCTGGTATTATTGACATATCCGTGGCAAGCCGCTAATGTACACCGGCAAGGGAGAGGGCAATAACAATTTGTTTGGGAAAGCCACACTAGCAATGAATGAATGTTCAATAAAGAGGGTTTCATGGTGCTTACCAAAGCTAAACTGATCGCACTGACACTGGCCAGAGATGCTATCACAGATGTTAGTGCCTCCCACTGTACCGGCCGTGAAGCAGTTACACGGCACGCATCCCGTTACATTGCCAAAGAATCCTGCACTGCACGAGCCGCACGTGGGACCGCTGACGGACGGAAAGCAATTGCAAGTTCCTGCAGTTCAACAATGGACAAGGACAAAAGCCAATGCTCTGTACAGGGGGAGTATGCCAAAAGGTCAGGCTTGACGGAAGTACAAGCACACAGCAGGTAACTAGTTTTGTCTTGAAAACAAACAAAGAAAAACAGTAACGGATCTTTATTCTTTTACTTTGTAAAATTACAATACTTATGCATCTATACATTGTCCACACCTCTCTAGAAGAACAAAGCAAAGGTTTTCTGAACCAAACGTTTTTGTTCCCTTCTTTATTATTCTATTATTTTCAAGAAAACTGCGCACTTTTAGGCATTGTGCACTGTGTGCGGAGAGGAATAACCCTACGGCGTAGTTTAGTCTTCATATAGACATGCTAATTAACAAGTTCAACGGAGCTGCAAGAGGCGTTCCTTTTGAATTTTGAAATATTTTGATTCATTGCATCATTTTCTGTAGTGGACCATGAGTGTGAGGTGGTCGGAGACCCTTTCAAAGGTGTCACTGCACACCTATGCTGCTTGTTGCAGCATGGTGGTTTACACATACCGCGGTATTGTTGGTAGTACAGGAAGAACATGACAAGATGGCCACCCTGATAATGGCGACCACCTGTCCCAAAAGACCACTGCAACCAGGACCGATGGGATGCTATTGCCAGTCAAGTTACCCTGGACAAGGAGGCCACCTGGTAGCAGAGACCACCTGGTAACAGAGGCCACCTGGTAGCAGAGACCACGTTTGGAGGGTACCTTGAGCGGTCGTCCTAGACAGATTTCACAATACCTATTTATCTCAACACGCACAATCATTAACCTTTATCCTCCCAACGTTCCCCTGTGGGGACATAATTTTTGATCATCCATCCTAGCTGCGGTGACTAGTACATTTTGAAGCTAGTCATGTAGAACTGACAATACATGTGCGGACTCTAAACACATGTTCACTGATCTAGCTCTGCCGCTTTTTCAACAAAGTTGGTATACAAACTTTGCGTATATCGACACTCGGCGGGGCATCAGCAAAGTGTACTTATTCGCGAAGTGTCCTTATAGCCGAAGTCTCATTATAGATAGATGGGACTTTGCACTGGGCATGGAAATTCTGTTGTTCTTCGCCAATTGTCATTATATCCGCAGTCGTTACCAGCGAAGTTAACTGTAGGTGACAATTGTCGTCGATATTCAGAGTAAAAGCCGTACAGTGCATAGAGCAAGAGAGTAACAGTGAGTTAGTCTTGTGAAAGAAAGTAAAAGAAGGGAGAAAGGAAAAGAAAGGTTTCTTTTGTTATGGACTTGACACGGCGAGAACGGTTCTCTTACCGTCTGGATTGCAGCCGGAGAATCCCTGCCGATTGCACGGGCAGGCGATGCAGCGAGCAAGATCGCCGAACTGTGCGAAGAAGTCCGGCAGGCACACGTCACATCTACCCCCGGTGACACCCTGGCGACACTGACACACACCCGTGGCCGCATCGCATGATCCTACGGTGCCGGTGGGGTTGCACGTGCACGGCACGCACGTTGAAAAATCGCCGGGCGTCGTTGTGAAGTGGTCCACAGCGCAGCGATCGCACAACGGGCCCTCCACATTCACACGACACTGGCACACGCCTGTACTCTGATCACAGCTGACGGAACCTGTCTGGTTGCACGCACACGGCACACAATCCTCGCTACCGTCCGGCATGAAGAAGAACGGATCGCAGCCCTGCATGCCCACCGTCAGTTCGTAGATGTTCACCTCGCGATCAAACGGCCGGCTTCCGTCGTACAGAAATGTGTTGCCGTCCCAGACGCGACTGAACGAATTGTCAGTATTCCACGCTATGTTGTTGTGGAGGAATATGGCAAACGACCGTTGGCTGTTCCACGCGACCACCGCCTGATAGTGGTTGAACTGTGAGTGAAAACAATGCATGGAAAGTAAGAGCCAATTCAAATAAGCCATGGCAACCACAGTCAATTGAGAACAATTCAAGCATGCCATAACAACCACAAACAAGGACAATTTAATTACAGTACCATGGCAACCACGGTCCAGAACAATGCAAACATGTCATGGCAACCACCGTCAAGAACAATTCAAACATGCCATGGCAACCACCGTCAAGAACAATGCAACATGCTATGGCAACCACACTCAAGGAGATCTGAAAATGGCAAGTAAGCATGCTGCTCATCCATCGAAAGTTCTGACTAGAAACCTAGCCGTCTCTTTTGTCCATTCATACCCCCCCCCCCCTCCCCCCCCCCCCCCACCCCCCCCCCCCCCCCGACACACACACACTTTCCCAATCTGTACTGTCTTGTACCATCATCTTTCAATGCGACAGACCCCACGATAGGCGGTCAGCCTTTGGGTCATCCTAATAAAGTTATTATTATTATTGTTAGCTGCTCCCGGCTAATGATGCCCCCTCACACCGGAACACAAGGGTATTATGATTGGATAATTAGAAGTATTCGATAAGAGTGTAAACAGAAGGAGAACAGGACAACGACAACTCAAGACTAACTACAACAGACAGAACCTGGAGCATGCGCTCTTCTATGTGAGTGGCTCATTGCCAAGGGGAACGAGCGGGAAATACGAATAGTAAGTATTCAGGTCGTAGCATACATACACCTATTACACTGTGCCCCCCTAGCTAAAATTCACGTCCACGGGAATGAACGAAATACCTAGGAAACAAACAAAAGAAAACAAACCAAATAATAAACTCAGTCCAGGACATAGTCAGCGAGTCGAGCAGGTGCAGTGCGAACACGGCCAGAACGACGAGAAACAGGAGAAGAAGTACGGACCGGATCAGACGACGGCGGCTGTAGCGGCGGAAAATCATCATCGGACAGCGTAATCGGGTCAGGACGAGAAGCAGTAACGGCAGGCGGTTGACAGTTGGGAGGACGGGAAACGGCTTCAGGCGGACGAACAAACTTGCCACTGGCAGCATCATATCTGGTGAAACACTCAGACAGAGCAGGATCAGCATACGGAGCAAGAAGACTCTGAGGCTTGTAACAATCCGGCGACGGTCCAGCGGCAGAGGCACCAGGAGGACGAACAAAAACGGCCGGAGGAATAATCTCAGCAAGTGGCACTTCAGCAGCAGCTGACAGCGGAACATCACGGGCAAGAGGCGGCGGACTCGGCGGAGGAGACGGCACATCGGTCACCACGCGGGACATAGCATCGGCATTCCTGTGTCGAGAACCAGGGCGGTGCACAACAGCAAACTCGAATTCGGCCAAAGCCTCAATCCATCGAGCTTTGCGACCACGGGGCTCCTTGGTTGCCCGCAACGCAGTTAACGCGGTATTGTCTGTCCTTGCAGTGAATTCGCGACCAAGCAGATAATGCCGGAAGTGGTTGGCGAAAAAGACAAGGGCCAGGGCTTCGCGATCACTGGCGTCATAGTTACGCTCCGCTTTCGACATTACGCGCCCACCAAACGCAATGGGGCGTTCCACCTGGTCCTGCACCTGGCTCAGGACACCACCAATGGACACTTTCGAGGCATCTGTGTCCAGAAGGAAGGGACCGGCATCTGGTCCGAAGTCCGGGAATGCCATAACCGGAGCACTCGACAGCGCAGACTTCAGGGCGCGGAAGGAAGCGTCGCAAGCTTTCGACCAAACAAATTGCGCATTCTTGCCAGTGAGAGCCGTCAGCGGGGCAGACCGCTGCGCAAATCCACGGATGAATCTACGGTAGTATCCCGCGAAACCAAGGAATGACCTGACCGCAGTGACAGACTTCGGCGTCTTCCACGCAAGTATCGCGGAAACCTTGTCCGGATCGGGGGAAATTCCGTCTGCCGACACGCGGTGCCCGAGGAACGCGACGTCCGACCGGAAAAAAGAACACTTTGCTAAGTTAAAACGCATGCCTGCTGAACGCACACGCTCAAACACTCGCGACAAAATCAATACCTGGCCAGACAATGTTTCACTTGCATTTAAAACATCGTCAAAGAAGACACGACAAAATGGCTGAGCCGCAGCATTACACAGCCCACGAAGAACAGCTTCCATAACTCGCTGGAAGGTGGCAGGACCATTCCTGCACCCCATCGGCAGCACTGTAAACTCATACAGGCCCAATGGTGTTGTAAATGCGGTCTTCGCTAGGTCGTCAGGATCCATCGCAATCTGCCAATACCCAGACGCGAGATCGAGCGACGAAAACCACTTACAACCAGACAGCGAATCAAGCATGTCATCCACCCGTGGAATCGGATAGGCGTCCGGCTTTGTGACACCGTTTAACTTGCGATAGTCGACGCAAAGTCGTAAGGAACCGTTCTTCTTAGGAACCAACACGATCGGAGACGCCCACGGACTGATAGACTCTTGGATGATACCCTTCTCTAGTAACTCATCCAATAACGTCTGCAGAGCAACGCGACGGTGATACGGAATGCGCCGAGCTGCTTGTTTAATAGGAGTATGTGTGCTTGTATCAATTTTATGCGGAAATATGTCACAATAGCCATAGTCGTCTTCATGCAATATAAATAGGTCGTGATTATCAATGAGGAGTGTGGTGAGCATGCTTTTGGTTTCGGATGAGAGGTTTTGTTGTGATTTAACGTATTCATTAATGGTAGCCTTGCGCTGTTCTGTGAGTTCAGGTGTGCGATCAGTGGTGACGGATGAAACCGCGGCGTCATCTTCATCATCATCATCATCCATAATGAGAGGAGACAGTTCGGCAATATTGGTGTTTTTATGTATAATAATATTATGCTCAGCGTGATTCTCAATTGTCATGACAATGTGTGAGTGATCGGGACCCACTGTTACAAGTGCAGGTGTCACCGACAACGTAGGAAACTTATCCACAAACGACTCTAGTGGATCAGCAACACAATCCAGAGTTTCCGAACAAGCATCCACATAGACACATGGTACTAGCACAACATGGCCAGCAGGCACAGACAGCTCATCGTCAAGGGCAACACGAGAAGAATACGACGAAACAGGTACATCGTCGGAGCATGCATCAGAATGAGGAGTATGAGTATTACATGAGGGGGAAGTATTACGCGGAACAATACGATCATAGGGCGTACGTGACGGAGGACACCCAGACCCAGAAACATGCAACGGAACAGACACATCGCCAAACATCACAACACCACGAGCAATGTCTAATACACCACCATGCTGCAACAAAAAATCGGAACCAAGAATCATGTCGCAGTGAATACCAGGAGAGACAACAACCGTGTGCTGGAAAGACAGATTTCCTAGCGACATACACAGATCCATGGATCCAACGACAGGAAGTTGTGCGCCATTGACTGCACACAACCGCGGAGCAGACTCTAGAGGAGGTCGCTCTGTCAAATTAGGCAACAATTTAGAATGCACTAACGACACACTTGAACCAGAATCAACAAGAGCAACAACAGGAGACGAAGACGAAGACGAAAGACAAACATCAACGTGCACAATAATGGGTGAGATCGCACCACATACCTCCTCGAGGGGCTCCACTCGGACGACTGACGGCGGCCCCGTGTCACCAGTCCAACCTAGTTTTTTGCGTGCGGGCAAGATGCAATGAAGTGGCCCTCTTCACCACATCCATGGCACACTCCACGCACAGGCCTTGTAGCAAAACTCTGGCCACGACCACGACTAGGCGCACCAGCACCAGCACCACGAGCAACAAAACGTACATGGTCTTGCTGGGGTCGGGTGGGGCGATACAGACTCACGCTCTCCATTTTCGCCTCCAAAGCAGAGAGACGCGAATCAAAACTCGACAAAAGCGAAGCCAACTGGTCTCGCTCAGATTCCGACTTCAGTGGACCGACTGCTGTGTAGGGGTCACGACCATGAGCAGTGCGACGGGGCTTCACTTCCGGAGCAGCAGCAAATACGGGCTGTGCGTACTGGTGAGGTACGGTGCGGGCCTGCTCGCGAGCATAAATAGCACCTACCTCGATGGCCTTTTGGACCGCCGCATCCAAATCAGTGGGCCGAGGTGACGCCAACGCCAAGCGCAAATCCTTCGATGCCTGGCCATCAATAAAAAGTTGCAACAGCATTGAATCAAGCAGTGCACCTTGTTGTCCTGGGTAGGCTCGACGAGCGAGCCGACGAAGTTCCGTGGCATACCCGTGCTGAGTTTCACTCGCCAGCTTCACTCGCTGGCGAAGACTGGCCTCGTGCATCAATGCTTGCTGGGGCGGCTCAAGACGGACATGCAGAGCCTCGACTGCGTCTGAAAAGTTTATGTCAGGCGTGTGAGTTAGAATTTCGGTGAACATCTCATGAGCTGTACCAACAAGGCGAGCAGGTAGTAGCCGTAGCTTTTGTTCGTCGTCGTACCCACTCAACTCGCATGTGTGGACGAAATGCCTCATGTACGTGGTGAAATCTTGGCCTGGCTGATTTCCGAATGTCTCAGGAAGCAAAACTGGCTTCGGCAGTGGACGTGCATGTGATGTGTCTGTGTCCGGCAAACGAAAACGATGGGACAACCCTTGTGCCGGCGAACTCTCGCGCTCTTCAGCAATGCTCATGTCACAGCCAGCTTCAGCGAAGCTACGCTCTAGCTTTTCTTGTCTCTTGGATTTCGCTGAACGGCCCATTGTGAAAAAAAATTGTTTTTGTATTTTTGAATTTTCGAAAAAAATATTATCTGCAAAATTTTCCCGTGGACTCGATCGACTATCGATCTCAATCTAGTATTACGTAACCTATCGTGCATAGCGGCAAACAACTAAATTTGGCAGAGACAATTCCAAATAGGCAACTACTCTACGGACACAGTGTAGCTAGACTCTACTACCCAGCTAGCAGATATCCTAACAAGACACTAGACAGCAGCCAGTATGCACAAAACACGGACACAGAAAATGTTCCGAAAATGTTTGGCCAGACAGGTTGGCGCCAATGCTTGACCTATGGACTGTAAACCATGGTAAACAATGCATGCAACAAGAAAACGACGAGCAGAAAGAAACACAATGCAGAAAGGAAAATATTGACGAAGAGAGTGGATGAGGATATGGTTTCACTTGCGTGGGCCTTCGTGGTTCTTCATAGTCGGCGATCTCCGAAGGCGTACATACTCCGCCAGCGATGTAGTGGTGGACGTTTTCCGCTGCCACCAGTGTTAGCTGCTCCCGGCTAATGATGCCCCCTCACACCGGAACACAAGGGTATTATGATTGGATAATTAGAAGTATTCGATAAGAGTGTAAACAGAAGGAGAACAGGACAACGACAACTCAAGACTAACTACAACAGACAGAACCTGGAGCATGCGCTCTTCTATGTGAGTGGCTCATTGCCAAGGGGAACGAGCGGGAAATACGAATAGTAAGTATTCAGGTCGTAGCATACATACACCTATTACATTATTATTATTACTACGGAGAATAATCAAATCAAATTTTCGATTTGATTATTCGAATGGCAAAAAGAAAATCAGCGCGAAAATTCGAATGAATGCTCATCATGCAGCACAGTATACTATTTTCGAATCGAGTTTTTTTAGCTTGAGCAGTTGAGGACTGGAGATTTTGAGATGTGCAATGGCTGCGTTTGTTGCAGAGCAAGTTGATTTGTTGGATTCGCTCCTCCCCCTTGAGTTTGCGTTGCGGTTGTTTCTCATTGCCGTTGAGGATGATGCGAAGCGGCGGATGCTTCTTCTGATTCAGCCTATTGGCGATAGGAGCTCTCTTGGAGACCCCTTGAAAAGGCGGATCTCGCCCGAGCTTCTCCGCTATCGCTTGCATATCAGGAGACCCGCGGACGGCAAATTGCTGAGGGTGGGCCCTACACTGCCTCAGCAGGATGAGATCCACGGTGAGGTAGAACCTCAAATATTTGGCGCACTTTGAGTTGCCCTCTCTCTGCGGGGAACTCACCATAGGTGCAGATGCCGGGGCAACGCCAGCAGGGCTACTGGGAGCGGGAGGCATACCGGTGCTGGTAGTTGGGGACAAAGCCATGACTCCAGGATACTTGAAATGAAACAAAAAGCACACTTGGCAAAACTCTTCACAGTTCGAGAGAGAGAGGAAAGTGTTAAGAAGTCCGTTTCGACTGTGCCTTGTGCGCTTACAACTACCGTACTACTAGTACTTTAGACTTTAGTAGTAAGAACTAGTAGCTACATGCGCAAGTATGAGGACTCGTAGTGCGCCGTGTACTAGAGCACGCGCGGAGCATTCGAAAAGTATTTTCTGTTCGCGGGCATTTTTCAGTCGAACAAAGCCCTAGTTTCGACTGATCGAGTGCTTTTTGTGACGATACTCGAATTTCACTCGAAAATTCGATTTGCTGATGATGTCGATGGCTATCCATCGATGACCAAGACAATCTGAATTGTTCGTTTTCTTTTTCTTTTATTTCAAATCAAACCTTGTGGGTCTGAGATGATGGACGAAATGATTACATTTGGAGGAAAATTTATTGACACGACGACGAAACACAACTAGACATGACAAACTGAAGACGAAGACTGCTTTTCACACCAACACCACACACAGCCGACGTACACAAAACAACGTACTACAACACACTCACCCCAAGAAACGGCCTTCCAGAATTGACTCCCGCCTGACCGCCAGGACACGACTGGATATACGTCCAAGTGGCAACGAGGACCTGCGACGGTCGAAAGTTTCCCACCACAATGTTCTGCATGCTATTGCCCGGCCTGCCACGTCTCAGCAGGTCCAGTGCACCGTCGATCGACGCCGAGTCAGTGCGCAGGCCGTAGAAGGACGTTCCTTCGCTGGCATCGTTAGCCGACCAAAACGGGGCCAGTACGGGGTTTCCCTGCTGGTTGACGAGATTGGCGAATGAGACCGAGATGGAGAGCAGGTTGCGGAATGACACGTACCCATCACTGCTCACCTGTAACATAATGAAGTTAGAAGAATGACAATGCACACATCAGACGACTGTGCAGAGACACTCACTGCAGGGCCAGCAACTCCGGTCCATGCCCACCTATGGCAGTTACACTTCAAATACATTCTCATGTATGGCAGTTACAGCTCAAATCATTCCCATGTATGGCAGTTACAGCTCAAATCATTCCCATGTATGGCAGTTACAGCTCAAATCATTCCTATGTATGGCAGTTACAGCTCAAATCCATGCCCATCTATGGCAGGTACAGCTCAAATCCATTCACATGCATTGGAGTTAAAAAGCTCAAATCCCTTCCCATGTATGGCAGTTACAGCTCAAATCCATTCCCGTGCGTGGCAGTTACAACTCAAAATTTACCCCCATGCTCACATGAGGCACCGGTACTGGTGCTGCAGTTTGGAACTGCTTAACGCCCTTTCTAACTTCAGGTACTCATCATCAGTGCCATAAGAAACATGTTTACTGCAACGCTGTTGTCTATTTCAATCGTGTCTGCTGCAATCATATGCAATGTACATTGGTCAGAAGACAATTTTTTTAAACACTATGGCTGATTGTCATGCAGACCAACATGGGAGCAGGACAGAACTCGTCACTTCCTGAACTGAAGAGTTGGCCAGGCGCCAGTATGAAACCGAGCATTAGTCATTTGAGTCCCCCCCCCCTCGCCAAGTTATGCTCCTCGCTGTAATTAACTCGGCACATTTTTCTTGCCACTAGAATGCGCTCTACTTACGAAAGCAGATCCAAACGAGAGGTTTGTGAGCGCGTTGGAAAAGATCAGGTCCACGCCAAAGGGTATTCGAGCGGTGGTTACGATGGCATTAGTTCCTAGCTGAGTATCATTGGCTGCCGGGCCGAATGGCAAGAAGTCGTCTGACTCTGAAGCAAAACATAAACGTTGAGCAGCGATATATTGGATTGGATTAGATTGGTTTATTCCCGTAGCTATGCAGAAGACGGTACTTCAGTAACGTCTGGCGCTAGCCAGGGTCCACACAGCTTTAATTTGGTGTTTGTGTGTTTGTGTGTTTGTGTCACGCCTGGAGCTACCGTATCTGTCCCGTATCTGTCCCATACCTGTGATTTGGTGTTTGTTTGTTTGTGTGTATGTTTGTGTCACGCCTGGAGCTACCGTATCTGTCCCGTATCTGTGATTTGGTGTTTGTTTGTTTGTGTGTTTGTGTCACGTCTCGAGCTACCGTATCTGTCCCGTATTTGTGACTACAAAGGTTCTACAGGATTGTACATAACAGCTGTCCACAAACAGCTGGCCACAATATTCGTCGTATAATGTATACGACTCCCTGATGTAGAGGGAGATTTGGAAAGAAAATTAATAGGGAGACGAGGAGGAAATAAAATTAGAATGGGCGCTAGTTGCGGAATAGGTGATAGGATGCGTCAGCAAAAACACACTTTGGAAGAGAGATCCTTTGGAAGAGAGATCCCGACGTCTCCAAAATAAGCGTGAACGGGCGATTCAGCGCCGGTCACAGGAAACGTCGGAAGAGAGATTCCGTCGAGTCCAGAACGCCCGTGATCGGCAGAGTCAGCGCCGGTCACAGGAAACGTCAGGACAGACATCAGGACATTTTTTGCCTAGCTCATCGTACGTAGAACTGATGGAAATGTTTTTTTTCCGTTGATTGGCTACATCATTGTATTGCAAAAACGTTTCAATCAGTTTGAATATGAGTTAGGCAAAAGTATTTGCAGAGTTTATTGCGGATTGTTATTTTTCTCTCACTTCATCCGCTTTTGGTTTGCTCCTTCTTTTCCTTTTTATCTCCTTATAATAGGATTTTCTGGCCTTTTTACATTAAAAGCATAGCGTAGGGCCCTGAGCTTCCAAGCTCTCTCGTTTAATGTCGAAGAACAAACAGGCAGTGTTGCCCTACTTTATGAGATCGACTACAGGCACACAAATATAAGGAAAAAGGAAAAGGAGAAGGACAAAATATTACGAGTTATAATTAACTGCCTGCAAACGTAACCAGATCTTATACAGTCAGCGAGTGCCACAAATCACCATAATTTAATTGGCTCACGATCCAAGTTAAAAAAAGGAATAGATTTTAAAAAGAAAAAAAGAAGACTAGAAGCGGGTTTGTCAACTGACAACCGCTCTATTTAGTTGCAATTCACTCCTGGCGCATGCGCTGGATGACATTTCGTTTGCTAGCGATGTTGAAAAATTATTGACGTCTCGGGCCAGTCACCCATTGTCAGAAAGAAAATTAGAGTAGGATTTAAGACAGCAGAGGGAAGATTACATAATTATTTGATCAGCGAGCAACGTTAGTCAGTGAATTTTCAGGTGGGATAATATTAGATGATGTTAAAAATTTCTTATCAATCGCAGACTCCAGTGCAGTAGCTTACACATTTAAGCACGTTCAAATTGTGACTCTTTGAATTTTCGAAGAGTTTCGTTTTTAAGAAGAAGTGCCGTATTGGTTCCTTATAATAATAATAGTTACAGTTCGCATGTCACTCATGGAAGGATCCATGGGCTTAACGCATCTGTCAACGAAATCCAGGCAGAAGAGCCAACAAAAGGCATCTCGTTATTGTTAAACGCATCGCTTAAGAATAACTACTCAAGCGCAGCACATTTTTCCACCAGCACCAGCCAGTTTTTCTTGTCTAGAGCCAGTTCAAAGCAGTCAGAAATATCAATATTGGCGTGCTTTATATCATTTCTATTATTGTTTCCTAAATCTACAATCAATTAATGGTTCATGAAGAACTCCAATGTACAGAGTAAAGTATGTTACTGTAAAAGCAGACATTTTCGAAGGTGCAATATACAGTCAACTTCGCTTATAACGACACTCGGCGGGGCATCAGAAAAGTGTCCTTATTCGCGAAGTGTCGTTATACCCGAAGTCTCATTATATGTGTCACAGTTGGATGGGACTTTGCTCTGGGCATGAAAATTATGTCGTTATTCGCGAATTGTCGTTATATCCGCAGTCGTTATTAGCGAAGTTGACTGTATTCGGTATTCTCCAAAATCGGCGGGGTTGGTGGAGGGAAATTTTTGGTAAAACCCGTTTTCCAGGTAAGTGTATACTGTAGTAGTACCGGATTTTTCGGTGTTTTTTCTGTAAAAAAAATTGGCACCAAAGTTACCGAAAATAAAACACCTACGAAAATTTCTGCTTTCACAGAATATCGAGAGTAAGTATTTCTGATGTTACACCGTCAAACACAAACGGAGAGGTAGAATCATGATGGGTATCAGCTACTATGGAAGGCTACAACACCGTCATCAAGAGTAGATAAACAAGAGTGTGCAACTCCCGGATAGGTAGACCCACGGCGGAAATCTTTGTCGACGCAATCTTTTCTGGAAAGCATGAGTCATACCGTATGACGCACGTGCTGCGAGTCTTTTGGGAAGTTTTGCCTCGTGCACTTGGCCGAGCTTTCAACACGTGCTCTCACACTGCTCTGCAGCAATATGCACGTGTTCTGTATGACACACGCCATGTGTTTCGGAAAAAGGTGACGTCAACAAACAAATCCACCGTGGGCCGGGGTATGTGCAGTTTCTGCACTTTCTGTAGAAGAGATGCTGAGTTTCACACTCTTGACTATCTACTCTTGCTATCATCGATGTGCATGTAGGTCTTCACCACCCTGGTGGAACTGGCAAAGAGACAATGGCAGCCGTGATATAGTATGCTCTTACCTTCGCAAACCCCGGTGGGGCTTTGGAATAGCTCGGTTGTCGTAGGGCATTCATTGCATTTGGGCCCAACCACACCAGGATTACAGCTACACTCGCCGTCATCATTGCACGAGGCACCCTGGCTACCGGGAATGTCACATGTGCAATCTGTAGCAGAAAAATCAAGCGTTGAGCAAGCGTTAAGAATTCCCAACTAGGTCACAAGTGATCGGGTGTTCTTTTTCCAAACAGGTCAAAGTGCCCCAACAGTAGACATACACTCCTACCTCGCATATACGGGCGGTCCGGGACCGGGCACTACCCTAAACTTTGATATGTCTGCAACTCCAAAAAACATACATATTGATGGGGAAAGGCCATGCATATCACATATGAAGTCAATATTTCCACGAAGAGTGACAAAAGAGTAGTACAAATTCCACTAAACCAAGGACCAAAGAGAGGGACCAGAGTGGGCAGGAGCTGACTACAAGGGGGGGGGGGGGGGCGTAACAGGGAGCCAGAGTGAAATAACAGAAGACCACAGGATACAGGAACCAAATAGTGGGATTACATTGGCACCGCAGGACACAGGAACCAAAGAGTGGGATGGAAAAAGAACCACAGTGAACCATAGGACCCAAAGAGTGGGATTACATTGGGACAACAGCGAACCACAGGAACCAAAGAATGAGAAACTTTGGGACCACAGTGGATCAGGAGTAGATTAACAGTAGGACCAAATTGCAAAAGAACATATCTGTAAAACAATATAGCCACTAGTCTCTTAGGAGTAACATACCACGACCGGCGTACCAACCAATCTATCCTGGAAGAAATCAATGACATCATCGGAGCAAGGATGCGGCTAGCGAACAAAGTCAAGAAATTTAAGTTGATGTGGTTTGGCCATGTTACGAGACTTGACGTTTTCTCCAAGCCCTTCCTGCAAGGATCAACTCCTGGATCTCGACCGAGAGGAAGGCCCGCGACATCATGGATTTCTAACATTAAAAGTTGGACGGGTCTTCCCTTGCATGCTCTCTCTCATGCAGCACACGATAGAGTTGGATTCAGAGACATCATTCACAATTCTCTCGCTTATTAACCCTTTACCGTTTTAGGTATTTGTACAGCATAAACCGACCGTCATTGTTCATGCCGTAACTTTTTTATTTTTCACTTTTATTATGTACAAAATGGGGTGATTCTGAAAGTAAAAACCCTCAGGAATGCGATGCAACAACTTTCAAGTCCAGAAAACGAACACAGATTTCACTATTTAGCACTAATAATTATTTGGATTTATTCCCAATCGGGCAAACTGTTGCAATATGCAATAAATCAGATCCTTGCACTGGAGTGGCTCCCTCAGGTAAGTGGATACCAGGTTCGTTCTCTGGGTGGAATGCAGGAGTGTTACCAGTCACAGCGGTGTCAGCAGTATCCCAAGTATTGCAAATATCGACTAGTGCAGGTTGCACCGCTGGCTGTACATAGTACCTGTGCACCACGACCTCTACCGTGACGACGGCCTATTCCACGGCCGAATCCTCTCTCTCTGCCACGTCCCCTTCCACCATTAGTGGCACTCATCTCAGCGACAATGTCGTCGTCTGTGACATCCATGTCACTCTCACTGGCGCTGCTTTCACTCGCCATGTCATCGTCGCGGTCGTCGTCAGAATAAATATTTTCAACAGAATTGTCTGGCTCCACAAACTCATCTTCGCTGGATGAGGCAGCGACAGAGTCGTCAGGAAGGGTCTCCAGAAGCGAAAGAGCTTGCTCCGCGTCCATGGCTTGCACAGCAGGGCAGACAGTCGTGAGGCCAGCTCAAGCAAAAGTCGAAATAATCTGCAGGCAATACCAAAAGTCGCAGGGTACGCACTTTTCCCAAAGCGCATTTTTCAAGTCGCGATTTTCGCGATTTTTTGTATTGCATCACACAAAAAAATTGTCGGCATCCTCTGCGCGTACATCTTGGCTACCAGTAGGGAAAATCCCAGCTCTCTGCGGTGAACTAGTCCAGCGCTGTGCGCATAGAAGTCATCGACCGCGAGCGGTCGAAATTTGTACGTACAAACGGTAAAGGGTTAATGCCTCTATGATCACCTTGTGATTATGAGTTATACATACAATGTCTTACTTTGGCAGCGATCACCGACGATGAAGCGACAGCCAGCAACGGTACATTGTGCCAGATAGCTGTCTCGACTGGTAGGTGCATAGAGTCCAGCGGAGCAATTATCACACCTCTCACCTGTCAAAGAGGAGTAACGCCATAAACCATATAAACACAATCTTTCGCTGACTGTGCCTGTTGTAGTCCTTGATCAACACAGGTGGAATCCTGATAATTCGAATATGGCTTAATTCGAACATGCCGCTTAATTAGAAGTTTTTCCAGGACCGATTTCTATCAGTACGATTCCCACATAAAAAAATTCTGATAATTCGAACCTCGAACTGGATATGTCAGGTTAATTCGAAGTCCCACAGATTCCACTTACATAGAAAATGTATAGGATTTGTGCTGATAATTGGAAGTTAGCAAAGTGTAATTCGAAGTTTACTGGACATTGTACTGGTCAGTGCAGTTTGCATGAGCTGGCTGTGCCGGTCAGTTCAGTATCCGTGAGATCTGTGTCTAAGGTCCATAGCGCAACTCAGCGTGACCATGGGAGCATTTTGACATACATATTGTGTTGTGGGTTCATGTTTGGATAATTAGAACGTCCAGATAATTAGAAGTTTTTTCTGGCATTTGGAGGTTCGAATTATCAGGATTCTACCTGTACCTGCAACAGTAGCTGATTGCCATGTTCTACACCGGATCCGTACTATTGATCTCCAGCTGATCATTTCCAGTGCATTAACACACATTTTCACGTACACCTATTTCCTGTCCTACATCATATATTTTAGCTACCTTGTCACTGGGAACAAATTCCGGTTTGGATTTGCGAAATAAAACAAAAGTCATCCCCATCATAAAAGTAATCGTACCCATTACATTCCGAGCAATATACACTCACACCTTGTTTATCCCGGGACCGGGCACTACCCAAACTTTGAAATATATTCGTATTTCCGGATCACATACAGTTTGATGGGGAAAAGGCCATAAATGCATACTACGTGACCATTTCCAAAACAAGTGACAAAAGAGTAATAGTGCTTCCACTGAAGCTTGCCTGGACGGTGTCTGGTAGACCAAAGTGCTCTCTTTCTCTCTCCCTCTCTCTCTCTCTCTCTCTCTCTCTCTCTCTCTCTCTCTCTCTCTCCTCTCACTCACTCTCTCCCTCTTCTTGCTTTTCTCGCTTTTCTCCCTTTCTCTATTTCTCTCCTTCTCACTCTCTCTCTTTTTCTCCCTGCCTTACACTCTCACTCCCTCTCACTCCCTCACACACTCACGCACTCGTGCGCGCGCCCCCCACCCCCCCCACACACACTCTCTCTCTCCCCCTGTCTCTCTCTCACTCACTCTCTCTCTACCTCTCTCTTTCTCTCTCTTTATATTTCTCTCTCTTTCTGTCTCTCTCTCTATTTCTCCCTCACTCCCCCCTACCTCTCTCCCTCTCTGTCTCTCTGTGTCTCTCTCTGTGTCTCTCTCTGTGTCTCTCTCTGTCTGTCTCTCTGCCTGTCTCTCTGTCTCTGTCTCTTTCTCTCTCTGTCTCTCTCTCTCTCACTCACTCACTCACTCACTCACTCCCTCTCCCACTCCCACTCCCTCTCCCTCTCCCTCTCCCTCTCCCTCTCCCTCTTCCTCTCGCTTCCCTCATCTCTCCGTCTCGCTCCCTCATCTCTCTCTCTCTCCCTCTCCCTCTCCCTCTCCCTCTCCCTCTCCCTCTCCCTCTCCCTCTCCCTCTCCCTCTCCCTCTCCCTCTCCCTCTCTCTCTCTCTCTCTCTCTCTCTCTCTCTCTCTCTCTCTCTCTCTCTCTCTCTCTCTCTCTCTCTCTCTCTCTCTCTCTCTCTCTCTCTCTCTCTCTCTCTCTCTCTCTCTCTCTCTCTCTCTCTCTCTCCTCTCCCTCTCTCTCTCTCTCTCTCGCGCTCTCGCGCTCTCGCGCTCTCGCTCTCGCGCTCTCGCTCTCTCTCTCTCTCTCTCTCTCTCTCTCTTTCTCTCTCTCTCTCTCTCTCTCTCTCTCTCACTCTCTCTCTCTCTTTCTCCCCTCAACTTCCACATTCTAAGCCCATTGATCTTCACTCACCTGAAATACCTGGCTGGCATACACACTCTCCAGTGGTGTTGATGCACTGTACTGTCAACTGTGGGTTACACAGACATGGCAGACACTCCTGGCCGCTTGGCGCCAGAAAGAAGAAATTATCGCAGGTCCTATTAAACGGCACGCCGCTACCGCTTCCGCTTCCATTACCGCTTCCGCTACCGCTTCCGCTACCGCTTCCGCTTCCGCTGCCGCCGCTGATGCTAATGTTTCCCGCTGCCACTGCCACTACCGCTTCCACTGTCATCGATCTCTGAAATCATGCAACGAAGCAAGAGGCACACTCAGACATTGGGAGAGATATATGTTATGTATACAATAAATGAGGAGGCCGAGGGTTTATGACCAATAAAAACTTTTAGAAAAACCGCGGTCCCCGAGGTTTTTATAATTAGTTTTTATTGGTCATAAACCCAAGGCCGGAGCATTTATTGTATTTAGAATCAACCAGTAAAACTCCTACTCAATCTCCAACAACAAAATTAGTGGACAGCTGTTATTTGTGTTGCTGGACGAGTATTTGTTGTCATTGGTTCAATTTCTTTGACTCTTCATAGGCTATGAGATCATTTTCATTATTCGGTCTATTATAACCAGTATCTAAATTATGAGAGTGTGGTCTGTCTCTATGGTTACCGGTGTTCTTTTCATAACTATAACCACTTTTCCTTTTTAGACCTTATCTGGAAGGCCCATTCTTGCATAATCCAACAGCAGCCAAGGGAGCTAGCTCTCTTGGTTATGCGGACTGGGTCCGATCCTAAAAAGCTGTTTTATAAACTGTTTTTATTGGATAGGATATGATTATGTTGAATAAACAAGGTTTGTGTCAATTGGAGATTGACATGGAGTTTTTACGAGTTGATTCTAAACATTGATAATAGATCCCAAAGGGGATTATGTGATTTTTGAGCATTTCGAGTTAATTTGTACCATGACATTGCTGTCATCCACCAGATCACTGTGTAAGAATTTCTAAGTCCCAAATCTTCATTATCACAGAGTCACGGGTGCTTTGGTTAAGTGTATTTAAAAAAACGCGTTAAAATCATGGAAAACTCAACTCGCAAATGCATTTTTCTAGGGCTGAAACACTCGTGGATTTTCACCTATTGATTACTCTTTTAGGCTGAACGATCGCGTAATTGAATATAAATCTTTAGCAAATAGTGTCAGAATTCGGTGCACAAATTACTCTGTATCCACAAGCTATGGAATTCATAATGCCAAAAATCTCCATTAGTGAAAGGTAGCTCCGAAACATGGCAGTTTTGAAGTCACTTTATCTTCGCAACATGCACCATACCCCTGGCAACTGCATACTCACAGTGGATGCTGATTCAGACTTGGCAGAACGGGGATCTTCACTACTTTTTGGACCCAAAATCCGCAATGAGAGTGATCTCTAACGCAATGATTACTTGACTCTTAAGGAATCAAAGATCGATTACCGAGTAATTGATATAATCGTTTCAGCCCTACATTTTCTCAATACTGCACGGAACTACACAGGCCTTTCGCACCGACTTTTGGAGGTGGGGCAGCCACGGAAGGGAGGTACGTGGGCCCTCCCCCGGAAAAAATCAGAAATTGAAGCCAATTGCAAACATTTCCACTTCCAGGCATTTGGTGCCATATCAGTGTACATGTAACTGCAATAAATGACTTTTTGATTCTGCAACAAACCACGATCGGGGACGAGGATTTGCCACATTTGCGCTGCTGCTGCGCTGAGCTGCGATCATCGCCCTTTGTTGCAGTGTGCTCCAAAAAAACGCGAAAAAGTGCCAGGCTGTGACGGCCTTGCTACATAAGGCCCCATTTCCGATCTGGAGGCTCAACTACAGCTACAAGGAGTACAGAGGACGCAGACATTGCGTCTCCTCGTCAGTAATCTAGATACATTGATAATATCCACTTACAGAAGACGGAAAAAAGCCATTGTTCGCGACAACATCGGTGACTTAGTGCTGCTCATAATAAAATTTCAGACTCAGCAAACAAACTGGTTGGCTTGCTTAATAGAATGTTTGCCCCATGATATTTATGGAGCTCTTCCTACTTGCTCCATTTCTATCACCTCTCTACAAGGACTTAATCCAGTGTCCTTGGTCATTTGCTCTTGCCTGCATTTCACCTCACAAAAGGCGTTAAAACATACTTGTGGGAAATTACAAAATGTTGTTCAAGAACCTGAAGTGTGTTCTTCTTCTTGGTATATCACCTTCTTGTCTCCAAGGAAAACAAATGACAGCATTGGATTTCAAATGGCACACCATATACAGAACTGCCAAAGAAGTTATCATTTTTACTCGGGATACTGAGCCGGTATCGATGTAAAAAAGAGAAGAAAACACATGAGAACGAGTTGTCATTGTGTCTGTTGTACTACCAGCTTACAAATTGTGTAATTCTCAGTAGGCATACAACTATTCCTAGTCAAAAAATATCTCACCTGTTTGACAAAGCTCTCCTGTGAAATCAGGTGCACATGTGCACTCAAACAATGTTCCCAAGTCTGTGCAAGTTGCTCCATTTTGACACGGCTGCGGGGAAAC